TCAGGAAACCAAAAAAAAAAAAAAAAAAAAAAAAAAAAAAAAAAAAAAGGAAGGGAAAAAAACCAATTTACCCTAACCCCATCCAAATCCCCCCCAAAACCCTCGCCCCTCCCATTAGCCTTGCCCTCCCCCCCCTTTTCCACGCCCTCTTTTAGAGCCCGACACCACCTAACCTTTTCGCCCCCGTTCTCCCCCCCCCTCCCCGCCCCCCCCCTCACCCCCCCCCTCCCACCGTCACCCCCCCTGGCCAATCTCAGTAGCCTTGGCATCCTCCCCCTTTTGCACGGCATCCTTGAGAGCCAGATACTCCTTAAACTTTGGCGCACCGTGATGCGCCCTCATCTCTGGCATCGCCATGACGCCGCCAATGGCATCGTGAACCCTCACGCCCGCCATCGTCCCGTTCTCGCGCGGGGTCCAGTCGCCGACGACCACGAAAGCATCGGCATCCCGCGCCGTGAGGTCGAAAGCCTCGAGCTGCGCCGCGAGGCGGTGGCGGGTGCCGTAGCCCGTCTTGACGAGCAAGCCGACGTCGGTGCGGTAGTCGATGGGGAACTTGGCCGGCTCGTACAGCCAGGCGTCCTTTTCCGTGCCGGAGCCGCGCCACCAGTTGCTTACGCCGGCGACGTTGAAGTGGAAGGCCAGGACGAGGGGGTTGTCGTAGGGCAGGACGAGGAATAAGAGGGCGTTGCCGACGAGGAAGGCGAGGAAGAGGAGGATGAATAGGCGCCTGATGCGCGGTGAGGGGAGGAACATGTTTGGTTCTGCTGGCTGTGATTGGTGGTTGAGGCGTTCGAGGTGAGTGGGATGTGGTGTGGTGAGGTCGTCATGAAGGTGGTGGCCCTCATACCCCGGCAATTGGGCAATGGTTGGCGATGCAAGTCAGAGTCGCATAAGCAGAGCCGCGCGATGAAAAGGAAAAGTCCAAGACCCTTCAATAGGACTGGCCGTGTTGCCCAAGTTGCGGGATCCTGATCAACTTGGAAAGAGGGAGGGACGGTTGCTAGGGAGCAGATCGTGACGTCAGCTACTCCTGTGTACTTTGCGTGGTTGAGCGAGAAGTAGCAGTCGTCAGGGGGAAGAGTCTGATGAGGTGGTTCGTATCGTCGAGCTGAAGATATCGCTGGATGTTGTCAATGGGCGGATAGTGTGAAGCTATCGCAATGGATGTAGGTGCAACATTGTAAAGGGAGGCGCGATGAAACTTCAACAGACGTCGTTGGAGGAGTGAGAGACTAGGCCGCCACGACAGAAACATTATTAGGCTTGGTGCTGCAGGCCAACCGCCGCTTAAAGAATGAGACGGCTGAGCAACACTAGAGACGGAGAAAAAAAAAAAGCCACCCTCAGAGAAACAGCCCAAAAGACAAAGCGCAGCAACTGATGCGCGCCAAGGTCGCCCCCCTCTCGTCTGGCCTGAAGAAACCGCGCCACCGGCAGAGATGTTGCGTAATAGCCCATTGGCCGGATACCTGGCCAGGCCAAGAGTATACCAAGGGCACACCAAGAGGTATCTCTGATCGCCGGTGATGCTCTCACTAGCAAAAATAAAATAAGTGCCGTTTTGCCGCGGTGCGCGATTTTGTCTTGGGACATCTCGGTGCTCTCGGGGTGCCGGCCGCCCTGGACGCCCAGGAAAAGTGACATCGGCACAGCCCCAGCCGAGGGAGGACACCGAACGGGGGCACCATGAAGCGGATGGGTAGTTCTTCAGAGAATTGCGCGTCTCATGTCCATGTCTGGTCGAAACATGCGACGCCCCCTTCCAAGACTCCGAGTCTCTAAAGCATTGCAGCAATTTGACAGGAACATAAAGACTTTCTCTCTTCTTCCCCTCCCCCTCATTCCGATACCAACAGAGATAACCCCTCCACATGCCCCTGTTTTTGTTTCATGCCATTGCGCTTGGTTCGTCACGACAACCCTGCTCAGTTCATCCTGGTAGCCGTTCTCAATGAGCCAACGCCCAAAGGGTCACAGTTTGGGTTCCACAGCGACCCCCTCCCTCCTCCCAAAACTCCCGTTTCGGGAGGACCCATTTACGTCGGCACGATCGGGCATTTCCCCGGCTAGAAGAGAGCTCCACGCCGCCGATCCCCATCTTCGGGCCAGCCCGAGCCGTCACATTTCCTCAGCAACGTCAGCATATGGTCAGTGGTGAAGAGCCGTATCATTAAGTTATTTGATCTCTCATCATCATATGTATCTTTGTAGTTCCATCAAAACTTGACCGTATCAAACCTGCTCTTTTCCCTAATGGTCTTACCGAACTTGAAGAAAGCCCAGGGGACTGGCAGCAACCCTAGGGCAATGAACCCCAACAAACTGCTCGCCCACCCGATGCCTAGATTCGTATACACTAGATGAAAGCACGTCAGCACTTGTCACAACTTTTGCATAGCGTGGATAGCCTACTCTGGACAATAAATAGCGGAAATGCGCCTGCAAGCAAGTACCTAGCCAGGCTACTCGCACTCGCGGCGCTGGCGATCGTTGTCCCCTGATACACATCGACCAGGTACTGTATCGTGCTAACAAAGAGGCAAATGTTTCCCCAAGCAAACGGCACAATGGCGACGACAGGACTTGCCCAAGAAATGTCCTCTCTCGCAGTCCACCCAAACCAGAAGAGCCCCAGCGGCAGCCCGATACTCCCGACCAGGGCCGGGTATAACCGGTACTCTGGCGGAGTCCGATGGGCGGGGAATTTCTTCGTCTGCGGCATATAGATGACCCTGTTGCAGAAGATGACGGTCAAGGCTCCTAAGACGCAGCCGACCGCGATGGAGATGAAGACCAGGCCCTGCTGCTCGATACCGAAGCCGTACACGGTGCTAAACACGTACGGCAGCGCTGCGAAGAAGGAGAAGAGGGTCGCGAACTCGCACGCCACGTACAGGCAGATGAAGGAGACGATGGGCTCTGTGAACATCATGCGTACAGGTCGAGTCAGCGCCGTCGTTGCGAAGTTCCGGATACGCTGGCTTGTTGGTGGCAGCGGGTCCAGGGGAAGGCCCAGCTGTGCTTCGCGCCGACGCTTGAGTACGGTATGGTAGGTCTCTTTGCTGAAAAAGGTGGATATCGTGGCGGTGACGATGAAGAAGAGCAGGGTCCACTGCGTCCATCGCCAGCCCTTGCGGTTCACCACAAAGGCTCCAATCACTGGGCTATTCATGTATGTCAACAAGCGTGAAAGACGAAATAGAGGACTCGCAGACTTACCCCAGTCCCGGACCGAGGAATGGCATAAGGATGTACGCCGTCGACGGCAGCGCTCGTTCCGAGAGCCTGTACGTCTCGTTGATGGTACCCGTTCCGATCGCTAAGCTGGGAGAGAGACAGAACCCTGCGAGGAACCGCAGAATACAGATTCCGGCAAAACTGCGGCAGAAGCCCACGCCTAGAGTGAAAAGCCCACCCAGAGGGAGGCTGACGAGATAGACGGGATGCCGGCCCACCGTCTCCGACAATGGAGCGCCTACGACAGGACCTAGACCGAGTGCGAAGACATACATCGATAACGGGACGATTGCCTGCGTCATGGTCACGCCGAATTCCTCGACGAGCTGGGCACGAGCGGGACTGATGATGGAGGTCCCCAAGCTTCTGTCAGGTTGTCAAAACTCATTGGTTCTCTCCAAAATGTGTAGGCAGGATTACCTACGCGGTGAAGGCAGCGAGGGAAAGCATGACGACTTGTCTTATCTTGTATGCCAATGGCCAGTTCATGGGGTTATGAGAGTCTGTGTCCCAGTTCCATTCCGGCTTGCTTTTCCCATCGTTGCACGGTGGGCTTGCTGACGGGTCGATGCCGCCCGACGGAGGTCCCTGTTTCTCTGAATCTTGCTGGAGGTGGTCCTGGTCAGTGTCAGGAGTTTGAGTCTCCTGCGAGGAGCGAGGAGCTGTTTGTGATGCCATTGAACTTTGGTAGCTTTTTGCCAGTGGGAGACCTAAACTATCGAGACAGATATAGGTTTTGGAGAAATGCAAGTTCAATTCAGAACTTGTTGCGATTGCCCGAAGATGAAACCTTGAGGTGAGTCGAGTGATTAGTGAACTGGCCGTGACGGCAACTGATTATAAATCGATCAACAAACAGTCCGGCGCAAACACCCCGGGCGATCAAGTCAAGGCCTTTACGAGCCTGTACGGGGCCTGATTAGCGTAGTCTATGGTTTCACGGCGCAGAGAAAATCCTCTCTAGGCTCGTCCCGAGCAAGCCATCTGACGACATTGGTCTGCTTTGTCTCAGAGCTAGGGTGCGGCTGCCAGATTGCCGTAGATGCAGCCAAGCAGCGACAGCGAGAAGCGATAACGTCTTTGGTGGATCCACAGGGGAATGAAGTCCGTTCGAGGCATCGGCATCATCGAATATCGACCGACCGTTGACGGTCCCGGCATTAAACATTTAGTGGCCTTGTCTGTTGTCTCGCGCGATGATGCTGAGAGGTCCACGAAATCGGCCGTCGGCCATGGCGCATTGACAAGCTTGTGGCACTTCTCCATGGATTGGCATGGGTGTTTGCAAAATGTTGATTCACTTGGGAGTGCAAATTGAAGTTGAGATGTTCAGTGACGAAAGATATCAAATTTGATGAAGCTGGGGAACGTCTGTCACATGTACCCCGAGCCGTCAAGGAATGACCGGCAGGGGTTCTCACAGCGGTCGGCGACAGGGGTGGGCCCCCCAAGCCTCCACTGCGACCCGGGAATTTTCCACAGCACCTTGGGCTCCGGCATCCCTGCAGAAGCTCCCGTCGGGTCCGTCTCGTCTCAAAAATTCGTCCCGTACATTTCTCAGTTCTCAACAGTCGCTTCAAACATCGCGCGATGCGACACCGGAGCCACCACAACCGCCGTCCGTAATGTCCTCGACCGAAACGACAGCATCGACAGCGACAGCAGCAGCAGCGTCATCCGTCCCGACCTCGTTGCTCAATCTCGATGCCCTCTTCAACAACCCCCTCTTCGCCGGCGGCATCGGCCTCGCCAGCCTAGGCGCCGCCGCCGCTTTCGGCCGCAAGGGCGTCGTCGTCGCAGCCGGAGCCGCCCGCCGCCGCCTCCTCGTCAACGTCGAGATCAGCAAGCAGGACCCGGCCTACCCCTGGATCCTCGCCTGGCTGTCGCAGCCACGCGAACAGGCGGGCTTCATCGCCTCACGCATCACCCGGATCCACAACCTCTCCGTTTCGACGACGACATCGACCCAGCGCGGCGCCAACAGCCCGACGAATGCGCACTTTTTCCTGCAGCCTGGCTACGGCCGGCATATCGTCAAGCATAAGAATGCGTATATTGCCATCAACCGCGAGAAGCACAACACGGCCAACATGAACACGGGCGAGCCGCACGAGATCGTGCAGCTGACGACGCTCTGGGCGCACCGTCACGTTTTCGAGGACGTGTTTGGCGAGGCGCACGCGCTGGCAGCCAAGGCGAATGAGGGCAAGACGGTCGTGTACTCTGCCAGGGGCATGGAGTGGGCGCCCCTCGGTGATCCTCGGAAGAAGCGCCCCCTCGGCTCGGTCATCCTAGACGAGGGCGTAAAGGAGGGCATCGTGGACGACGTCAAGGACTTTCTCGGGCGCCAGCAGTGGTACGTCGACCGCGGCATCCCCTACCGTCGCGGATATCTGCTGTTCGGACCCCCCGGCAGCGGCAAGAGCTCCTTCATCCAGTCTCTCGCCGGCGAGCTGGACTTTAGCGTGGCCATGATCAACCTCAGCGAGATGGGCATGACGGACGACAAGCTAGCGTATCTCTTGACGAAGCTGCCGCGCCGGAGCATATTACTGCTGGAAGACGCGGACTCGGCGTTTGTCAACCGGCGGCAGCGTGACGCTGACGGGTACAGCGGCGCCAGCGTGACCTTCTCTGGTCTGCTCAACGCGCTCGATGGCTTGGCTGCGGGAGAGGAGCGCATCGCGTTCCTGACAACGAATCATATCGAGCGACTTGATCCCGCGCTGATCCGACCGGGACGCGTGGACATGATGATGCGCATTGGCGAGGCCACAAAATACCAAGCGGGACTGATGTGGGGTCGCTTCTACGGCGATGTGGACACAGACGGGGCCGGTCGGGAACGTTTCCTGCAGAGGCTGGAGGACCTCGGGTTATTCGGGAACGGAACTGGGGAGACGGCGCACCGATTCACGAGTACGGCTGCGATTCAGGGGTTATTCTTGTTCAACAAGAACGATATGCAGAGCGCGATCGACATGGCTGAGGGCCTTATTCCGCGCAAGTTTGAGGCTGAAGAAGCGATTCCCGAGGGTGCCATCAAGACGCGAGCTTGAAGTTGTCCGTTGAGATATCAGAGGCACGTGGGAGGATGTAAAGCTATGTAACAACATGTATAAATCTGTCTAGACAAAATCTGAAATGATACCCATGCCTGAAACTCGGAATTGATACATATCGAGCGGACATTGTGCTGAGGTGGTCTAGAAGAAAACAAGAAAGAGCATTACTAAGATCGTAATATCCCAATCAGTACAGGTGCGCACCAACGAGGTGCGAATCATCGCTCAGCGCCGTGATACGGGTCTCTTATTACCGCCTTCTTTACTCTTGCCATTTGTTCATTTTGTCATCGGCTCGTTGCACGTGTGTCCAAACGGTTGGAGAGCACCTAGCGCGTTAAGTGAACCACCGCGGTCAAACAGCGGACTTCAATATCACCGACCTTCTTTTCTCTCAATCCACCACCTCGAGCTCTTCTCCACCCGTCAACTAATTAATTCCTACCTTGCCTCACATGCTATTCTGTCAATTGGCAAACGACATCCTTGTAAATCTCGGGGCTGAAGAAGATTTCCATTAAAATACCACGCCAACCGACCGAACAAGGAACCCCGCAGCAGGGGTCGCGCTTATAGGCGCATCCCGTCTCATTCGGACGCTAGGCATCCACCTCAATATCTCACGTTGGTCTCCTCTCAAGACTTTGGTCAACTTCCACGATTGAACAGTGCCTCCATGACACAAAAAACATCACACGATGTCGCGGCAGAGCAACCTCTTCGAATTCGCCTTCTCTAAGAACGGCGGCGGACAACAGCAGAAACCTCGCCAGCACAATCAGCAAGCATCAACGCAGTCCTCATCACCAGCCTCGGGACCCTCATCCTCATCACAAGCCACCACGAACTCCTCACAAAAAAGCGACCGCTCAAGCCCATCCCTCGCCGCCGTCGCAGCAGAAACCCGCGCAGCCCTCCCCCAGATCCTCTCCCACCTCCCCAACATCAGCGCCTCCAAATCAGAAGACCTGCACCTGGACTACCTCCCGCCTCTCAAATCCTCCGCCTGCCCGGGCCACACCCCGCGCGCAAAGATCAAGATCATCAACGCGGACTCGCTCAACGCGGCAATCGACCTCGCCGCGCGGCGGCCCGACGGCGGGCGTGTGGCGGTGCTCAATATGGCGTCGGATATCCACGCCGGCGGCGGGTGGTTGAAGGGCGCTATCGCGCAGGAGGAGGCCCTGTGTTATCGCTCGTCGCTGTATCTGAGCCTGCATAAGCGGTACTATCCCTTCAAGCGCCGCGGGGGAGTTTACACGCCTGATGTCGTCGTCATCCGGGGCGATATGGCGAGCGGTCATAAGCTTCTCGTGCCGCGGGTCGCGTACGATGATTTGCCTGTCGTGAGTGTCCTCAGCATTGCGGCGATTCGGAGGCCAGAGGTCAAATCGCGCAAGAGGACGACGTCGGCGGGGATCGAGGATGTGTTTGAATTCGCAAAGGCGAGCGACCGGACGCTCACGATGAGCAAGATGCGGCTTTGCTTGAGGATGGCGGCGAGTCGAGGGCACAGTCTGCTTGTGCTGGGCGCGTTGGGGTGTGGTGCGTTTAGGAACCCTCCCGAGGAGATTGTCAACTGTTGGCTTGAGGTGCTAGGGGAGGCCGAGTTTGGAGGTGGGTGGTGGAGGGAAGTTTGGTTTGCGGTTTATGACCGGAAGAATGAAGGCAACTTTGAGGTGTTTGAAGATGCATTGGGTGGTGTTCGGGTTTGATGCACATCGGAAGCACAAGGCACCTCAGATATCATGATGCTTCGATCGAAGACAAGATTTCATCCAAACTTTGAACAGATTACGGAGCCAGGAGACAAGTGTAAACCATACGTGTAATTTTTCCGCGTGCATTAGCCTTATGGTGTGTCTCTGAGTGCAGAACGAGGGTTGAGTTGAAATTAATAAAAGATTATTAAGATAGGCACGGACAAGGCCCTGCTTGAGGTAAAAAAGGCGTTTCAATCAGCGTGGTTATGCTGCTCTACTGGACTATCCTAGACTTTAGACTTGAAAGACGGGTATGCAAGTTATAACTCCCGTCATTTTGGTCTTCTCCTGGCCGATCTGGTCAGTTGGGATCCAGAATGGTGTCGTCTGAGTTCTGGCCTCATGTCAAATCTCGTGGACAGACGTACCCTTCCTAACAAAGTAAGAGAGAAGAGGCGCTTTACGAACCTCCAAGTGCCACCCTCTGCGCTATTCCAGTCAGACACCGCCCCCACATGCGAAATATGCCGGTTGCACGTCTTGGCAAATGGGCACATGCTTTGTGCCACCCCAATGGCCATATACAAGCAGTTGAAGGAAACGAAAGAACGGATAGTCGGCTCAAGTCAGGGCTTAGCCTTAGGACAAGGGGCTGAAAATTCGTGAGCTACATAGTCGGGCGCACTCTCCACCGTATTATAGTGTGTTGGTTGACTGGAGTTTAATTATCTTCGCAGTGGAATTTACTTTGGCATGCAGCCATAGCATAATCAACGTAATGTAAAAGAGTTCAGTTTTAAAAAACTGTCTTCATGTAAGGACTAAGTGATGATGCGCACTTCATTATGTCGCCACAGTGATTGAGCCTTTGGTATGGACCATACCAAAGGCTCAAATGGTCTGCAAAGGACCTGGGCTAACGACAATGAGTTCCTCTACCAGGTCGTTGATATTATTATATTCAGTACCCCATTGTGACTAGAACTTTGCCAGGCCATTAGTTTGTTGCATTAACAGCACTGTACAAGCTGTTTGCGGTTGTGGCCCTCGTTCCCGTTACGGCATTCAAGAATCCGGTGCAGCCGGTTCGGTAAGTTCTCGAGGTACCTTATATAAGCGCGGAAGTGAAGCTTCGCTGCATCTACACTCACATGAGCCACTGCTAACAAAAAGATCCCTGGCGCTTGACCTATGCTGAGCGTCTGAGATTGAGCATTATTCAGGTTGCCTTGTGAGGAATGGAGGTGCAGACGAGCTGCCAGGATCATAACGCACGTAGAATCAGCACGTCTGAAGAGAAAGATAACTCCTTAAGTACTGTAAGTGGAACGACCTAGTCACTCCATCATTATTCGAGGATTTCTTCTTCGAGGATTTCCTCAAGCCCATTTTCCTCCAAGCACCCAGCCGGAGCTAGATTTCTGTCCACATTCATCAGGAGGCAATAGTTTGCCTTGTGATACAACATATCCAGGTGCCTGTAGCTTCCACCAAGGGTTGTATCAACTATCCTTACAATCTCCATCAGGATATCGATCTGACCGACGTGCATAGCGGACCACTGGTTCGTCGCAGGGCCGAGAGATATCAGATCTGCGAGTGAACAACCTACATCAAACACCTTTTCTAATATGCCGACACCATTAGCCTCAAAGGCCTTGGTTGGCAGCAGCCGCGAAATGAGTACGACGTCGCGGGCAACGGCGGTAGGATAGCTCAGTGACATGCTGTCCTCGCTGTCTAAGATGGACAACAGCGTCTTGGATACGCATAGCTTCCACACGATGACTTTGAGCCACTGCCGGGAGATCAAGAGGTCGGCTTGCTGCATTTCAGAGTAGTTTGACACGCTCGGGATGGCGTACTTTAGGACGGTTTGTAGTTTCGAGAGATGTTCCGGGTCTGTTGCTTCTGAAGGCGATGTCGTGGATGGTGTGGACGAGTTCCAAGTCGCTATGAAATCTGTATCAAAGTGCCGGAAGAGAGAGATGAGATCGAGGAAGCCGGGAAGAATCGCGGCGTCTGCACTAAGCGGGTCAACGGTGGGAAGACCCAGGGTGCTCTGCAGCGTCAACGGCCGATGTCTCTGCAGCGCGTACGCCCTCTCGGTGATGAACAGAACCCAAAACATGCGCCGAGCGTACGTGGCTAAGACCGGGTCGGTGATGTCGTTATACGTGGCTTCCTCGTGTAGGCGGAGCGTCTGAAGGATGGTGATGGACTCTCGTAGATAGAACCAAGCCGCGTTGTCGTTGTCCATACAGAAGAAGGCAGAGAAGAGAAAGAAGGAGGTTTGCGCGTGGAGTAGGGACTGATGCTCGGCGAGATCGCAATAACGCCTTGCGCGAAGGGTTTCTGAGATGAGGAACTCGGTTGTCGGGAGGACAGGAGCTAGGGTGTCGGGAGATGAGAGTGGCGTCGGGTTTGGAGGTGGTAATATCTCGGGCGAGAGAGAGATGACGGCAGAGCAAGCTGTCATGAGTCCGTATTTCTCGGCCGAGGTTGAGAGGTCTTTTGTGCATTCCTCCACCTGTTGACGATGTAGGATGGGTGTAAGCGGGTATTTGTGTCTGAAGAAAGCATCGAGACACCACTTTATTACGTCCGCAGATACTAGAGGGGAGTGTTGAAACCTATCGTCTCTTTGATCCGCCGTATGAACCGGTGATGGTGGCGTGACTGGTGGTGCCCTCGTCCGAGTCTCATCTCCAGTCTGTCTATTTGCATCGTGGTGTACGGCTACTGGCACAGTCTGCCGCCGATGAAGAGATCTCCGCGCATGACGTGGTCCTTTCGGTCCCGTCTTCTTCGGCACCGCTACGTACGTGCACTCCAGGATCGTCTCCTGGCAGTTGGCGCAGGGCCAACATCCATCGCAGCGGATTTTGCGCGAGCGACAAGGGTCACAGGCCTGTCGAACTTTAGATGGCCTCTTCGAAGCCCGGAAGTTGGATTCCTGTGACATGATGCATATCACTGATACCACAAGGGACCGTGAGGAGGTGAAGGAGATCAGAGAAAAGGTCATGCAGGATGGTTGAAATGGCGGCAAGGGTATGGGGTTTCCTCGCCTCCTGGGCAGAACTTCTCCGGATCTATGGCTAGACTCCGCACTCTCCGCACCCTACAGGGACGTTTTTTGGAACTAGCCCAAGCAAGGGTCTTGCATCACTAGCGTACTATTTCTCCTCAATCCTTTTGAAGAAATTAGGCTATATTTTGGGACCTTGGGAATCTATCCGTACTGCACTCAGCTATTGTTCCGTGGAATATTGAAAAACATGAAAATAGACTTAAATCCTCCCCTTCGCCGCGTGGCAGCGTTTCTCTATTATTACGAAGTGGACTTCTTGACAGCCACTCCATCAACCACAACGTAGTCGCTAAACTTCCTCGCCGGAATTCCCTGAGCGTACATGTGATCGATATCCTGGTAGGTTCTGTTCTTCGTCTCGGGTTGGAAGAAGAAGAGAAGCCCGAGAACAAACACCTCAGCGCCGACAAAGAGGAACATGATCTTGCCGCCCCAGTTCAGCTGATCAGGGTTGATGAAGAAGGGGAATACCGATGACAGCAAAAGGGCTGTGAGCTGCTGGCACACGAGACTGAACGCAATGGTCTTTGGTCTTGTGGCTTGCGAAGCCGTCTCTTGAGCGACGGCCCAACCAAAGCACCCCACTGTCGCGGTGTATAGCATTGACCATGTGATCATGAATGCGAGAAGAGCCATGTTTGCCGAGTAGTTGGCGGTTCCAGCGAGAGACGTGCCGCCGATGATGATTGACCAGCAGCACAGGAATGCGCCGCCGCCAATCAGGGACTTTCGGCGAGGGAGAACATCGGAAACTGTGACTGCGACGCAGTTCGAAAGGAATTGGAGAGTGGAGGAGATCGCAGTAAGTCCGAATGGATCTGACTGGCCGATGAGTTCGAAGTAGTAGGTTTGGTATGTGTCTGGAAGGGATACATTAGCATGATGATCCTCGGAACAAGTGATGTGACAAAGACTCACTTGCGAAGTAGCCGCCAGAGAAGTTCTGCGACTGCAATCCGAGAACCGCAACTAGAGTCCGAAAGCGGTGCTCTTTGGAGAAAATTGCCCTCCAGCTTGTTTGCTTGGCCATATTGGCTTCTCCCGCCGCAAGCTCGAGCTCGGACTTGATGAAGCTGAGCCTCTCCTCAACGTCGACATTCTTGCCGTAGAGCCTGAAGATTGCCTTGCGTGCGTCGTCATCTCTACTCTTCTTGACATACCATACCGGAGACTCGGGCAGCCACGGCAGAACAATCATGAAGAGCGTCGGGACGAGGAAAGTCATGGCAAACGCTAGGCGATAGCTCCATTGGCCGTCAATCTTGGAAGAACCCCAAGCGGTGATGGAAGAGAGGAAGAATCCAAGAACGATGATGACGTTGGTTAACGAGCTGAGGGAGCTTCGGAGAGCTGGGGGCGCATTTTCAGTAACGTAGAGAGGAGGTGTGACGGTTGATAGGCCGACTGAAAACCCAAGGAGGAGTTTGGAGACAAAGAGGACTGGTAAGCTTGGAGCGAACACGAGCGCAAACGAGGAGGAGAGGGACAGTCCAACGGCTGTCCAGAGAACGGCTCTTCGGCCAACGATGTCGGCGAATTGGCCGGTCAGGAAGGCTCCAAAGACCTGACCGATGGTGCTGGCCGCGTTCCAGAGAGATTGCCAGAGGGCGGGAATAACATATTGGTCTCCCACCTGGTAGTAATCTCCGTAGGCTTTTCGGAACTCGGGGAAGGCGATGGCGGCGCCGGAGAGTCCAGAATCGTAACCCCATCCGAAGACGAGGGACATAACGTACAGGGCCCAAAAGACATATCGCTTGTCTTGCTTGAGGTTTGTCAAGAGACGCTGATATTGTTGCTTGGGTGTCAAATCTTGCTTCTCAGTGGCCTTGGACACGGCGACTTCGTCTGCAGGTGCGAGCTTCTCGATGTGGTCGTGAGCGACGACTGTTGCCGCCTCTGCTGATTTGGTATCCATTGTGGAAATGAGCAAGGCCCGAGGAATACGTCGCGGACTTGAGAAATAAAGGGATGATTTTGGATGTTTCGAAAGAATTTCCGCTCAATAATCAAAAAGACCGATCCTGGCGACTTTATACAAATTTCATGAGGAGGTTCCAGCCAGCCATGGGCTCGTTTCCGAATAACCTGGACCTCTCCATCGGACGATGCCAGTGACAGCAGTCCCCACGGGGAACATGGCATGGGGAAAATTAAGCGCTAGTGAGGAGAACAGTTTCTTGGGTTTGCCATCCATCTGGGCTAGCCTGCCGAGAACCACATGTCTCGCTGGAATTGCTCGTCTGGTAGATCATAGTGCTACGATGCCAGCGGTTGAAATGGTTGAATTACGATTCGCTATTTGCCCCCATAGTGGAGAACTGGCAACTCACTAACACAAGCTATGAGCCACGGGCCACGGCCATAAGCCATGGAAGGTTGGCTGAACCGCCTCCGGGGAATCGATATTTTTACGCAAGATACTGCGATTGTCCCATTTTCACGCCATCACTTTGTCATCGGCTGGGAGCGGAAAAGACTGTTCATCCAGTAAGACTCGGGTCAGATACGGTGGGGCTGGAATATCTGGTCACACGATCCAATACTCCATGTCTGTAGTATAAATCGATATCACTAACTGTGAATGAAATCAAGTCGACACAACTGCGAACGGTGTTTATTGTGCTCTGCACGCGTCATATGGCTTTGAATAAAGCCAATCTCATCAAAAAAGTTTCTCATTTGTCGCGACCCCCTCGTGGTCTAAACGACCTCAGGATCTCCATTTGCGGAAGGTCTTTGACTTACATATGTTTCAAGGCCGACATTGTTAATTGTCAACCTGGACCTCATGATGTCCAAGGTATGAGCCAACATGCCATGGTACATCCCAAGTAAGAGACTCCAGGGTATCACACCAGAACCGCGGTCAAGCGTTTTCCGAGCGAGGCGTGAGATATGATTCCAGCATCGGGCTACAAGGCGCTCCCCCCACTCACCAGTCAGTCCTTTGCTTAAACGTCCCGAAAATTTCAGCGTGCTGCAGCCGTTGATCCCACGTGGAGGGTACGGTTCTCGTTCCGGCAGGCAATGGTTTGCCTTCTCCATGTTTCTCCACTTTGCCGGGTACCACTTGGTTTCCACATGCAGGCCGCTCGGCCAGCGATCAAGTTTGAGTCGCAGAGAACCGACTCCCAGAAGAGCACTGCCAAATCTTCCCAGTCACATGACTCAATCTGACACTTTATTGTGGCAACTCGAACCGATCTATACTAGTGACTTGAAAGCCTGCAGTGGGTGCAACGTCTTTGGCTCAGCTTTGTGTGTTACGACCCAACACGCATTGCTAGACCAGGGCCCTGCCCCACAGGACCTGCGGCGGCTACTACACTATATATATAATAATAAGAATTTAGACGGCCTCCCTCGGGACGGAAGAACTATAAATAAGTTATATAACCACGATCGTATAATAAAATAAAAAACGAACGTTTATAAATAAATAGGACGAGCGATTATAAAAATATAAAATAGATAACCGCTTAATAAACGGTTAAATAATAGTAAATAAAATATTATAAAAAATATATTTATAATTAAAATTTATATATAAAATAGCCCGAGCTAAGCTTAAAAATAGATTTTTATAGCTTTTTTAATAATTAATTTTTATATTAAATCTAACAATTATTTTTAGTTATTTTTATTAAGAACTTATTTAATAAAATTACGATTAATTACTAAAGCTTTATTTATTTTACGATTTATAAATAATAGTTTTATTAAAGTTATTTTTATAACGATTACTATTTATAAATATCGTAGCCCCGATTTTTATTAATATAAATTTTATTACGATTAGTTAGTTATAATATTTTAATTATTCTTATTTAATAAGTCGATTTTATAAAAACTTATTAAATAGTATAAACGATATTTATCAAATCCTTTTTTAATAAAAATAAAAAATTTTAAACTTTAAATACTAAGCTAGCCTAAATTAAAAAAGATATAAAAATACTTAACGTTAAATATAATTTTAATAAAGACGCGGTCTTTAATAAAATAACGTATACTTAAATACGCTACGTCGTTAACTAAAATATTTAACGTAATAAAAAACTAACAAACCTTTTTAATACTATTATTATTTAATTAATAAAAGTTTAAGTTAAGAACGACCGCGATATTATCGAAATATAAAGAATATTTAATACTATATTTAAAAGATTTAAAAACGAACGTTAAAAAGTTTTAAACTTCGCCGATTAAGTAAATACGTTTTAAAATACTATTAATATTATTATTACCTTTTTTAATAAAGGACAATAAAAGCTTAAATTTAACATATTTATTATTTTTAATAAGACCTTTAGAATTTTAAAAGGATTTTTAATTTAAATTAAAAACTTTTAAAACTTTTATTAAAAAAACTTTAATAATAAAATTAAAAAGGTTATATACGCCGCTAGCTTTTTTAAAAAATAAGTTTTTAAATAGTTCGAACTTTTTTAAAAAAAGTATTTTAAAAAAGAAACCTTTAACGAATATTTTACTAAAATATAAAATATTTATTATAATTTCGATAAGTTTAAAAAAGTTTTTAAATCGCTTTTTTAAAATTTAAATAAAAAACGATAAGCTAAGCGCGATATATTATAATTCCGATAGATTAAATTAATAAAAGATTATTTAATTAAGTTTAAACGCTTTAATACTTAATTTAATTTTATTAACGATATTAAAATTTTTATATTTTATTAAGGATTGAAGGATAAGGTTAAGGACGAACTTATTAAAATTAACGAACTAAACGATTTTTTTTAATATATTAAACTTATAATTAAAATCGATAACCGTTTTTATAAAAGAAAAAAAGAAAAAAAAGAATAACGATAGGAATTTAATTTAGGACGTAAGTATTAATAGTAACTTTAATATAACTTTAACTAAAGACACCGTTATAACGGGAATAATAACTTTTAATAAATTATTATTTATAGATAATATAGCGGATTTATAAACCTTAATATAGCGAAACGAAACTAATCCTATTAAAAGAAAGAATTTAAATATTATAATTACGATAAATTAAAATATATAGTTAAAAATTATAAATAGCCTAAACGAATTTAATAACGACTTATTTTTAAGAAATAAATTAATATTATTTTTAAAAAAATATTTTATAAATTACTCTCCTAGACCGTATATTATAATAATAACTACCTTATTTACCAAAATAATAAAAAATAATTAGGATAGTATTTTAAGAAACCCTTTAATAGGACCTTTATTATAATAAATAAATAAAAAGTAGTTTAATACTTAAAGATTATCGAAGATTATAATAAAGAGTATATTTAAATATTATTAATAATATACGAAATAGTTAAAATATAACTTATTAGTTTTTTTAACTAAACATAAACTTTTATAATAATAAGAAATAAATTAAAGAAAAAGATAATAACTAAAAATAAAAACGACCTATTTTAATTAAAAAACGAGATCTTAGCTTATAAAATACGGATTTTAAATAAATTTATTTATATAATACGACGAATATTTAATAAAATAATTTAATATTATGAATATCGTTTTTTAATAATAGAAGATTATAATAAAAATTATATCTATATATTAATTAATTATTATAAAATTAGCTAATTATTAAGGAAAAAGCGACTAAACGTAAAAGTAATATTTGCTTTATTTTAATAACGATTTTAAAAACGATTAGAAGTTAAAATAAAAGAAAACCTTTTTTAATTAGAATACGAAATTAATAAAGAAATAGATATTATATATTTAATATACGGACCTTAGATATTAGAAGAACGTTATTATTAATATATTAAGGAACTAAGCGAGGCCTATTATATAGTAGACGTTTATATTCCTTAATATTTAATTATAAAAATAGTTTTTATTATTTTAAAATAGCGAATATATAAATAACTCGAAATAATAATAAAAGACGATATAATCTATTTAAAATAAAACTTTCTTACGTTTAAAGAAAATACTAAATTAAATAATTTAAATAAAGAAACTATTGACGATATATTTATAGAATTTAGTACCAAAAGACTAGATTACGACCCTTTTTTAAATAATATTAATATATTAGATTATAAATAATTAATAAATTAATAATCGTTTTATAATTTAAACGAACCTTACGACGTCATTTAATAACGTACTTAATTAAAAATTAATTATAGGATATTACTCGATATTAACGATTTTATTATTAAAAAGGAAGCCGATTTAAATAAATAGTTAAAATAATAAGAATTTATAAGCTTTTAAGGAGAACTAGATTAGCTTATTAAGGACTTAAAAAACTACTTATATAACCGATATATTCTAGATATATAATTTAATATTAAAATATTTAGAAATTATAAATTATTTTTTAGGGGGAGAGAACTTATTAATAAAGAAATAAACGATATTTACGATATTATTAATATACTATATTTATTTATTAAAAAATAAAAGCGTCCCGATTTAATAACTAATTACGAATAGTTTATAAAAAAAAGACGGGTATTAGCTTTTAAGATATTAAAAAATTAAATACGCTAATTATAAAAAAATAACAAAAAGCGGTTAAAATAGATAAGTTTTTATATTTTATAATACTCCCCGATAAGGAATATTTATAATTTAAATTTTAAATAAATAGATATAATATAAATACTATTATCGATAGCGGTGTTTAAAGAATTTTTATTTTATTAAAAACGGTAAATAAATATAAATTATTATAGGTACGGAAAACGAATTTATATACTTTACAAATAGTAAAAAGAGAATAAGTTAATTATAACGATGGATATATTAACTAAGAGACTATATACCTTATAATATATATTAATAATTAATTAAAATAATTAAAATACGATATTATAGAGATTAGAAATACCGACGTTATTTTAAGAATTTCGTAGTTATAAAAGTATAATTTATAAATAGATTAGAGAATCGGTTAATTTTATTAAATAAACTTAGTTATTAAACGATTTAATAAAAAGGGTTTAAATAAGTTTTATATAATACTTAATAAACGAAAATAAATTAAATATATCGCTTTTATTAAAATAATAGAACTTATTAGGATGTTCGTACTCAATACGGACGATCGAGGATCGGATTTATTTTAAATTATACTTAAAAAGTATCGGATTTATATAAAACTATTCGCTTTAAAAGAAGAAATAAAATTACTAAAATATAATAGTTAGGATATAAAAATCGAATTAAAAAAAGGAATATAACCTAAGTTTTATTTATTATATTTTATAAATTAATTTAAATACGACGAACTTAATAAGTATATTAATGATAGACTTAAGAAAAGTTATATTAGACTATTATTCTCTTTAGTAAGAGTACTAATTTTTTTTATATTTAAAAAAAATAAAAAGAAGTTTAGATTTATAATCGATTATAAAAGACTTAACGAAATTATTAAAAAAAATTACTATTTATTATCCTTTACTATAGAATTTAAGGAAATATTATATAGAGTTTAATAATTTACCGTAATAGATTTTAAAGGAGTATTTAATTAGATTAAAATTAAAAAAAGAGACGAATAAAAGATAATATTCCGAACCCATAAAAGACTTTATAAGTATTTAGTTATATCTTTCGGATTTATTAACGTACTTATTATATTTTAAATAATAGTTAATTACGTATTTAAAGAGTATATTAATATTTTTATAGTCGTTTATTTCGACGATATCCTTATTTTTTTTTTAATTTCGAAATATATAAAAAATACGTTTATGTAGTATTTTAGAAATTTTAAAACATAAAGCTCTTTACTAAGCTCGATAAATACGAATTTTATATATAAAAAGTGGATTTCTTTAGCTATATAATTATATTAAAATAAATCTATATATAAGTATTTAAGGTAATAGTAATTAAGGATTAGTTTATATTTACTAACGTTAAAGACGTATAATTATTTTTAGGATTTATTAATTTCTATCAGTAATTTTTTAAAAACTATACTAATATTATTAGACCTTTTAATAACTTAATAAGGAAAGACATAACTTTTATTTAAGATAAAAAATGTAAAAAAGCTTTTAATAAAGTTAAAAATTTAGTTATTTTAGAATTAGTAATTATAATTCCGGACTTAAAGAAACCGTTCGAAGTCGAGACCAACGCTTCGGACTTTACTATAAGAGCTATTTTAAAATAACGAGATTAATAAGGAGTACTTTACTTTTATATATTTTATTTTAAAGCGTTCTATAAAATAAAATTAAATTAGTAAATTTATAATAAAAAATTAATAATTATAATCGAAATTTTTAAAAAATAAAGATTATAACTTTTAGGAACTAAATATAAAATTATTATTTATATAGATTATAAAAACCTTATAAACTTTATAATAAATAAGAATTTGAATAAATAATAAATTAAATAGAGCGAATTTTTATTAAAATTTAATTTTTAAATTATTTATTAAAAAAGTTTAGAAAACGGTAAAATAAACGCTTTTAATAAACGACTTAATTACAAAGTTATAATCCCTAAGGAAATATAAATAATTTTTAAATACGACGATAATAGTAATCTTATACTTATTATAAAACTCTTTATAATAGCTAAAAAAGTTAATATTAACCTATTTAAAAAAATAACTTTTAAACTTATTATAAAAGTTTATAATACTTAAGCGTACGGTTATTAAAGTATTATAAAAATATAAAAACGGATTTATTAATATTATAATAAAACCGTTATAAAAGTAAAAGTTACTAAGGCTATTAAAGACTACGATATTTATAAGAAAAATAAGAATAGCCCTTATAAGCTTTATAGAGAGCTATAACTATTATTAATACCCTTAAAGGTATAGTATTTAATTTTTTGGGACTTTATTATTAAACTACTAAAGTTTAAAAAACTATTAATAAATATATAGTACGATAGTATTTTAGTTATTATCGACCGACTTATTAAATTTATTTATTTTATATTATATAAAGAAGTAAGTAATATTAAGGAATTAGTATATACTTTTCTTAAGATAATTATTACTAATTATAGTTTGTTTAAGGAAATAGTTTCCGATAAAAATAAGCTATTTACCGTTAAGTTTTAAAGATTTTTAATTTCGTAGCTCGGTATAAATTATAAATTATTAACTTTTTTTTATCTATAAACCGATAGATAAATAGAAAGAATTAATTAGATTTTCGAGATATATTTTTATTATTATATAAATTACGATTAAGATAATTAGGTAATATTATTATTAATAGCTTAGTTTGTATATAATAGCGTAGTTAGCAAAAATATAAAAGAATCCTTTTTTTATTTTAATTACGGATTTTAATTAATTATATATAGAGAAATATACGAAGGATTATAAGCTATAAAAGCCGTAATAAACGTAAATAAATTTAAAAAGATTTAAAAAAAAGCCTTTTTAGATTTTAAGTTTATATAGTAACGTATAAAAAAATATATCGATAAATTAAAGATTAATAAACTAATTTTAAAAAAAGGAAATAGTGTATATTTTTTTTATTATAATATTAAAATAAAGCGATTAAGCGATAAGTTAGATTATAAAAAACTTAGACCTTTTAAAATTATTAAAAAAGTTTTATTAATTAATTTTAAATTAAAACTCTTAAATACGATGCGATGCTATTTAGTTTTTTATATTTTACTTTTAAAGCCGGTATTTAAAAGCTTATATACTAAAAATTATATTATTATCGAATTTAATAAATTAAAATACGAGGTTAAACGAGTTATCGATTACCAAATTAAAAAAGGATATAAAAAGTATTTTATTAAATAAAAAGATTACGGATACGAAAATAATATATAGGAACTTATTACGAACTTCTAAAACTCTTAATAATTTCTTAAGGAGTATTAAAATTAAATTTAAATTTAAAATTCTTAATTATTATGGCGTTTTAATCGATAACGTTAAAAATATTATTAACTTATACTTTTTAAATTACTAAAGAAATACTTTCGGTATCCTTAGGAAATTCTTTTAATATAATACGACTTTTTTTAAATACTATTCGTTTTTAAAAATAAAGGCGTTTTAATTTAAATAACGATTTATTTTATTTAGCCTAAGCTTTTTAATAAGTTTTAGCTTTTTTTTATAACTTTATAGCTTTTTTTCAAAATCGCGATTTTTTTATTTATTTTTTATAATTAAAGCGATCGGATTTTATTATTAAACGATTTATTATACTTATTAATTAGGACCTATAAGAGATAGTCTTTAAAAAACTTATAAATATAAATAGTATTAATAGAAATATTATATAAAATACCTAAATAATAATATATTCCGTAAATATTAAAATTAAAGAGAACTAAATAACGAATACCTTAAAAACGATAATTCGAATACGGTATTATTTTTATATTTTTATTAAAAAAACGAATAATATATAATAAATAGCGACGAGACGTAGCTATTTACGATTTTAATTTTTTAATTTAATTTAATATAGCGTTAGTATATTTTAATAAAAATATTTAACGATTTTTTAATTTAGGAACGAATAACCTATTTATAAGCTTAGGGATTAGACTTTTAAAAGGAGGAGTTAATATTACGACTTAATATATATTATTAAATTAGGGCCCTACTTTATAAAACCTACGGCGGCTATTATATTATATATATAATAATAAGAATTTAAACGGCTTCCTTTAGGACGGAAGAATTATAAATAAATTATATAATTACGATCGTATAATAAAATAAAAAATAAACGCCTATAAATAAATAAAATAAGCGATTATAGAAATATAAAACGGACGACCGTTTAATAAATAGTCGGATAATAGTAAATAAAATATTATAAAAAATATATTTATAATTAAGATTTATATATAAAATAGCCCGAGCTAGGCTTAAGGATAGACTTTTATAACTTTTTTAATAATTAATTTTTATATTAAATCTAACGATTATTTTTAATTATTTTTATTAAGAACTTATTTAATAAGATTACAATTAATTACCGAAGCTTTATTTATTTTACAATTTATAAATAATAGTTTTATTAAAGCTATTTTTACGACGACTATTGTTTATGAGTATCGCAGCCCCGACTTTTGTTAATACAAACCTCACTACGACTAGCTGGCCGTAACATTGTGGCGCTGGATGACTGTTGCCAGCATTAGTAGCTTCCCCACGCTGGCACGGGCGAATTATAATTTAACTATGCCGATTCGGCCGCATCCATCGCGTCACGCAGGAAAGACAGATGCGGCTGTTATTAGTGCGAAAGGTTCCGAGAGTAACCCCCAATCATCACTGAGACTTTGTTGTTCTGGGGTAGCTGCGGGGTGTTAAACTCTTACGAGCCAATTTCAGAAGCTGGGATCCGAACATAAGAAGTGTAAAAGTCTGACTGCTTTGGGCGACAGTTCTATCTGAGCCCATGAACGTCCAGATCCTTGATTTCACTCCAGCTTCACTCACATACACTTTTTGTCTTTCGCAATCCATTCTTCTTCCAAGTCACTATGCCATCTTCAGGTCCACCGGATAGGCAATGGTGGAGAGAAGCTGTAGTCTACCAGATCTACCCACCTAGTTTTCTCGACTCCAACCATGATGGGCTTGGTGATATTCCCGGCATCATCTCGAAGCTGGACTATATCAAATCCGTAGGCACCACGGCTATTTGGCTGTCCCCAATCTTCAAGAGCCCTCAAAATGACATGGGCTACGATATTTCCGATTATCGCGACATCCACAGACCTTATGGCAGTGTTGAAGACGCAGAGAACTTGATCAAAGGTTGCCATGAAAGAGGGATCAAGATACTTCTGGATCTCGTTGTCAACCATACCAGTGACGAACATGAGTGGTTCCGAGAGTCTCGCTCATCAAAGTCATCCCCCAAAAGGGATTGGTATTTTTGGCGGGACCCCAAGATCGACTCGAGTGGCAATCGTCAACCGCCTAATAATTGGGCATCTCTATTTGGCGGCAGTGCCTGGTCATGGGACGAGCAAACGGGCCAATATTACCTCTCGCTTTTCTTGCCTTCCCAGCCAGACCTCAACTGGACCAATGAGGAAATGCGTCGCGCAACGTATTCTGATATGGAGTTTTGGCTGGAAAAAGGCGCCGATGGCTTCCGGATCGACTCGATGAACCTCATGTCCAAACATCCCGACCTGCCTGACGCACCCGTGACCCGGCCCAACTCGGAGTTTCAGCCCGGAGATTTATACTACGCCAGCGGCCCAAGGATGCACGAGTACATCCGGGAAATGCGCGAGAAAGTGTTCGACAAACACGGCTGCATGACGGTTGGCGAACTGGGGTTCACCAAGGACGAGAAAAGCGTCGCCGAGTATGTCGCCAAGGACAGACACGAACTCAACATGCTCTTCACCGGCGACATTGTTGACATGGACTTCGGCAAGAACCACAAGTATGAGCACGGCGAGTTCCGCCTTTCCAAACTGAAAACCATCACCAACCTGTGGCAAAAGGCGATGCCGAAGTGCGACGGCTGGAACACGGTCTACTTTGACAACCACGACTCTGGCCGCTCGCTCTCGCGATACGCATCGGACTTGCCCCAGTACAGGAAAGAGGCCGCCAAGATGTTAGCCATCTATCTCGGTACTATGAGTGGCACACTCTTCCTGCTCCAGGGGCAAGAGATTGGTATGGCCAACCTCCCAGAGTCATGGACGATTGATGATTATGCCGACGTTGAAGGCAAGAACTACTACCAGAGCGTGCTCCAAAAGAGGGGGAAAGACGCAGATATGTCGGACGTCTTGGCGGAGATGAGACTCAAGGCGAGAGACAACGGAAGATTGCCCATGCAGTGGAGCGCTGAAGCTCATGGTGGCTTCACCAAGGGCTCGAAACCGTGGATGCGAGTCAACGACGACTATGGCGAGTGGAACGTTGAACAACAAGAAAAGGATGAGGATAGTGTGCTGGCATTTTGGAGACAAGTGTTGAGCCTCCGACAGCGGGAGAAGGATGTTTTTGTATATGGCACGTTCTCTGAGTTGAAGGATTTTGAGGAGAGTGAGGAAGTGTTCGCCTTTATCATGGAAAACTACCAGGGAAAGAAGGCACTCGTGCTCTTGAACTTTTCTGATAAGGAGCACAAGATGAAGCTGCAAGAGTCTGATGGATGGAAGCGGTTACTTGGCAGTAACGCCGAGAGCATTGAGGGTGGACATCTTGTGCTTAGACCATATGAGGGTGTCGTGTATTCTAATTGGTAGCTTCCATAATATCTGCTTTTTTCTCGCACCTATCCCCTACTCATAAATGCAATGGGAAGTGACGCAGGATGAATCGAGTATATATTGCTGTTGACACAGTTGGTACTTTATACACACCCAACAACCCCGGTTAGCTGACAGAACACGATCCCGAAACGGCAGCGTCTCGTAACGCCACAATGGAATAACCCTGAAGTTTAGACCCATAAAGCAGAGATGTTAGCAGCGATAAGTCTGTTCATGGTGGAGTTAATGTTGGCTACCGGTGGCTGCCAACCCAAATTTAGGGGTAATCTCTCATGCTCGACCCAATACCGCACCAAAGTCATGTTGGCGTTTCCGTAGTCCCCAAACGCTGACAAAAGTAAGGCATATTGAAGGAGTGCGCCTGTTCGTGCAAAGGTACCGTTGAACTCGGGGTTGTTTGCCTCGCCCCATTCGAAACGGGCTTTGATCTCTCTTGCAGTAGCCGCAAACTACAAATTCTTCTTTAGCTTTCCAAGAAACGGACGATCATCACTTTGAGTGCCAAAAATTCAAAAGACGTACGTCGATGATTTCAATGTCACCCCAAGAAGCCAATGTGCGGCCCCATGCAGCATGACTAAAACTATTGCTATCGCCGAAATACTTGTCGTCTCGGCTCAAGCTCCCGTCGTGCTCAATGACCTGCGGCGTGTGCTGATCAACGTCACTGAGGTGAAAAGTCGAGCTATTCCCCGTCGTCGATGTCGTCAATGCGGGGATGCCGACTGCTAGCATGGTGTTGTGCTCCATGTTGTAGCCGAGTGCTGTCGCTTCTCCCAGAATTTCAAGGTCAATGTTCCGACCGTCCCGCGGCAGCAGTCCGTGGTTTGCGAGAGTGTTGATACCCGGACATGGCGAGCGTAAATCTCCCGGTCCAGGAGGTTGCCAGGGAAATTGTTCCTCGGTGAGAAAAGCCGAGACGCTGACTGCGACTATGAGCCCAAAGATTGAGGCACGATGTCTGGCCATTGTAACGAATGTGTTCTGCGCAGGGGATGAAGTCGAGTAACAATCACTGGTCAAAAGCCATCGACGAGAATATTTATCTGAACCAGTAGCTGCCGACGGGATACCATTGCCTGTAGATTAACGAAGAAAAGCTCCCTCCTAATTGGGCATTCACGCCGAGTCCTTCCTACACCCCTAATAGACAAATTACAACGTCGTGATTCCAAGGTTTTGGCATTTAGACGTCAGAGTTTCTTGACTAGTTGGGATACGGTAGCAAAGGAACATGGGGCCGCCACACGGCATTTCATCTCCTGCCTAAGGGGGTAAAGCAGGCGGGGGGCCTTAACACAGGATGCCAAGGACTAGGCGACTCATTCGGCATTCCCGTGCCGCGCGCACTGCACCTAACGTGGTATTGGCTGCGTCGGATGGCAGAAATTACTTAACTTTAATCCTGTGTCCCCGAAGCAAGAGTCTGGGGCAATTGGGTGCGATAACAGCGGCGCCGGTGCGCCCGGATCGGAGGACACCCACGTTATCCGGCGTGGTGTAGCGGACGGGACGGCACGTTGACGCGAGCCAAATTGGCACGCATCTCAAGGTTAAAGGCGGTTTACTGTGAGAGCATTTTCAGGCAGTCGACTCGTCTACAGCTCGTTTTGACGTGGCCCATCAAGCAGAGTTGTTGGACAGCATCCAGCACATTTCTGACCATTCTATGATAATTTCCAAACCTATTCCTTGTCATCATTTGCTCGGGCTGACCTCCATCAATAAGATGTGAACATTCCGGTCTTTGGAAAGAGTCGTCGTGAAGCCAAATGTGCCAAAATTTTCCGTTTGGAATGAGGTTTGGTTACAAGCTCTCACCCAGTGACTGAGATTTATCGCTGCACGACAGAAAGCGTTTAACTGAACAAGTACGAGATAACGTAATTACGTAGTTTATTAATAATTCTATCTCATTCTTTTGATCAAATCATTCTGAGTGCTCCTAGTTATGGTGGGAAGGTCATACGTGGCGGAAAATTTCGAACACGGTTGACACGCAACTGTGAGCTCTTCGATGATCACAGTAACCACCATACACGAAGGTTTCGAGGCATTTGAATCGGACATCAGCTTGTGCTGCCACGTGCCACACAGAGAAATCTTCAATACGATGATACATCAGCCCGATCCACGCTAATCATAGCCCTCCCGCGACACTGCGAAGTTTGTTGTTCGCATGATCCCGGTACCATTCATCAACTCTTCATCCGAATCTCGAGCAAAAGAGGCGTGGGAGTGGACTCCGGTCTTAGCATGCCGGTTGCTGAGTTCCCTCAGGCCAATGGTGCCGTTGACAGTTGCGGGCACGTCTTGATGGCTATCGCCTGTCCTTACCCATCCTTGCCGACCAGTGTGGTATTTGTGACTGTAGTAGCCTTGATCCTTGGAAGACTTGAGCTGAGGCATCCATCGACGGATAAGAGGCCATAGCGCAGGTGCGGATGCTGTAATTATGGCCAGGTTACACTCAATTGAGGAAACGCAGAAGCCAAGAGAGAAGTTTGCATCGAGACTCTTGTCGGTAAAATTTTTGGCAAGGAAAACCAGACGAACTACACTTACTGCAGTGACTCTGCCATTGAACAAGGTTAGCAAATGTAAAAAAGCGAGAGTTTGAATGGGTGGAAGGTCACGGACACGATGCCGAGCATGAAGACAATCATCAACCCAATCTTCCTCTTCTTTTGCATCTTCAGGCCCAAGAAGATATAGAATGGGAGCCCAACAGCGATAAGGTCTGTTAGAATAGTCAAGCATGCCGTGGAGATCCCAAAAGAGAATTGGTTGATGCATTCTCCTGCTATGGCCGGTTTCCAGTTCTTTTCGATGGGCGTGCATTGAAAGATGACGACGATAAAGGTCGCAACCATCAGCGCGAGGTTGAAGGTAGCTGTTCCCCAGACGATGTATCGCACAACATCCTTAACACCAGAAAATCGGAGCAGGAATATGAGAACAGACTGCTTGACCAGGGAAAGAATAGGGTTGTAGACAGCGCCGACAATGTAGATCCATATCATGCCAGTTGTTGGGTTCATTGGTAGGGGAAGGTCCCAGTAGTGGATGCCGATATATAGCTCCTTCATGCCTGGATAACCATAAGCTGCCGTCATGGTCTCCAGCGACTTTCAAAAGCCTCAGAAATGAAGCTTACATATGATGGACCCTACGGCCAGTGCGATAGATAAGACCATCGCAGCACACACGCAGGCATCATCTTCGATTACGATCATCAGTTATCATGGAGCATTGGGGAATAAAAGGGGCGCAAAGCGCTCAACATACCCCAGCCAAGAGTTTTCGTGTCAACTCTGACATACAGCCGCAAACTTGTCGTAATGAGTGCTAGAGAAGGGCCAACGACCTCAATGGCAATACCAAGGTTCTGTAGCCAACTTTTGGGAGCTTCTGGCATCTTAGCTTGACCCCTATGCCACCGAAAGTAGGTTACTACCAAGAAATGGATAAAGGATGATCTTCCAGAGTGAGAATTCTCTCGAGCAAGTGCGAAATTTGGTACTGAAGTATAAGACGCCGACCATCAACGATTTACGGAGGCGACGGGCGGGAAACATGCTACACAATTACTCGGTCCAACAAACCTGAGCATCCCAGCTCGAGTCAAGGTAGTTGGATTTCCAGAGTCCTTGACCAAATTATTGCGGCACATGTTACCCCTGTAGCGAAAATACCAGACTACCCTTTGCCCATGCCACCTTGGCTGACCGGTGGGATGATTCTTTACATGTTTGTTTGCGAGCAGTCTGGCTCGCAATAGCTTCGGCTTGCGGTAAATGACACGTTCTTGAGAACTATGTTTGATGCAGGCACGGCGGTCTGCCGGGACCATCACTGGGCCCTCAAGGTGAGTAAAGTTTAGAACCTCACTTACCTTGCCTGCTCCCTCTGTAAGATTTGAAGGAATCTACCGGCCTTTCTCACCAATATCCATGGCATGAAACGTCTGAAATGATCAATGAGCCGGAAAACAAGGACACTTCATGTCGCATATGGGTTAACCGGGGAAAGTATTGGCAGATGTATCAACTTCAAAATAACAAGATTGGCTGACTAGCCCCCCGAAACAATTGTGACCTATCGTTCTTAGAGCTCCATTGTGAGCCAACAGGTGGGCCTTGGTCATCACTTTGAAGACAGATCGGCGCTGATAGTTATGAACTTGGGTCTTGTTGTGGTTACATAGATCCACGACGAAGTTTCGTCGGGTCTTCTTAGTAAATGAACCAATGAGCTGGACTTCCAGTCGATGAATGTCGTCTTTCATTTTCCGTCTGTGCCGTCTTTGACTCTTCAAGTACTTTTATCGTTTTATCAACGTAGACCCTAGAGGGTCATAGCTGCTGCTGGTCCGGCTGGTTGTCGATTGTTGGTAGTCTGATGAAAGGATCCCGTTGTTTGTTCTAGCCCCCAGTCCTTCCCATGCAATTATATGGAGAACACCATATATCCTTGTGACTAGCGCCAACAGAACCTGAGAAAGTGGTGCGCGTCCCCGCCTACATCTATGTTATTACCACCCCACGCACCCGTCGCCGTCGGATGTCGAACATGCGTTGCTGGTTGGTGACACTGAGCCTAAATGGAAGGCCGGGATAGAAGGGCGTTGGTTCGAATTCCTTGCTGGCTTTGTTGTTGGTGCAAAAAGTCTTCACAAAACACAGGGGGGAAATGCAGTCCGCATGCATGATGCCAATGAAAATTTCCGGTAGTTGATTCCTTCAGTGGCAATCCTAGCCGGTGTACCTTATGCATTCTGCTTCAATGCTTCCATAACATTTGTCAATGAGCCCAGGACGTGCAACTGGCACCCTGAAGATCAAGTCTTCAACGCGAGCAGATTCCCAAACCTACATGTGAGATTCAAAGGACGATACATTCATCCTCAAATGGGAACCGCTCGGATGGAAATGTCATAACGGGCAAGAAGAAGGCGGTGACCAGAAGTAATTATTTGATGCACCGTCTGCATCGCCTGGTGACCATGATCCCCCATGTCATGCAGCCGAGTGCGCAGCAACACTCCAACACCGGCCGGGATCCTGGGCCATTTAATATGGAGGTCTCCGAAGTTCTAGACGGTGCCATGGCAGTGTTTATGGGTTCTTGGGTGGTATTCCACGTTGAAGCAATCCCCTTCCGGGCAGTCCCTCCGAAGGGCAGCAAGCGCAATTAGATAGCTCATCATCGGCTACCCGAAGGTTGTGCTTGGCTCATTCCGATGAAGTCTTCATGTACGCTTGGCCATGCACGTCTCGAAGACCCCATACAAATATTGAACACGGTGGATTGTGCACTCACGAAGTGGTCGATGAGATAAATTATGAACTCGGGCCAAGTCCACCCTTGAATAGATACCCCCAGACCTGGGGGCGAGCACGTATAAAGTTAAGGCGAGTCCGGCGAGGACGCGCCCCAATAAGCTCGATTCTTGGCCATTGCACTTGTTGATATTTCTCAGCCGCTTTTGTGTTCGTTTGAGCTTAATTTGTCGGATCGGACATCGCGCCATCCGCCATCATGCTGCGATCGTCGGTTCTGCTCACAGCTTTGTCACTCGCTGGCTCGATCTTGAGTCAGACGACCCAAGGTGGCGATACTATTGGAAAGTCCGGTATGACATTCATTCCCACCCCGCCTCAGTGCTTTCACATACGTGTATCTGCATGTATGCACGGGCAAAGTTTTGGAAGTCTCTAACCATGGCTCCAAACAGCTATCACCGCCGAGACGATTGCCCCGGCTGCCGAGGAGGTGGCACCCAATGCGGCCTCATCAGGGGTCGATTACTTTGACTTCGAATCTTCTCAACTCACGGCAGACGTAATCGCGAACGTGACAGCATACAACATTACCAGCGCTGGTGTGTTTGACTTTGGCGACGAAGAAGTTGCTGTTGAGAAACGCGCTGCCCGCTCCTGCAAGGTCTTTCCTGGTGACCGCGCATGGCCATCCGACTTGACGTGGTTCTTGCTTGACCTTCTCTTAGGAGGTGCCCTAATCCATGGCGTTCCTGCTGCCGCGCCATGCTACAAGGAATGGCCCCAATATGACGCCGCCAAGTGTGATGAAATTACTGCGGCATGGGCAACTCCTCAATATCAGTAAGCTTGTTCTTGATTCACCAACTCTTCACGGCGCACTGACAACATCATAGAATGTCTGAGCCGACTGGCTTGGACTACCCCATCTTTGAGGGAGTGAGCTGCGTCCCTCCCAGTGTTGCTCGCACCGGCGCCAACTGTAGTCAAGGAGGAAATCCTTCGTATGTTGTCAAGGTCACCAACGTGGCCCAGATCCAGCTCGCGGTCAACTTTGCTCGCAATCTCAATCTTCGCTTGATTGTCAAAAACAAGGGGCATGACTTCAACGCAAAGTCTTCGGGTGCTGGCGCGCTTTCCATCTGGACACATGCCCTGCAAAGTATTCAGTACCTTGGTGAAGAATATCATCACCGCGTGTCTGGTTACACGGGCCCAGCCTTCAAGATCGGCTCTGGAATACAGGCTTTGAAGCTCTACGAGGCAGCTGATGAGCTTGAGCTGCATGTCGTTGGTGGCATTGCTCGCGTACGTTCCCCATTGCAAATTCCTCCTCGTAGATTCATGAAAACTATCTAACACTGCAGAGTAGACTGTTGGCATTGGTGGCGGATATATTGCTGGGGGTGGCCACTCTCCGTTGATGTCCATGTATGGTGTTGCCGCAGATCAGGTCCTCTCAATGGAGGTTGTCCTACCCAACGGTCGCTTTGTTTCCGTCGATGAGAGGAACTATCCCGATCTCTTCTTTGCTCTCCGCGGAGGCGGTGGTAGCACATGGGGCATCGTGACCTCCCTGGTCATCCGAGCATATCCCAAGACTCCCGTCACCACACTTACTTACAGCTTCGCCACCAGCAACAACGTTTCCACCGAGACCTTCTGGTCTGGTGTCGACGCCGTGTTCGCCCAGTTTCCTGCATATGCCGACGCTGGTATGTACAGCTACTGGTCCATCATGTGCGCTCCAGCATCAACTTGCAGCTTCTCCATGGCTCCTCAATGGGGTAATGATATGGACACCGCCAGGTTGACCGCCGTCTCTGCACCACTTTTCTCTAATCTCTCCACTCTTCACATTCCCGTCACCAACGCCAAGTACACCGAATTCGACGGCGTTCTGAACAGCCTCATAAACACTTGGCCTGCCGAATCCGAAGTCGTCGGGGCGTGGAACTTTCACACTGCTTCCCGTCTTTTCCCGCGCTCCAACTGGGAACACCCAATCAAGCTAGCCGCGCAGACGAAAGCGTTGCGTCAAAGTGTTGAGTCTGCTGGCATGATGCTTGGGTACAACTTCAAGGCCGCCGCGAACCCTTCCATCAACCAAACCAACGCCGTTAACCCAGCGTTCCGCAAGACTCTCATGCACGCCATGCTTGGTGCCACATGGGGTCCGGAGGCCACCCCCGAGGAGATTGCCGCCGCGAACAAGAACTTGGTGGATATGTTGCAGCCGTGGCGGGAAGCTAGCCCCGATGCTGGGGCATATCTTAATGAGGCCGACATCAACGAGCCGAACTGGCAGCAGGCTTTCTACGGTAGCCATTACGAGTATTTGTATCAGCTCAAGCAGAAGTATGATCCTTGGGGGCTTTTTTATGCGGCAACTGCTGTAGGTTCCGAGGATTGGTACGTAGCGGATCAGCTTGAGTACTATATCACGCAAAACGGACGTCTTTGTCCGAAGTAGGGTGTTTGGTTTAATTAGGAGAACATGGACCAAATTGAATGATAGTCGTCAATAAGAATTTAGCGTCCATCTACCCATCTTCGTCTTCCCACGCGGCTTACTTGTCCGATAGTGAGTACCACAAGTGTGAAGAGTGTTAAGGTTCCTAAATTTGGGGACATTCATTTTGGTCACTTCTACTTTAATAGTTGCACCTTGGCTTCCCAACGGCGTCCTAACAGCAAAGGTGGGGCACAGTTACTTTGGACCTTGGATATAATCACCCTCGTCTCGGTAAGGAACTTCTTCCCACCCTAAACCTCACCCCCAACACCGAACTTCTTTCATCGTACACCCTCCCCTCTCTCAGCTGCCTACAAAACAACTTGATAACAAAGGCGCCATCGCTTTGCTTTTTTTTTCTTGACGCGAACCACGATGGCTGATCTACCAGTTCGGACAGCAGAGCAAGCGGATGCAGACGACTTGGAGAAGCGCCTGCGGTCTCGCAGATACAACCACGCGGATGCTATGGCAGCATTCAAGGGCAAACTACTCCCGCATGATCTCGGTCAAGAGCTCACACGTCTCTACGTTGTTCGCGGCATTAGGTTCCACGCGGACTTTTGCTTCGGCCCAGCCGCGGTCCTCCGCGGATCGCTACCACTCTTTACTCGTGCCCTGAACGCGAGAGCCATCATGAGTAATCGAGTCCCAGACATGGATCCCGATCGACCAGAAGATATGCCCTACTGCATCTGGTTTCCTGACCTTCCCGCAGAAGACACCCTCAGAGAGCTCGTCCGGTGCTTTCCCGCCATGGTCTACCAAGCCGCCCGCGCCTGTGCCATCGCTGGACACACAGAGCTCTACAAGGAGCTTGCCGTTCAAATCCTGCCCAAGGTTTCCATCGCCGAAGAAGCCCGGGAGAACGGCAACCAAGCCATTTTCAATCTGATGATGGAGGCGCCCTGTCGCTACAAAGTCTTTGACGAATACAACCGTACCATGAAGATCATGGCACCGAAGCCTGCTTTTTTGAACGGCGATACCGCAATCCGACCGTACCTGCTGGAGACCCAGGTGTTTGAACCTCCAGGTGGTCGTATGGATGATGAAGAAGGAAATTCCGAGCCCGACGACGACGAGTCGGATCCCTTAGGCCTCGGCCTTCGACGCGGCTTCATACAGACTCGCTTCAACATCACCGAGGATATGAACATCGATCTTGACGGGAATGGTGGTATCCCGGATTCAATCACCCCAGTAGTCCCGGATTCTGATGAAGAAGCACTGGAGATATTCTGCCAGCCGCTCCCAGTCGACCTGACCACCTGCCATAAAGACTTGCTCATTCTCATGGCAGCATACAACGGCGATATAGATAGGTACCATCGACTGCGACGACCTCGACTCCTTGACCGCGAGATGGAATGTATTGTCCGCGGAATATGTATGACCAACCCTTGCAAGAAGAGGCCTTTCCGCAGCTTCTAACATTTTTTGCAGATCATAATACGCTTTTTGCGCAATGGTGGAAAAGCCAGCCACTACCCGAGGGCGATGAATTACCCATCCGCAAGGCCATATCGGCGCGAGGAATCATGAACAACGATCTGTCTTACATCCTATCTCCCAACGAAGCCTGCCCTCAACTAATCTGGTATCCTGCCGTCGCTGCGTCCTCGACATCCGAGGCTCTCGCACGGCTAATCCCCCCAATGCGGCCCGAAGTCGCTCGTGCCGCGATTTTCTCAAACAATCAGATGCTATTCGATAGCCTTATCGCCGGGGACGACGATGGCGAGCCCGTTGAGCCGAGTTTCGGTCTGCTGAATGAGGCTAGGCGAAGCCATAATGTGCACTATCGTGAAGCTCTAGAGCGTAAGGCGGAGGAACTGGGGCTTGATATGAACTGGAGCGTACCACGGCCTGACCCAAAGGTGCAAGATTTGCCACAACACATACACTTTTTTGACATGGAGTTGCCTTCGCCACCCCCTGGTATTGGAACGAACAAAGGCGAGCCGGATTCGATATACAACGGCTTGTCGTGTAACGCAAGCTATGTCGAGACGTACATTTCTATTCCTGAGGAATGGAAGAGGGCGCCGGAGGGTTACGAGCCAGAAGACGGAATCATGCTTCTGGAACTGGACTACGAGCGGTGGCCTCTGGGATTCTCGAAAAAATACCCAGCGGGAAGTCGGTGATTGGAGAAGTCTGGGAGACTTAGTGTGGCTTTGTAATGCAAGTACGCTCACATAGTCGACTAGAGCAGACTTTTCATGTCGCATTCACTGGGTTAGTTTCTACTCCGTAAGCTTATGGGGTTGATAATGATTGCCTTCCTGATCGGATGTTACATCTTGATCGAAAGTGGATGGGTTGAGGTCACGCATAATTTCCTGAAAATAAATTTACGAAGAGTGAGACCACTGAAGAGAAATTCGGTGGTTTCTTGTCGAAGCGCAGGATGTCTAGGTTACGTACGTACATTTGGCTCGCCTCAGTCCGGTCACTAGCCACTTCTCAACGACTTGCTTTGGTCCAGATTATTCAGGATCTGATGCTGATGCTAACAGCGTCGTAATAGGAAGCAATATGGGGCTCTTGCGAATACCGCAAGAAAAATTGACAGCCTAATTCTTCGTACCTTTGTGTTCAACAGAGTCTTCTGCAGCGAGAACCGCAATGTGGAGTATGATTCCACTGAAAGGGCGCATATTGCAGCTTTCATATCGAGACATCAGACGACGTGAGAGGCAGCGGGGCCGAATAGTCTAAGGAAGTTTCTAGGCAGTGTATACGATCATTTGGGATTTTGGATAATGAGGTAACTGATAACATGATGTGTTTCTGCTAATTTGCTATTTTCCTATCGTACACAGGCCACCACCTTGAATCCCCCAACCTTCTGGCCACATGGATCGGCCCGGAAAAGGAAAATCGTTCGTCATACCCATTCTTCATTCGTCATCAGAGCTACAGCCTCCAGCCCATAAAAAGAAAACAAAAACTTTTGATAACCCGTACCTTACACAACGAAACCGAAAACACTAATTTTCAAACCTTCGCACTTGGAGTAACATACACGTTCGAGGCCTCTACTTAAGAGAGCGTCGAATGAGAAAGCGAGTTGGCGAGATCCACGCCTAAAGGCTGTTGGTGACAGATTTGCTGAGACTGAGACCATCCTTAGAAATGTGAAAGCTGTCAAGTCGCGCTTCAAAATTTGCCGTGAGCCTGGTGGCCGCCACGTCCTCGGCCTTGTCCTCGGCCACGACCGCGGCCACGGCGATTGTTCCCTAGCGCACCGTTGTTTTGGTGGTTGCCTGCGGTTCCAGACGGACCAGCTTCACCACTTCCGGTATTGGTGGAAATGTTGGTGTGCATACTGAGAGCTCCAACCTTCTGTTTGCCTCGAGCCTTAGCCGACATTTGCGCCGGTGCCGGCTGGTAGGGGATGCCAGATCCAGAGGGCTCGCCTGCGGTATCTGAGCCTGAACGCAGGGCCTGTTGTTTCTTGTTCTTCTTCTGTGTCTTCTTCTTGAAGTTACTCTGCTGACCATTGTCATCGCTCTCAAGTAAGTGGTCGATCTGCTTGCCTTTGCCTTTGGCGGAGCTGTACTGCCTGTGCTGATCTTCGACAGATTGGCTGACCTGCTGATTCTGCAGTGTATCCGCATGGACCGGGTGCATCGCTGGGGAAGACTGTGCAAGATCTTGCTGAGTCGCAAGCTGGGCTCGTCCTCGATCGCCGTACTGCTTGTGTCTCTGCAGATAGTTAACGGCATTGTGACCACTCTTGGTGATCAACTCCTGAATGCCGCTGACAGCATGATGTACCTGGTTTCTCTGACCGGATCTCTAACCCAAGTCATTGTTTCTTGGTCCTCTCTGACTGCGAACGACGGTCGAATGATGGCCGTGTTGATGGTTTTCAGCAGCATCATAGACGTGATGGCCATGCTGAGGCTGGAGGTGGCCACCTCGGTAATGGCGTCCACCGATGAGTCCATTGCCACGATCCCAGCCTCCTCCAATATTTTTAGCTCTCGATTGATGATCCTTGTTCTCATAAGGAGCATGCTTGCTGAGGTCACTCTTGCCAGAGATCTGATGAGCCGCGACGCCGGGAATGAAGGTACGGAAGCAGCTGGGGCTCTGGCGCTGGATAGTCTCGACAATTGCGCGGAGACGGGCGACGCGAATTTGGTTGTCCTGTTGATTCAATACCCAAGGTACAAGGTACAGGCGCTCACCGGTCGAGCACATGTTGCTGACCCGCCTGAATCTGCGATTCTTGTGGCAGACTGTCGTGTTCTCGAAAGCGAACTGATCTGTGATGAACAATTTTCTGGCGTGGTCGAACTTCAGGAATTTGTGCCCGAAGATAACATGGTCGTCTGGATCCCATTCAATATACCGGGGCACATTCCATTGGGCGATGAATTCGGGGCTCATGATCTCCCAAAAATGCTTGATCAGAGACGGCGTGTTTTTGCTGAACCAGTAGAAGCTCTCCGTGAGGGCATTCCTGATAAGATGTTCGTCGTCGTGGCCGGTGCAGAAGAGCTCGAAGGCAGCCATGTAGTCGAGCATGAAGTCATTGTGGAACAGCATGTTCCAGTCGGAATCCACGTGCTTGAGCGTGTTCCAGAGATTGCAGGTGCGAGTGAGCAGCGTTAAGAACATATGTCTCACGATGCAGAGAAGCGAGCGGTGTATAAAACGATCGCAGAGAATGATGACCTGGGCTACCTTCTTGAGCTTGACTTTAGGAATCTCCAGGTGTGCTCTCTTGAAGGCCTCGGGCTGGTTCTCGTTGATGAGACCATCGAATGAAGCGAAAGGTACGACCTTGGTTCCAAGAAATTTTATCTCAAAGTACCAGCCGTGAGTGAGTTGAAAATAAAAGTCGAGGGCCTCGGCGTCAATGTCGTCGAAGGAGATCTCCTGGGTGTGAGCCTCCCGGAAGAAGCCGAAAAGGGCGGCCTCGAAGAACATGGATCCTGCGGTGATGATGTCGCGGAAGACAACGAACAAGGTATCTCCACAGTTGATGTGGACAAACTCGTCCTCGCGGCTTTCGTAGGTGTATCAGAACACGAACAGGCATCGAATCGAGGAAAAAACTCACATTTCAACGACCGCAGACCTGTTTTCAGCTGCGGCTCTCTTGTTGACATCCGCGGCGAGCCAGAGCGCGTCTAGACGGAAATCGCAGACCTTGAGCATTTTGAGTGATGGTGTTTGAGCAGGGCGGCGGCGGTGTATGTAAAAAGATGCCAGTGACGACGAGGATCAGTGGATGGTGCCCGACGTCGTCGTAGATGATGGTAAGCAAAGGTAGAGAGTAGAGGAAGGATTATGTTGAAGCTGATTGTCTCTTGAGATCTTGCCTCCTTTGAGACGGTGTTTGTGGAAGACAAGAAGGGAAGAAAGAGGGCGTAAGCCGAAAAGGAATGGACCTTCCCGTACAATGCCCAGTTGTAAGGCAACAAGCGAGGCAGGCGAGGTCAAAACCCCTATTAAAGGTAGTAGGGTATGTCAAAAGAAAGGATGGCGACGTGGCCGAGCGAGATGTTTTGGTCCGGATTCTTGTCCCAAGCACGAGGCGAGAGTGGTGTGAAGTCAGTTGCCCTTTCAAGGAGGTCGGAGCAGCTGCCGTAGCGCACCGGGTTGGCCCCACTTGTCGCCTAGTGAGCTCCGGTAGGTCCCTGGCACTTTCAGAAACCATCTTCATCCAGCCCAGACCGGAAGTGCAACAAAGCAATCGATTGATTAATAGTGACTCATTAAGTAGCATTAAAGTGAATTGGCTATGGATCACAGGCGCATACCTACAAGCAGCTTGGCACCTGCTACTGACGGATGGCATAGTTTTGGAAGATGACTTGATGAGGATATTGAAAATTGCCCGATATTGGAATCAAGATAGCCATTGGTTGCAGAGGACTAGATTAGTCCGCCTCCGTCGCCTTTTATACTCCTCGCCAAGCCCTCTCAGCTTGAATTGAATCCGTGGGAATTTAGACTTTGGGTATTCAAAAAGAAAAGGAAACTAGAAAAAAAAAAAAAAAGGACTGCTTTGTCTGCCTACGTGCCTTAGCCCGTGGAACATGTACCCGGTGATGGCGTTATGGCGAGTCAAGGCTGAATGAGTTTAGGAGTATCCGTACACATTATAAATGTGCCATTATAGGGGGGCTCAATTGCCATGGCTGAGTTGACAAAGCCAGATTTCTCGGCACTATCGGCGCGCTCGGCTCGCGGCTGTGCTTTTCTCCCGACAAGAATCAAGATCCTAGATCCATTACCTTTCCACTAATCAGGTGAACCGCCAGTTTGATGAGAACCAACGCGATAATAGAGTTTGACACGTAAATGGGCCCACGATGGGATGGACCGGAGCTCGAGTGGCGCGCCAGAAAGGAGCCTGAGTATTGGCAACAAAAGTTTAATAAACATCACAAGCGGATACGAACAGCGACGATCCAGCATTTAATAACTGACATGCCCGCCCATCTGGTTGATTCCAATGCACAATCTTCCCAGTGACGATCCAACTCGGTCACTCGTTTCTCACACTAAGCAGCTCATCGGTCCTTGTTATCAGCCTCCCACCCGTTCACCAACAGCCATGCACATCCCCGCCGCCGTCCGCAGCCTGTCCTCAGCCGCGCTCTTCACGCCGTGGGACAAGAGCCAGTGGGTCGCCTCCGACGACACGGTCCGCAACGGTTCGAGTCATTCGACGCTGGACATCATCGCCGCCGGCGCCGCCGGCAACCCTTTCTCCGAGTCCATTGCAAACTTCCACGGCAACCTGGACTACGCGACGCTGGGCGGCGCCGGCTTCGCGTCCCAGCGGACCGTCGACAATTGGCCGGGCCTCGACATTTCTGCGTACGACACAATCACCCTCGAGATTCCCTTCGCCGACGGAAAAAAGTATACGTTCAACTTGAAGGACACGATTCCGCCACCCATCGACGGCAGGGAGCAGTCTGGCGTCAGCTGGGAGTTTGATTTCCAGATTCCCGCGGTGAATCACACTGACGGTCAGGTTGAGAGGGTTGTTATGCCAATTAGCAAGTTTGTGCCTACTTACCGCGGACGGGTCCAGAATGATACTGCGCCGCTTAATACGGCGAGCATCAAGAGAGTCAATTTCATGATCAGAAGGTCAGTGAAACATGTCTGTGTGAGCACCAAATTTGGATAGGAGCTAATGTTACCCTAGCTTCTTTGCTGCACAAGAGGGAAATTTCCAAGTGCACATCAAGTCCGTGATTGCTTCGAAGGAGGCAAGCAAGTAGACTATAAATATAGCCAACTTTCAATAGCAATAATGCAAGCGAGTCTATCAAATGTTGGATGAACCAACGTCGGGGCCTAAAAATTCGCAGGGCTTAGGCTCAAAGGCCCTAACAGCAGGTACTGGGATAGTCCCCTTGCTTTCGATATTATAATTTAAAAAAAAAAAAGCAGTCGAGGGAACACATCCTGGAGCGTCTGTAAATCTGAGAGATGTTTCCAGAAACAAAATTTCCTGCTACCAGCTGCAACTTGATGCTTTTCCTGAGTCCTGGACTTGTATTTTGAGAGCAGGTTGAGAAGATCGAGCTTGCTTGCGTTACGTACCTGAAGGAGGCTGCCTCGCACTGTGCGTCCAACCCGGCCATTGCCACTCCACACAGTGAGTGGAGTGCGACCCCTCCACTTCCTTCTGCCTTGGCCGCCGAATGGAGGCACGAACAAGCTGGCTGCTTCCGCATCTCATCTCGTTCAAACTGAAGAATTTATAACCGCCCTGTTGCGGAAAACACCTTCTTCGTATAGCTGACCTTGCGTTCCCCTTTTAGATGCCAGATACATCGGTGTCCTAGCCGTTGAGTCAGCTACTTCCGACTGAGTCACCCGAGCCTGAGCACCAAAGTCTCTCCACCATTCAATTCGCTTTTCAAAGCATCGACTTTCTCAATCTTTTTCGAAGACTTCCTCCCAAATTTCATATCCAGTGCTGTGCAGGATATCTTGGTCTTTGGAGAAGCTTGGTGTTCTTCTTCACCGGTCTTACTTCTCGCGGTCATCGATTGATGTGTGTCTTGCAAACAGCGACGTTCATCTAAGTTAGGAGCCACGCACTTTCTGCTATGCAAAGAGACTTAGGTCCAGACTTGACCAAGCTCTCACGGACGACTTGGCCCCAACACTTCCGATATGGGAGGTTCTGCTTTCACCTCTGGGGATGACCCCCTAGACACACCGCGAATGCCTGCCAAAGTATACGAACGAGCCAAGGCCGATTGCTTTGCTGCATTGCGAGAGTTGTTCCTCTGTGTAGCCAGCCCTATTGAAGGCCCCGAAAAACAAGACTATGGCGACATTGACATCCTTGTCATCTGGGAGAGGGCGCCTTTCGTCGGGAAATGCGGTGGGGAGTCAGCACCGGAGCCAGTGTCTAGACGACAAGAAGAACGGGAAACTGACGAAGAGTGGTTCGAGATGGTCAATGACGAGAAAGATGGACAAGAGAGAACACCAGGCCATTCGATAATGTCTAAAGAGGAGGCACGCAAGGCCATCTTTGCCGCCCTCGGCGCCAAACGCGCAATCTACAACAATGTCGGTGACAACTATGCCATCCCGTGGCCGGTGACAGAGACTGAGGCGGAGGCTAGCAACGAGCCAAAAAGATATATTCAGGTCGACTTGATCATCTGCAACTCGCTACAGCAACTACAATGGATCTTGTTCAAGCATGCCCACGGCGATCTTTGGAGTATTTTGCAGACCATCATCCAGCCACGCGGGCTGACCGTCGACGATTACTCCATGTCACTACGGAACAACAACATTGAACGATTCGAGAGATACAGCAAGAAGTGGCCCAAGGTGCATCTCTCGAGGGATCCTGCCGAGGTCCTCGTCTTCTTGGGCCTCGATGTTGCACGATTTTCAGAGCCATTTGCTACTCGAGTTGAGATGTACGAGTACATTGCAAGCTGTCGTCTTTTTTGCATCGAAACAGACCATGGTCGGTACAATAACCCCGACGCGACCAACCCGAAGATGGTCATGGAGCCAAAGAAACTAGAGGACATGGGCAATATGGACGTCGATAGCGTGGAGGGGCCCGCGAGGAAGAAGTTGAAGGGCAAGAACAAACAGCGCTTGCTGAAGCGGCCCGCCTTCCGCGATTGGTTTGAGGAATTCCTCCCTCGCTGCCGAGCCGAAGGCCGTTACGCCGACCGCCCTCAGCTGTTCACGTCAGACGTTCACGAAGAAGCTTTTGCCCGCTGGGGGAAGTTCGGACCGTGGTTCTGGCGTCTTCATATGGATCTCATGAGAAGTCTTGGCGAGGAAAGGGTTCGTGCGAAGATCAAGGAAGTCGTCCAAAGCCTGGTCCCCGGCACCGACGCCAAGGACAGCCAATACCGCGGCTTGTTGAACAAGGCCTTTAAGAAAATTATCCTCGACGGAGACCCGACGTACGGCGTCACTCCAGAGGAAAATTTCAGGGACGGCATGGGTCAGATGATTAAGGACCAGCCCGAGAAGTTCATCCTCAAACACCACGAAGAGGTCGGGCAGACTGCTGTGGCTGAGCATGAGCGGAAGTACGAGGAGCATCGACGGATGAGGGAGGAGAAGAAGAGCAAGAGCAACCTCTGATGATAGGTATGAATATGTCTTCGTTGCTTTTCAAGATACCAGGTTGCATCCTTAGGGACAGAGGCAGGCAGTCTCCGTAATTGAATCCATACCCACCACCACCTCTCTCACGTGCTCCCATTTGGATTCTTCCCACCTTCACCTTCAACACACGTGAAAGGCAGGGCAGCTCTTTCAATGGCTCGTTAGTCACCGTGCCATAGTCCCGATTTTGGCAACAAGACCACCCTCACATCGTCATGGCGATACCCCCAAGGCACCTCGGCCTCCTCCACAGCCGCAGCTTCACCCTACCCCTTTCAAGCCGCAGTAGGGTAAAGGGTGATCTGCCCTTTTGAAGCCCTAACGACATCATCACGAGGCCCCACGTGTAGAATATATTTTCCAGCCCAAGAGGTCTTGTTGATTTTGGATTTCCTTTCTTCAACCTCACATACCTTGCTTTGGTGAGCTTTGTCTACCAACAAACCAACCAACACCCATCTCCCAACAAAGGTATGTAGCCAAGACCTATTCAGGGGCGAATACTCCAGGGGCGAGTACTCGAAAGACAAGAGCTTCAGCTAACTCAATCGAAAGACACCATGTCGCGAGGCCCAGCCTACGACGCCGAGGTACGATATTTCTCCCTCATACACCCATCCTACTTTTCAAGTCCCTTGCTAACTGGCTTCCGTCCAGCCCAACGGCACCGCCGCCTCCTCCGCTGCCTCTTCCTCCTCCTCCTCCCCTTCCTCCTCCTCTTCCTCCTCGGGGGCCAGGCGCATCGGCATCCAGGAGTACGAGGACGAGTTCGAGCGCGGCCGCGCCCGCAACCGCGCCGAGATCGAAGCCCGCGTCGCCCAGCAGCAGCAGGAGCGTCAGCAAATCTACGAGGAAGGACGCCGAGTCGTGGGCGCCTCCGTCGCCATGAGACGCCGCGTCATGGCGCACTCAATCGCCAGTACCAACACCGTCGACCGCTCTCGTTCCCGCTCTGCCGGTCCTTCCCTCCCGATCACCATCCCCGGTGCCGATACAGATCGCCGCGCTGCCTTTCGCCGCGCAGAGATGGCTCGCCGCGGCGGTGGACACGATGGCGACAGCGGCAATGGCAGCTCTGGCTCCGACAATGGCGGTAGCTCTTCGCGTGGATCGTCACTCGGCCGGATGCCCTAGGATAGCCCCCGCCGCTGGACTGTCTCCAACGTCTCTCGCGCCGGAGGATACTCGCCTGCGGAGCTCAGCGCCCAAGCTACCCGTCTTCATCGTGGAATCGGCGTTGGTCCCTCTTGGGTCGTAAGTTTGCAGTCTTTCCTCCCCCCGCCCCCTGCCCGCCACCCTCTCTACCTGGTCCTTGGCTCCTTCCTAGTCTCACGTTGATATTTATGCTGACACACCCCGTCCTCACAGGACCCAGCCGGACGTCTCCGCCAGTTGCCTTTGGGCACACGCCTCCCTTCTCCAGTCCCCCTTACCGAAGAGGAACTCCATCGAGCTCGCACCCTCGGTGCCCAGCCGCTGCCCCCTTACCCGCGCCGCTCCCCTTCGCCTCGCTCGCGTCCCGTGTTTGGACCGATTACCTACGCCGAGTACATGCGCCGAGTCATTGAGCGCGCTGAGGAGTACCGCGTCTTCTTGGGTCCTCGCCAAATCTGATCCTGGAAGCATGAAGTTCGACATTCAGAAGATTCGTCTCGTTTCGCGTCGTTCTGATGCCTTGTCACACGAAGCCGTCGACTGATATGGCTGCGGTTGCTTCGGAACGGTGGTTCTGCGAGCGGCTTTCTCTGGTTCACATTTGGGTTTTCGGATGGTTATACCGGTTATTTTGGACGTTGAATGGATTTTGGAATGGCTCGCTCTTAACGTGAGTCGTGGTGACGGGCTGATGAGGACGTTTATACCAGTTCACCCACGGCATGGCTGGCACGGCTTAACATAACCGCCAATGTCTCACGCCATCCGCCACTCTTTCAGCATATGGTGTTCGAGATGGAAACGCAAAGACGATAAGCTATGGCTCAAGATACTCAACGTTTGCTTCTTTCCAAAAGAACTAGGGCTCTTGAGATGGATGGCTGCTTAGCTTTCATCAACAAGAAGTTCCTGGACACTCAGTCTACTCGTCAGCGTGACACCATTTTGCTTGTCCCGTCGTGACCCTAGACATTTCAACATTTCCGGAATGAATTTGTACAGCTCAGGTAGTATGCACTATTGCTAATCAAAGCCCGTTTCAATAGGGTCCGTCGATTGCAGTGCTCCTCTTACGGGTTTATCTTGCTTCTCGGCATCACCCTTACACTGGTCTTCTCACCATCTTCGCAGAGATAAACACGGCAGGAACAGGCGCAAGCGTACCCATGTGACCGGCCCCTGCTGTGCCTGTAACCACTCAGATGGTTTGGCACAGGGAGATATTATCCGTCGATTTGGTAGTCGGAGCCTCAGCAGACATCAGCGAACAACTAAAAGCAGGGGCAGGAGCTTAGGAGCCGTGAAGAAAGCCGTGGATGGCTGTCCATCATGTTACTGACCATTTCCTCGTACAACCACGAGAATCGTTGACATGTTGAATTGGTGTCCAATCTCACTGGGATCAGGAACAATATAGCCTCAGTCTCCGCTTAGGTGCCCTCACCAGGCCCATAAGACCAAGACACAGGCTTTCCGACAACCTAAATCGGGGCTTTTGAGAGCGAAGCACCCTCAAAGCTCAAGCAAACAGACGAGGGGAAGCTGCGGCCCGCCCAGAAAGAGCAACAGATTCCCAAATATCTTTCTGATTTTGAAGCACAATCACTTGAACCTGCTGGAATGTTCCCACACTTGCCATCAATATCCAGCCACATATCCCTCTGTACGACGCTGGCATGTGGTGTCTCAAACATCCGGCTCACCTAGCCCACCCCTCAGCCCTAGGAAAAGGAAGCCATTTGCCTCCGGATGGATCCCGCGCACAGGTTCCCGCACATCGTGTCCGTCGGAAAAGGGGACCGCCGGTGGCGCCCACTTCTCCATCGACCATCGTGGGAAGATGGGGGGTCGGGGACGAATCCACCACATCGCATCATGGGCAGTTCCGGGTCGTGTCACTTCCATCAACAATAAAGCCGCTCGCCCGGCTAGCTCAATCGGTAGAGCGTGAGACTCTTAATCTCAAGGTTGTGGGTTCGACCCGTAAGTACTTATAGTGCCCCCTGCCGAGGCACGAGCTTGACATCTAACTCATTCCAGCCACGTCGGGCTCAATTCCCGTCAGCGACTGACATCAACTGTTTTTTCCTTTTTTTGTTTTTGGTGGGCTTTTGGGTCTGAAGTTGTGTGCTCCACCGGCGCTTGAGGGAAGCGGCGGGTTCGTCGGCCTGATATGGAACACTCGAGCCGAGGCACGGCGTCTGGTAAAGCTACGTTGTTCGACTGGCGGAGACGGCCAACGGGAGCTTGGCAGTCGGGGGGTTTCGAGGGAAGGAAAACGAAAAGGAATAAGATGAGGAAGTCCCACCCTCCAATGGTCGCGTATGTGTCCATTTGGATCGGTGCCGTTTGTTTACAAACGTCGGCCAACATCAATTTTCTGCCTCGGCAACCAGGTCTTGGGGCCTAGCGAAAGTAACCCAGAAGATTGAATGCCTGGGCGAATCCAAATTGGGCTCATCAAACCCCAACATGTCGCCAGAGATGGGGCGCTAGTAGGCAAAGGTGCAGCAGGATGCCCTTGCAATCCTGCCAGGGGTAATGGGAATATTGCTTTTCATACCACCAAGAGATCACGAGCGGTGAGACAGCTAAGATTCAATGATGGGATGGATGGATGGATGGATGGCCAGGTCCGGATGGCCACGGGAAGCATGGGTTTGGGCAACCGCCCGAAGGGATGGATGCCAGTGCCAGCCACAACGTTTTTTGCGACGCGGACGGTTATTCTGGTGAACTTTGTTTTTTGGGGGCCGGGACGTGCTGTCAGCGGGTTAGCGGAAGCTATCCGGACAAGCCACGTTGAAGCTCCGAGGCACCACTAAGCACAAAGAGCACGGCCGTACAGTGTGTGTGGTAAAAGTGCGAAGTGATGCACCAGCCGTAGATTCATTCCTCGACTTTCACATCAGCTCAGCAAGTGGTGCTTATGGTCTCTACCAGCCAGGCAGAGTTGAAAACGGTGTCATTGGCTGGGCGGCGATCCAAAGTGCATTCCTGATGAGCTGATGACCTTGAGATGATGGTGACAGGCAGTACCTTGCATATCGACAGGGGTAATACGCCGTGTGCTGAGTACCAGGTATCCGAGCCGCGCTGCCCCCTGTGCTGTGGCTTCAGATATTGGGAAGTGGTCAGAGTCTTATTGGTGGTTGCTGACACCGAACTGAGGCGCTATAACTATTTCCGGCTGAGTCCTGAATAGCTTCTAAATCGAAAGCCAGTAAATGTTTGGATAGTATTGCAGCTGATGACTTGGAGCCTGGAGATGATGACATCTGCAGAAACGCAGGCAGGCAGAGACGAGGCTGCGGCGGGGGGAAGTGATGACGAATGCCGATGCATTTGGAAAGTGTGCCCCTGGGAAATGAATTTTGCTATAGCCTGTGCCGCCTGGGCAGGATTCCTTACCGGAGCTGCTCACCCGGAGCTGCTCACGGGAGCATGTCATTGTGCTGGGGACATGTCTGTTCATCGGCCTTGTGCATGGCTGCATATGCAAGCTCCACTGGGACCTGGGGCTCTGGGTAATCCAACATTCGGGATTTCCACACTACTGGTCGATTGGGGTCCTCCGTTGCGACGCACATGCGAGGTCTCTGATGTGGATTGCTGAACGACGCATCCCACCCAACACAGGTGTGCCTCTGGCAACCACCACACCCACTCAATCAGCGTCAGCCGAGCCGCAGCCCTGTGAGTCAAAATAAGAACTACATTGCACAGAAGAAGCAAGCCGTACTCTCATAACTCCCGTGCAAAGGCCAATGGGCACGTCGATGTATTCCACATCGATTCCTTAGACTGGACATGCCGCCGGTCAAGCGCGCAGCCTTGGATTCGAGGACCAGCACCACCGACCGCGAGATGCGAACCGTCCCCGTTGGGACTCTTCAGTGTTCGTCGCCTCATCCTGCTTAAAAACTTAGGCAGGCAGCAGCCCGGCCGGTGAGGTTAGACGATGCATTGGGAACATGGTTTGTGCAGCAAGTGCTCGTACCGGATGACTCTCCAGACATCATGGGCCGAGGCAGGCAGAGGATGCAGCTAGCGCCGGCGGAGCTGTCGACATGGTTTATAGGTCCGCAACTCCCGTCCGCTACCCGCACGAGATGATACCAAGTTTGGGCTCGTCTCCTTCGAAATCCCCAGGGCACGCATTCGCGGACAGGCTCGCGCCATCCTGCGACGTTGGCTTGCACGAGTGAAGCCGTTCCCAGCGCACCACACCGGTCTCACTGTCGCTTGGGCATCACCATTCACCGGTGCTGAGAAACAGACAGGGTGCGTTGGTTGGACAAGCAAACCGGCCAGGCTGTGGCCTGGGCAGTCGGAGCTTGGTGTATCCACCTCTTTTATTTGGCGTCTCATTCCAACTGTTTGCAACATCTGGAACCTTGATGGGCATCTGAGTCAGGACAGAGACCTCAACAGTTGATCCAAATATCTACCGTCGAGCTGGCCGTATGCGAAGCAAAGTCTGGTTTTGTCCATTTCCTGTTCCCTTTTTGTTTCATCAGACATTGGACAGCAACAGGCCAACTCACACCGGTGACAAACCCCTCATCACCCAGTGAAACAAACATCACCGGGAAGACGCAGCGATATCGACAGCCTGTGACTGATTGCTGGGTATCTTGCCTGCCACGGACACACGGTGACTGCAGGTGGGGTGTGAGAAGCATAGCACCGCGACAGGGTAACACGAAGGTTCGGCCTCGAGACCTTCTCTCGTTTTCTCCGCGTCGCTTCTGTGCTTCTTCTTTGGCCGGCGAAAGTTCCACCCTCTCGGCCATCTGACAAGGTTTCGAAAGGTCACGATCCCAAATCGCGGCGTGCTCGAGCACGGCTGTACAGCTGTCCAAGGTCCCGTCCAGTATCCCAGCATAATTGCCTTGGGTTTGTCACAACACGAAGCAGACAGGAGTGAGTTCTCGCAGAATCGGAGACGCGTCGTCCCTGTGCCCTGTCATCCCGGCTTTTGGTGTGTCTTGTTTGGTGTTACACAAGAGACGCTGTTCAATTTCGGCTCCGGCCGCCGCACAAGCATTTCGCAGCAAGCAACAACGGTAGCAGTAAGGTAAGGTAAAACAGCAACGCAGGGCGATCAGCAAATAAACGAGAGACGAGAGAGACGGTTGGGGATTGCCATTGCCCGTTTCCCCCGCCAACTCCCAACTCCCAACCCTTCCCCCGGCACGCCTGCGCGACCATTGCATTTTGGGACAGAATTTTCGAAGTACCTGCCTGGCCTGCGTGCCTGCCAGTACTGGTTTCAGGGACAGGAAGGAACCGAAGGACTGGCTGACGTGCGACAACTCTGTGCCTGCCGTTTTTACAGACGCGTTTTTCGGTTCCTGCACTTTCTGCGAGGTACCTCGACCACACGTTACCTCACTTTACCTTCTCTACGTACCTTAGGTACCGACAAACCGAAGGTGTATCCGTACACCAAGGCAAAGGGACCCAGGGAGTTTCTTTCGTCCGAAAGAGGTACCTTGCTTCCTACCTCACCAAATCGGAAGGGCGGAAAAGGGAAGGAGAGATCTGGCAACCCTGCAGCTCCAGCAGCTCCTCCTCCCTCGTTCTGAGACGTCTTCGCTCCAGCTGCAGCAGTTGGTTCACGTTCCCTCCGCTTAGACGGTGCCCAGCTGCCTGGCCTTGCATCGACTCGACGCGCGCATCTACATTCTCCCAACAGAAGGAAAGAACAAGAACAAGGAGAAGGCTCAATTCATTTTTTCACCGCCCCTTACTCCTCCTTTTCATCCTCCCCGTCCTCCCCACCCTCCTGTCCTTTCTCCCCATTCCCCAGAGCCTGGGATCACTTGCTACAAACACGTCCCCGGAGCGCGGTAATTGTTCATTACCTTAATATCCACGTACGGCACCTCCAGTGCCTCTTTATGCCTTCTCTTCCACCGTCACCTTGAACACCGTCTTTCTAGAGGCGATCAAGGCCATCTTAGTCTTGCTTCGGCTTGCATCATCCATCCTACCTCCCCATCGCCAACCTTAAAACCCGCCTGGAGGCAACCACCGAAACGTACTTCTGCCCGCTCAGGTCCACTCGACGCATCCCCTTCCATCGTCACCCTTGCTTCGCCCTGCAAGCTGCAAAGCTGAATGGGAAACTTGGGGAAGGAAACGAAACAGAACTCCGTCTGGCAGGAAGCACTTCCCGTCTTCCCCGTCTGGCGCCATCCCTGTTAAGGCGCGCTCTGGACATCAGATCACCCACAGCTCCATCCATCCCTGGCCAAAGCTCCCGGCGGCCCTCTCATCAGACACCCGTCACTTGTCTTCCCCCCAGCATCTCGCAATCTCTGCAACTTTCATTTGTCGACTTGTCAGCTAGTTGCCTCTCACTTTTTGGTAATTCCATCAACTACCTAATCCACTCACCCCCAGGTGCTCTCTCTAGCTGTTTGGTCGTCCTGCGGATCTACCATTGCTCCACACGCCCTCGCCAACGTCTGCCGCAATGGCGTCTCCCGAAGAACTGCTCGATAGCCTTCACTACCTCTATCCGGCACTGGCATTCACCTATTTCGCCGTTGCTTCTGCCATTGCTGTATGCACTCTTCAGACCCTCCGGGCCGCCAATAGCCCAGGCAAAGAGTTCATCCCTCGCTTATGGATCCTCAACCTACTCGTCGCCTTCGTCCTGACCTATGTCGCCCAGATTGCCGTCATCGCTATACAATCCATCCTGCTTAAAGAATGGATTGGCCAGGAACATGAAGTTATCGGCTTACTGTCCTGCGTGCTTGTCTTTGGTACTCAACTGGCTTTCCTCACTGACACGGAACATCCAGTATGGACACCGTACTGGGGCTCGTGGCTCATCTCTTTGGCCTTTGAGCCTTTAATTGGCGTGCCGGATCTCATCCTCAAACGGTCCAGCACTTTTGAACACTGCCGCGTCGCTCATCTCGTTTTCGCTGGTCTCCGCTACTACCTCCTCCTCACCATTGTTTCTGTCTACGTTGTCCAGCGTATCCGAGCTAGCCAGGAGGAGGCCACGGATGAAGAACGGCAGTCTCTTCTCGGTCAGGACGACCCAAAATCGCGACTTAGCAGTTCAGGAAATGGAAGCCAGAGCTCTGGTTCCGGGTATGGAACCACAAGCGATCCGCCAGAGTCCTACTGGGCCGAACGCCAGCGAAAGGCACAGGAGGAGATGGAAAAGCGCCTTCAGGAAGAGGGCAACTGGCTCACATATATTAAGGGCTTCGCCGTAAGTTGTTGGCCCTGCTCCGTTGCTTTTCCCACATCCAAACCTGTCTAACACCATTCTAGATTTTGTTTCCCTACATCTGGCCTGTAGGACAGAAACCCCTGCAGCTACGTCTTGTTCTCGTCGGCCTTTGCCTGCTCGCCGGCAATGCTCTCAACCTATTGATCCCGCGTCAATTTGGCATCATTGTCGATCAGCTCAAGGATCGGAATTTCAGCAGTGCCTGGATCGGCGTTGCTGTTTACGGCCTCCTGAGAATCGCTGCCTCAGATGCCGGTATAGAGTTTCTGCGACAGTGGCTCTACCTCCCTCTCGAGGTCTATGCAGACGGTGCTCTGAGCACCGCCGTTTACCGACACATCTTGAATCTCTCGGCTGACTTTCACGACTCAAAGAGCACATCCGATATCAGCCTGGCCATGTATGGCGGGTCGAGTGTTTCCGACCTCTTGGAATCTATCTGCTTCCAAGCCCTCCCCATGCTGATCGACCTCGTCGTTGCCGTTGTGTATCTCTCGGTTATTCTGGGGCCTTACGAAGGTCTCATCACCCTGGCGACAAGCACGCTTTTCTTATTCATCGCTACGAAGATGATTGCGGTGATGAAGGAACGCCGACGAGCCCATCTGAACGCCCAGTACGCCGAGCACTATGTACGCCAGACTGGAATCACAGGTTGGCACACGGTTGCATCCTTCAATCAGACGACATACGAAGATGACCGCTACTCCAAGGCAATTCATACTCGCATCGACTGGACCAAGCGTGTACGTCTTGGATGGTTCACTGCGCAAGCATTCCAATCTCTGGTTCTTCTGTGCGGTCTTCTGGCCGGCGCGATACTGGCTGTGTACAGGATCAAGAACAGCAAGGCCACTCCCGGTGACTTGACAATGCTCTTGATGTATTGGGCACAACTCACTTCTCCCCTGAGGTTTATGGCAAGCCTGGGGAAGAAGATTGGAAGCGACTTGATCGACGCCGAGCGGTTGCTGGACATTATGAAGAAGGAGCCAACTATCGTGAACAAGAAGGGAGCCCGGCCCCTGAAGCTCGTTGGCGGCAATGTCGATTTCAATGACGTGAGCTTCACGTACGATTCCAAGAAGAAGATCATCAACGGAATTTCTCTTTCTGTTCCCGGGGGCCAGACTGTGGCTTTTGTTGGCGCTACTGGTGCTGGCAAATCCACCATGTTGAAGCTGCTCAACCGTTTCTACGATGCCAGCGAAGGATCCATCCTGATCGATGGACAGGATGTTCGCGACGTTGACTTGCACAGCCTCCGTGACCGCATTGGACTGGTACCGCAGAATCCTGTACTCTTTGACGACACGATCATTAGCAACATTCGATATGCAAGGATCACCGCCTCTGACGACGAGGTATTTGAAGCATGCAAAGCCGCTTCCATCCATGATAAGATCATGACTTTCACCGATGGGTATAATACGCGCGTTGGTGAGAGAGGAATGTAAGTTAACACAGTTCTTGCGTATAGATGTACAGCTGATCGAGAACAGCAAACTTTCCGGCGGCGAACTTCAGCGTGTTGCTATTGCACGGGCAATTCTCAAGCAGCCTGAGATCGTCCTTTTGGACGAAGCAACAAGTTCAGTGGACACCGATACAGAGCAGAAGATCCAGCAGTCATTCATGCAGCTCTGCAAGGGACGGACCACCTTCATTGTCGCGTAAGTTTCCCCGTTCCTCAATCCTCTATGATTCACCACTATGCTTTTCCCTAGCACCAGAGTTTTCAGGTCAAGGTGCTAACTGGACACAGCCATCGACTTTCAACCATCATGAACGCCGATCGTATTGTTGTCATCGAGGATGGTGAAGTTGTCGAGCAGGGCAATCACGTTGACCTCGTCAACGCCAAGGGAAGATATGCCGACCTGTGGTCCAAACAAACTTTCCTGAAGCCCCAGGACGATGATGTAGCCACCAGCAAGAAATCGACTGTAAGCAGCATTGAGAACCCAAAGCCCAACGGCACTTCAGGCAGCACAGATGCTGTCGCGTCGGAGAGCTCCGAGGATTCCGCGACAACACCGACTCAGGCCAGTAGGGGAAACGAGGGCGTCCAGACTCCTGGTCATCACAAGAAAGAGGTAGAGTCAGCTGAAGATTCGTCTTTGGCAGATTCTAACCACTAATTGTGTAGGGATCTCGATTGAACCCCGTGGCACCCGAATTTACGCCTAAGTCAGTACCCATTGCCAACGTCTCTTTTTCATCTCCCAGTCGCCAAGCTGTGCCCAAATCCGGGGAGCCACACGTCTCGCCCATTCGCCAGCCTCCCAAGCGGGTCGTGAATTGGGCGAGCGCTACTTCTTCGGATGACGGTTCCTCCCCACGGTCTACAGGTGACATTGTGACTATTCAAGCCGGCAGCTGTGCTCGACCGAGTTCTCTGTCTAGTCGGATCCCCTTCATGGATGATTCCTCTGAAGGGAAATCATTCAACGGCTTGGCGATGCCACGTGATCGACACGATACCAAGGTGCAAGATTCAGACAACGACTCTGTGGACACTGTCATCAAGCTCGAGCTCTCTCAGTTTCGGACTCCCCATGCTACTGCCCGTCGCTTCAACGCCATGAGCGACTCGAAAGGACAGCCTGGTGATGACACGGATGCGATGGACCAAAGTGGCAATGACAGTGACGTATCCATTCCTGTAAGTTCTTCGCGGTCCGTTAAAGCCGACTGCAAAACTGAGTATCTGCAGGAGGTACGCCACGTGTCTGCACCGGTCCTGAAGCTGAAGGCTGTCACTCTGGGACAGGAGAATCGTGCTTCTCCAATGACCATCACTGTACCCAAGGATTTGATCAGCAATGGATTGCCGAGCCCGAAACCTACTGGCACGCCTGCTTCTCAACCCAAGGAAAACTTATCTGCGGGACCTCATGCCCCAACTGCGACCAATTCGATCACCTCATCATCCCCCCTCAAGGAGGTGACCCAATCGAACTTACCAGCACGCTCGCTTGCTCGTGAGTCACAGCAAACCAACCACCATCGTGGACAAAGAAAAAAATATCATCGAGGTGGAGGACGTGGACGTGGCCGCCATGGTCACACGAAAGCCCCCGAGACATCTGGTGCAACTGGCTCTTAGTCTAATGCTCACGGCGTTGTTCCTTGAAAATTCGCAACTCTACAATCCCTCTTTCGCCAGACCACATATTTTCTTTGTTGGGGTTAGTAGGCACTCGCCCAGTGTAACATGACGGTATGTAATTCTCAACTCATTCCTACGGGCTATTTGAGGCCGAATCCTGTGGTATTATTTAGAGAAGGAAGTCTGCGCAAGCTGGCATGTGTGAAAAGAGACGGGGGCGCTCCATTGCTTATCACAAAGCATTGTGTTTCTCATCAAAAGCAACTAAAATTTGGCGACGGATAGGTTTCTTTAGACTGGATGGGAAAAGCTCAGAACAGACTAGGCGGGTTCTTGTAGTTTAGACTAGAATGGCTTGTATGGTTATGACGGATCGGTAGCTTGATGAACATGCTTAATTATCAAACACCCGTCGACTGTATATCTCACGCACGATTCTGACCTTATATGACGAAGTTTGTCTCATGGGGCCGTTGGTTGTCTTCTATTCATGCATCGGTGTTTCATATATGTCGATGTTAGGGTAAATCTAGTGGGCCACAGTGGCAATCGACTGAGCTTCTCTAATTCTTCAACAGCAACCATCTTGGAAAAACGAATTGTGATCTTCCAAGAAAAGAGGTTAAGCCGAGCCTCCACGGCCAGCACCGGCGCCTCCGCCGGGCGCACCGCCGGGTGCACCTCCACCTCCCATCATGTTGCGTGCCCTAGTAAAAGTTGTCAGTTCCTCTACTCGTAGATTTATTTCAAATGGCGAGGACACTTACATGTCGGCAATGTTGGGGTCGGACATGAGAGCGTTCAGGTCAGGCATGCCACCACCGCTGCCGAAGCTGTTGGCCATCTCGCGCAGACGGGGGTTGCTCATGAGGTTGCCCATCATTTCGGGGTTGCTCATCAAGTTCTGGGCCATGCTCGCAAACATGGGGTTGTTCATAATCTGGCTGAAATCGGGCATGCCTCCCGCGCCACCCGCGCCGCCGGCACCACCGCCTCCGCCGAGCATGCTCGCCAGACTGCTCAGATCGGGCATACCACCCGCACCACCGCCCAAGCCACCGCCGATACCGGGCGACTGGCGAGGCAGGTCGCGCTCCTCGACCTGCATGTCCTCGACGCGGCGCTTGGCCGTCTCGAAGCCCTTCTTCATGGCCTCGCTGCCGCCGGAGCCTTCAAACTCGATGCCCTTTCCGTAGGCCTCCATGGCGCCCTTTGCGTCGCCCAGGGCGAAGCGGGCGAGGCCGAGGCGGGACCAGGCTTTCGTGTAGGCCGGGTCGACGGCGACGGCGGCTTCGGCGTCGGCCTTGGCGGACTCGTGGTCCTTGGCGGCGGAGTGGGCGGCGGCGCGGTTGGAGAGGAATACGGCGTTGCCCGGGTTCAGGGCGAGGGCCTGGGTGTAGAGGGCGATGGCGGCGGGGTAGTCCTTTGAGGCCATGGCCGCGTTGCCCTTTGACTTTAGGGCCTCGGCCTCCTTTTTATCCTCTTCGGTGACGGTCTTGGAGGCGGAGGCCGCGGCGGGGGCGGGGGCGGCCGAGGTGTTTGTGTTTTTGAGCTTTTCGTAGACCGAGTAGACTTGGTAGAGGTTCTGGGCGCCGACGGCCTCGGCGAGGATCTTCTTGTCGGTGGGGTCTACCTTGAAGGAGTCTGCGATGCACTGGATTGCGACGTCGATGGAGTCCTTGTCGTCGGCGGGGAGGGTGCCGTCGTTGACCGAGGTGGAGAGGAATTCGCAGATTGCGACGGCGAGGCGCTGTTTGGAGGTTACTGTCGCCTGGGGAGGAGGGGTAATGTTAGCCGTTTTTTTTTTCTGTTACCCCCCCTCTGGGATGGAGTCTAGGAAGGGATTGGGAGCTTACCATTTTGACGATGTGAGACCTGTTGAGGACGTGGGTATATCGAATGGAAGGGAGACGGTCTTGAGGGTTCAACACGAGGACGGACGGGGTATCAAGAAGGTGGAAGGCAACGTTCACAAGAGCTTAGGTCGCGTTGGCTTTTTTGGGGGGGGAGGGTCCGCATTTGTTACGACTGGCGGTTGGGTTGCGGCTGCTGTGCCCGCGTCACTCCCCACGTTTTTACGCCCGGTCGGGTGTGTTTGGCTGGAAGGTTCCAGCGAGCCGCGCTGAAGGTGGGGGAAGGGACTGCTGGGTGGGTGTCAAGCGGCGGCCGTTCCATGGAGGGGGACGTATCGGCTACCCCGCTGAATGGGAAAGGAGCATTTTATCTTGGCTTCATGCAATCATGCAGTGTATGCAGATAAATGCACACATCGGTAGCTTAGGTACTTCGCTGTCGTCCGCATCACTCCCATCTGAAAAACCAGACAGGCTGGTCATGAAAGCAAACTTGGTAATAGCCTGTGGAGATTGAAAGAAAAAGTCCTCGCTGTCCGCCATGCCGAAGCCATATCTAGTCATACAGAAAACAAAATAAAAAAAGGTATCCACTCCTCCTATCCTGTCCGTCAACGCCGTTTGATATGCTGGTGTATACTGTCGCTACAACATGCTTCGCTTTCTTTCTTTGTTTTTTTGGTCTCACTGGGAAGAGGTAGACGAGGTCTGGTTCCTCCGCCTGTCCACGTTGCGAATCTTGCGCAGGGGCTTGTTCTTTGCCAGGCGGTACTTGGTGTAGAGCCGGAAGACGTCGCGGATGACAACGTACATGCAGCCCCCGACGAGATTCCGGCCCCACTGCTCCTGGAGCAACCCCGTCCGTATCTTGAATCGACCAAAGGTGCCCGCGGGCGAGGTCCAACGCTTGGGGAGCGCCAGTCGGATGGCCTCGCCCATGGCTGCTGAGAAGACTGGGAGCAGAAGCGTGCTTACAATCGCGTTTGTGACGTCCTTGAGGCTGGCCTGGATGCCGCGTTGGCGCGGCGCTCCGGGTGCCGGCTGTGCTGCTGGTTGCTGCGCTGCCGCTGCCTGCTGGGCTCCGCCGCGTTGGGGTACCTGGCCGGGGAAGGCGACGGCGATGTCCCCGATGGCGTTCTCCTGCTCCGCTGCGTTCGCCTCGTCAATCTCCTCGATATGGATCTCAAGGTTGACGATGTCGTGTTCCTGTCCCACATCCACTTCCTCGAGCTCAACTTCCATCTCCACGTCGGGAATATCCAGCATGTCGATGGCCGCATCAAGTATACCTCCCACGAGGCCGACGTTCCTCGCGGCTTCGTTGGCGCCGTCATTGTTCCTACCCCGACGGCGGCGGTTACCGTTCGGTCTGTTGTTCGTTTGGGGCGCGGGTTCGGGGAGTCCGGCGATTCTGCGTTCCCACTTCTTCTCGTACGGGTAGACGAACTCGCGCCAGAGGTTGTTATATACAGCTCTGATGTACGGGAAGCTCGCTGCCGCGAGTTGGGGGGACGGAGGCCAGGAGAAGAAATGGTCGTCTTTCGCCATGTGGAAGACGCCATACTGGATCGCGTCAGTCAGGTTTCCATGGAAATCAGCGTTACGTGAAAAATGGCACTCACCAGCGCAGCCGCAGGCATGAAGAAGACGTTGCCCACAATGGGGAACGACGAGCCCAGGACCAGGGCCGGCGCAATGGCCGGCAGGATCGCGACATGGATCCAATTGACCATGGGCACGCCTCTCGGGTTTCTGTCGTTGAAGAAGAAGCGGTACGTCGCCTCAGGACCCGCAAACACCCTTACTGCGATGTTGCCATACATGGCCAAGCTGACCCATGTGCCCGCGCCGATCCCGCCGAGGATCAGACCCGGCGAGACCCTGCTGAACGACTTGTAGATCTGGTTGCTGAGCGCGAGCGCCGGGTCGTACGGCTCGTCGATGTTGATGGTCACCTTGCACACCGGGCAGCGAATCTCCTTGCCCTCGCGCTCCAGCTCCGTGACCCACTGGATCATGCAGTCCTGGTGGCCTTCGAGGGTGCAGGGGCACGGGTCGACCCAGGCCGACTCGGAGGCGCCCACCTCGTTCTCGTCCATGAGGCAGATGAAGCAGCGGCGTTCGCCATCTTGGGGTCCAGCCGGGGAAGGACCCACGTTGGCCATATTGGGTGGCTGGCAAAGGGGGTTCAGGTGGTGATTGTTGGTTCGTTGGGGTTCGGGGGGTTGAAGGTGCGGGTGAGATGCGAGGGTGTCTCGTGTGCAGGAGCTCTAGAGCCCTCGGCGCAATAAAGTTCGCAAAAGGAGGAGATTATCGGCTTCTAGCGCATGGTAATGTCTGCAGCGAAAGTGTGAGGGTTCGGTCTCGCGAGCGTGAGTCGAAACGAAGGTAAATATGGAAGATTCTCGTGGGGTTGTCGTGGCGGTGGTGGTTGCCAACAGCCTGATTGTTGGTTGGTCGCTGATTGTCGAGCTTGAACGGATGTGACATCAACCGCCCCAAATGCCCGCCCAGACTCCAACCGTGAGAAGACTGTGGTGAGCCGAGGCGCAAGGTAGGGATCTCGGGTGGTGGAGAATATGTGGCTTGGTTCGTTTCATTGTGGCTGTGCAGATGTCGACGGCGTTTTGCGCGAGAGCTGTGGTGTCGAACACCAAGTCTTCAATATTGCCATCTCCTCCAACATTGACGGCGACGCTTTGGGATAGATCAGACCATCATCAACTGATCCCTGGTTCATTAAATGACGTAGAATGGTTCTGAAACCTTTTGTTCACCACTATAGACAGGCGGAATGAGGTATTCATCGTAGTTTCTCGCAATTTCGAAATCCAAGAGTCCACTACTATGTAGAAGCACAATAGTTCCGTAAGTGTATAAGGCTTGATTTTTCCTCTCTGATTCGTAAACATTGGGGCACTTGAATAAAGAGCCGTCTTCTCAATCCGAATGAGAACGCGAAAAATTGTTTGAATCACGTCCTAGTTAATGGCATTTTTCGTTCATCTCTAATAATACGATAAAAGTATAGCTTGGATTCCAACGAATAGTCCTCTCATATTGTATCTCATGGGCAATAGCCGCCTAAAGTTTCGTTTGGGGTTGTTTACGTTGTAAGAAAACACAAGTGAAAGTATGGGGATGACTATGAGTGACAGGCTTAATTGGCATTTGTCGGTTAACTCGGCTCTCTAGTGTGGCGAGAAGCAGCCTTGTTCAAGCTGCGTGAACCATAATGTCCCTTGCAGCTTCGTCGCAGGATCTTCCGGTTTAGAAGTTTCTGGGAGGGATCCGAATTCCAGTCTCAGACGACAAAAGTGGCCTTCCGTTCAACTGATCAGAGTTACTGGGATTCCGGAGCCTGATTCAGAGTCTCTCTAGCGAGATTGACTTGCTTAATGAGTACGAGGACACTATACCTCAGGCAAGGGACCATAATACTTGCCACGAGCTCTCACGAAACTAGAAAGACAGCTACATCATAAATGAAGCCGAGGTAAAAAAAAAAAAAAAGTCGCAAATTGTCGGATTGGAAGCCCAATTCGACCTCGAGTCAGCGCGAGCGCAGGGGCCATCTGAGGGCCTCTATGTCAGCTTTCCATTGACTGTCTAAACTCCGGTTAGAACCCCTTTTTTCCGCTTCACGCGAGATCAATATACAGTTAATTGACCCTTCGTTACCACCTTCCGATCGAATAAATCACCCTGTGATACGTAAACCAACACAAGTTCTCTTCCACTGATATCCGGCGAGCATGAAGAAATTTCTCCTGGCTTCGCGAGACCAGGTTCGTGTGCGCTAGACACCATTAAGACGTAATCTTCCGGAATACCCTTTGAGCCTGCAAATATTCACGGACTGCGTCCAGTATCTGCTTATGTGTGACCAGATTCAGAACAGCCTGAACGGGATCATTCGCCAAGTGGCCATGCTTCAACTCCGCAAAAAAACATAAAACGACCAAGGTGGCTCCGGATTCAAATGATCAAGATAAAGCGAAAGACGACATTGACAGAATACGTGAGGCACCAGGGATCCGACCCTATGGACAAGGAGTACTCTATTTGGTGAGACTCCTGAAAGTCAAGGAACCTCAATTCAAAATGAGAGATGGGCAGCTATTCGGGCTCTTGGAATCTGGAAACTCCTCGACTTACTCGTTGCAAGGTGGAGCTGAGGTACCAGGCTGGAGGTAATGGAAGTTGAATTCTGATACTGACGCAGTTGATCTATTCATACATCAATGATACCACGCTAGTCTGCAACATACATAGATGGTCTGCTTGCGGCCGTCCACCCCACTGGCCTCATCAAACACATTGCTCAACGACCCGAACGTATGGTGAGATTTCATGATCTTCAGCAGTTGGCATGCACAACACGAGAAAGGGCGGAGCTTGCAGAACTGGAAATGGCCTTGGAGAACCATTTGTGGGGTAAGGCTTGGCCCGAAAGGTCAGCTCATGGTCAGAGCCTTGCTGATTCGTTTGGCACCTTGCGGAGAGATCCTCCCGGCCTTGAGTAAGCCATGTCGCGTAGTTTGTTGTTCTTTTTGGAGTTTGCATCAAAATGTGTAGAGAATTGTATTTGTTTCATTCTCTGATGGGTAGAACAGATTGCCTTCGATGTCCTCGCCCAGTTTCCATCTTAGTTAGTACGCTAGAGTGAACGTGCGGCTGATGCGATCGACAGGATTGCGATCGCTAGATGCTCTAGAAATTTGACCAACGGACACACCCTCCTTACCTATACCCTGCATATGCGGCTTTTGCTGAAGATTACGAATCCAAGACCTGTTCTGATTTGCATGACATCAGCGGGAGAGAGAGCTCCGTCTCGCGGAACCAGAGCAATGGCCGCCACGGCGATCATTTCTCGAAAAGTCATTTGAGGCCCTAATATCCTCGGATTAGCCATGCCGTCGGTCATACTCGCTTCGTCGTGCCTTCGGCGAGAGACGCAAAAACATCAAAAGCCATCCGGGCGCACCGGCACCGAATCCCATCATGGTACGGACATAAGCTGCGCCAACCCCTTGAATTCGACTTCATTCAGGGCAGTGCTTCTGCCCCCTCCACAACGCCGATCTGCCGAGTTCCTATACTCCCCGGTGGCTTCCCGGCGGGAAACGACGCTCACCGTTAAGTTCACGGACTGCGGGCGATCGGGTTCCGAAATGACCCTGCAGATGTCATTTGCTTGGCTGACTTAGCGCCGCGATAGTGCCAAGGCCGCATATTACCCTGTCCGTCCGCAGCCCTGACTAACGGGAACACGAGTCGCTGGCGACGGCGCACTGGAAAGAGTGTGCGCGCTGATGTGGATGCAAGTGCGCAAAGACTCGATCTTTGGTCTGTGATGCCAATGGGCTCCAGTGAGCTTAAAGCATGTTTCGTCTGAAGAGCACAGCCTGAGAGGGCCGCAGCAATCACAATTCTGGGTTTGAATGTTTGGGTTGGCACAGGTTGGCATGCTGGTTGCGTTTCTCTGGGGGACATCAAGGATTATGTCTGGATCAAGGGGCCTCCAGCTCTGTTTTCACCAGCATCATTACTGGAGAAAGGGTATGGGTTATTCAGCAAAACACCCTTCTTTCCCGTCTCAGCCCCCTTAAGATGCACATATTGGGAGGTGTTGGCAAGTTTCGACGTCAGCCACTGAGGTTTGAGACTCCGCCGTTGGTCATTCCGTCTCACTATTTTAGCCCACAATGAACGCAGAACCCAGGTCGGGACGTCCTATTGGTGCTTCAGCCCAACTTGACAAGGCCACCCGGCTTTTAATAGCATGAACGGCCTCCCGGCACGGCACATCGGATGGTGGGCGCTGCCCCGAGCGACCAGGTGCAGGTGTCAGGGAAGAAGAAATGGTGCAGCCACCCATGCACACGCGTCCCCTCAATAGATTTCACCCACTAATGAACCCCACCATGGCACCTCCACTGCCGGGAGGCCGAGTGGCAGGTGTTTGCCGTTGGCCAGATGCTCAAACGTACGTCAGCCTCCTTGGTTGGAGTGGAAGTGAGGTGGTTGGCTCCAGCCTGTCCAGGTGCAACCTTGTGAAGGGTTCGCCTAGTGAAGCTCAAACACCAGGTATCCATGGATCCTTTTGATTCTGCCCTGCTTTAATGGAGACGCTGGCCCGCCATCGAAATAAGGGGGCGGGTTTACTTTCCAAGGTCATTCACTGAAAGCCTCAGTCTTTCCCCTCGTTCTTTTTTTTCCTTTTGAATAATCTTTTTCCTATCAATACACTGTCGTTGAATTGAATTTCAGAGGGTTCTTCCTTCGCCACACATTTACCGTTACTCACAATGGCGTTGTCTTTCATTCGTCAAGCGTCGCTCGTTGCGCTTCTCGCTTCCACAACTTTGGCTCAAACTTTTACCGATTGCGACCCTACTAAGAGTAAGTTTGACTTTGGATCCGCGTTCATTTGTGGTTGTCCCCAACACGACATCCACATCACGACACGATCGGCTTTGGTGGATCAATGATTTCCTGACGTGAGGTCGCACAGAAACTTGCCCCGCCGACAAGGGTCTGGCAAAGAGCATCTACGAGGTCGACTTCACCAAGGGCGCAGACAATGATGCCTGGGCCGTCACCGCCGGCAACATCACCTACGGCTCCGATGGCGCCGAGTTCACCCTGAAGAAGAAGGGTGATGCCCCCACCATTGAGACGTCATGGTACTTCTTCTTCGGCCGCGCCGAGGTCATCATGAAGGCCGCCCCCGGAACCGGTATCGTCAGCAGTGTTGTTATCGAGTCCGACGACTTGGACGAGGTTGACTGGGAATGGCTTGGCGGTCAGGATGCCCAAGTGCAAACCAACTACTTTGGCAAGGGTAACACCACCAGCTACGACCGCGGCGCGTTCCACACCATCGCCGCGACCCAGACCGAGTACCACAACTACACCATCGACTGGACCAAGGAGGCCGTTACCTGGTACATCAACAGCAACCTCGTCCGCACGCTCAACTACGCCGACGCCGTCGGCGGCAAGAACTTCCCCCAGACCCCGGCCCGCCTGAGACTCGGCATCTGGGCCGGCGGCGACCCGGACAACAGCCCCGGCACCATCACCTGGGCCGGCGGCGCGACCGACTACTCCAAGGCGCCCTTCACCATGACTGTCCAAAAGGTCTCCATCACCAACGCGAACCCCGGTGGCTCCTACACCTACAGCGACAAGACGGGCGACTGGTCGAGCATCAAGATCGGCGCCGCCACCGACGACAGCACCAACGCCGGTCAGAACGACACCACTTCAGGTAACACCTCCGAACCCTCCTCCGGGAGCTCCGCCGCGTCAGCGACGCCTTCCTCTGGTTCCCCCGTGCCCTCGGACGCCCCGCTGAAAAACTCCACCGCGACAGACACCACGATCCGTCCGACGGGCACTCCCACGGCCACCCACTCCGGCTCCGCCGCCAGCGCCACCGCCTCCACCGGCACCTCCACCGGCACCAACGCTGCCTCTGGAAAGCTGTTGACTGGCGCGACTGTTGGCACTGGCTTGTTTGGATTTGTTCTCGTCGCGATGGCTGGTCTGTTTTAGAAGAGATATCCCCCCCGTTGTTTCAGTCGTGTATTTGTAGTTCTTCTCACATTATTTGCATAATTCAGGACCGGAGAAGTCCTCCTTTTTGAACATTAATCATGTGTCTAGTCCTCAGGATGTGCAAACTCGTGTGATGCAATACAGGTGCTTGAGAATAGAGGGCAGGGAGATGTAGTGGTCTTGACACCAGCATAAGCATGAGAGTTGAGGTGCGGCGGTCCGACTCTCTCGCGAGGACGAATCTCATGTGCTATGATATCAAGAAAACGAGTCTTTAATGGAGTACGCTCGAACGCACAATTTCACGCCAATTTGAGAAGATTGACTATCTTTTGTCGCATATTCACTCGGAGTCAATCATCGAAGTCGCGATAATTAGGTATTCAATACTTGCTTAAGACCTATTTTCTTTGTACCTTCTTTCCGGGGGAAAAACACAAGAACGAGAATGGTTTTGAGAAAAAGCTGTGCCAGGCGCCGCAGTACCACCCAGAGCATGTTGATCAACTTTGCCCACCGTCTTTCCGGACTGCGGTCTTGCACTGAGGACTCGTCGTTTCTCTCTGCCGGGAAGTCGTCTTGAAACTTACCGCTCCTGCTTACATCGTCCTGACAAGGGGTTCAAACAGGAGGGGTTCGTATCAGGCCCCAGACACATACCCTTTTTGTCCCAGCTTTCAGGTTCGTCTGATCAATTCCAATGACTCAGCAAACCCCTGGCTGAGACGTAATTATGCAAACAGGCAGGCGCAACTACCTTAGATGGCTCTCCTGGGACAATTCAGTCGAGGGTAGTAAAGAAGTGCAGATATCGTGGGTATCGATGTCAACAGTTGAGTGAGGATTTCAAATAGACTCTGGCAGATTTTGAATGGTTATCTGGACCAGACCTTGCTAGCTCCCAGTTACCCACTTGAGGCTCAGCCGCACATACACCGATCTTAATGCGAAAATATCAGAGGCTTAAGGGTATCTTCCACTATCTAAGTCTGTGATCAGATCGAGGGTCATCCAATACCTCCAACTTCATGTCAGAAATCTCTTCAGCAGACTACCAGACACGGGCTAACATCCTTATGCTTATTCCTGTTGAAATTATGACCCTATAAAATCTTCTGTGAAGCAAGGATGGCCGGTAGCAACTCTAATCAGCCCGTATACATACGTATTTGACGCTTGAGCGTCCCGGAATGAGCTCTGCAGGTCAGCGGGAAGGCTGAGTCTCACCCCGTGAGACCATCACAACTCATTCTTCCTTGCTACTTTAAAAGGACTGCATAACTTAACAAAGTAACCTAATTAAGTCGGCGAAAGTGCGAGTCAAATTACCCATGATGAAGTACAACCCTAGATCTTCGTTCAGCAATGGAACAATTCTAGCTGTTCGTAATTAACACTAGCTTTGAATGATAGTAGTTTAAAGTTTATAGCACACTTCAACAATGCCGAATCATGAAAGGCAAATTCATGTTGTCCCGAGATAGGTCCGGGTACTGCTGCAGTCATAAAATGCACCTTCAACCGTGTGATAAGTCTCGGCCAGTCCCCGGGTACATTAATTGCTATCGCCAAGACACCCTATTTCAATCACTCTCTTTCATCCCTCAAAACATTTACATGCCTTCCCAATCAATACATTTCAAAACACGCTCTACTCCCTTCACCGGCTTTTTCGTTTCCCTTTTGATGGCCGCTGCCGCCGTTCCCCAGGGCTTCAACGGCGAGGTGCGTACGGAGAACTAGTCTCATAGCCACACTACCGGTTACTACGCAAGACCCGCTAGATTGCAGTGATAAAAAGTTGATTAATTCCGAGGGGTTCTGCCCGTACAGCGACCCCAACTGCACACCTCTGCCTTGACATCCACGCTGCCGGCAAGATCAAGGTCCAGGCCATTGGACCCCACCTACAAGAGCGCCCGCGGCTACAACATCCGTGGTCCCCCGGGAGTAAGCCTGGAGCAGAGCTGTCTATGTTCTCGAGCTAACCCGTTTTCACTTTACCAGCCGACTTCCAGTACGTGGTTATTTGCTGTCACTAGACTAGGGATGTCATTTAGAGTTCACAATATTAGAGTCTAGCTCGATTAGAACGTATCTAGTCTAGATAGACCGTACACGAGATCAAAAAGGAATCTACGTTGACTCCTGTGTTAATTTTATTTTTCCCTACCTCATCAAGGGGAACGCGCCTTGCTCTGCGAAATTTCAGTTTGGCATTAATCCGCTGTACTCTCTTTTGCTGAGAAATCAAGGTCTAGCAAACATAGATCGCGGCAGGTTTTGTAAAGGCTGCCCGAGTGAGACGGAGCCTACACCACCCGAAGTGGCTGGGGGTGTGGCAGCACGCTAGCATCTATTGGTAGTGATGACCGCGTAGAAAGGCTGAAAGGGTCTTATCTGTCAATGGCCTGGGCGGGTCGGAGACCGACTGCCTAATATCAATTGGCCTTAGGCCCTTGATGTACTGGCATAGCATGGAATGCCATTCACATGACATCGGACAACGGGTAGTGACTGTGCCCGAGCTGGTCAGGCATGACGCTTAATTAGTACTGAGAAACACAATTCCCCCAATCAAAATCCTGACTTGCTGGCGCTAAGTAGGACACCTCTACCGACAAGCTCATTAGACGCATGCCAACAACCACGTCAACATCGGCACGGCCCTTTTCCCAACCTCCGATGGCCGTTTGCGGGACGGTAGTAAACCTCAAAGCAGCCGGCTGATATAGAAGCTAGCAGAGCAGCTATCGAGATAGTGAGCTGCAGTCTTGCCGACTTTGTCTTCATTCTGGAGCCTGAAATCAAATACAAGACCTTGAAAGTATCCAACATTTTGATGCTCTGGCTTGACTAGATTTTCACATCATCACTTACACACACCTCCCTGCACGCATTTGCGATATCGAACGAACTCTAAATCAACTATACTCTGTACAACCCCTGCAACAAACCAAACTCAATTCATCTGCAACCCCACCTGCCAAGCCATGTCGACTTCATCACCGGCCACGAGTGGCCCTCAGGTAGGCTGAATCCGCATCACCATCATGTTGTCCTCGCTGACACCGCATAGGCGCCGAAAGGACCTCCATATGCACCTACCACGGCGCTTCTCGGGTTGATCCCGACCGTCAAGGTCGACGTTCCCATCTGCGCCGTCTTGATGGTCTTCTTCCTCAGCGGATTCGTCCTGAACCTCACCATTTTCCGGCGGAACAAGGCCCGCGGGCACAAGTTTCTGCCCTCGGTGCTCCTCGCCGGCTTCTGCATGGCCCGCAACGCTGCTCTGGTCCTGCGCATCGCCTGGTCAACCCACCACAACAACGCCCGCTTGACAATCGCCGCCACCATCTTGGCGGCTGCCGGCGTCATCATCCTCTTCATCGTCAACCTCATTTTCACACAGCGGTTGGTCAGGTCGATACATCCCCACTTCGGATGGGGCCGCATCCCCTCGTTGGCCTTCAAGGCTCTCTACGCCTACGTAATCATCTGCCTCATCATGACCATCACCATCACTATTATTTCCTTCTATACCCGCAACCCGTCGACACTGCACACCGCGCGTATCATCCAGCTGCTCTCCGGCACGTCCCTTGCCGCGCTGGCTTTCCTGCCGATTCCGATCCTCATCGCGACCCTACTAGCCCCTCGCAGGTCACTCCACGAGCCCTTTGGCAAGGGTTCGCTCAGGACGAAACTCATTCTCGTCTTCTTCACCGCTACCTTGCTGTCACTCGGCGCCGGATTCCGCGTCGGCGTGAGTTACACCACGCCCCGGCCCGCCTCCGATCCGGCGTGGTACCACCAGAAGGCGTGCTACTACGTCTTCAACTACGTTATTGAGCTGATCGTGGTGTACACGTATGCACTGAACCGTTGCGACCGCCGATTCCACATCCCCAACGGATCCAGTGCACCGGGCCACTACTCTGCAGGCGTCAAAGAAACGAAACGCTCGAGTAGCACGACCAACATCAACGATTTGGAGGCCGAACGGTCTCCAAGTTACAAGGAAAGCTTTGGGATAGAGAACAGCCCGTAACTTATGAAACGACTTGATGCGAGGGAAGAAGAGGATTTGATAGAGTTTAGTGAAGAAGGCAGGAAGTGGCAGCTCTTCTGTCAGCAGGTGCATAAATGAGCTTACATGCTCGTATTGACCATGGTTCAAATCTCAAGCTTTTTATGACAAGTTTTTTAACTTCTCTGAACAACGTTGCTTGAGAGAGTTGGATCTGGATACCTATCAAACTACTACTATAATAAAACCAATGATTCTTGGTTACTAAAGAATATGCACTCATAGCTGTCTTCGACCCCATGCTTCACCACCTCTTCAGCGGTGTGATTGATTGGTTAGATTACGTCGAAGTCTCAAAACGGCCCTTATCAGATTTAATGATTGCCCCGCATATAACTCTGATCTGGCGCTATTCTGGATAACGTGGTACCATGGAGTGCTAGACCATTGAATTGTTCGTTCCCCGTGCCTAAGGTACTCCATCTTATCAAGTGGAGTTTCATCGAGGCTCCCGCACGACGCCGAAGAGAGCCTCCGCGCGGGAACATTGCAGAGCGGGTAGCAATGGGATATCGAGAAACCCCACCATCTAAAGTACCTCTTGTAAGGTATATGAAGACGGCAACCGACGCCTGCTTGCCAAGTAGACAAGTCCCATCGCACTCAACCACATACAAGGCACCTACGAACAATCCACAGGCCATCCAAGGTAATTCTCGACCATCAAGGTCATTCAAAAATTTCTCACTACTCGGCAAAATAGTTGACATTCTGCCTCACCCTTTTTGTGTATCCCAACGACACGTTGCGTGAAAACGTCAATAGCCACTGCGGGCCCCCATCAACCATGAAGCCCGCACCGAAACAGAAGCTGGCCTCGAAACGCGCCAGGGTTACGAGTGTGACTGGACTTGAGTCCTTTAGGCGGCTGTCCTTGAGAAGAAGATGATCCCAACACCTGGGCTGAGGCGCTTCTGTCTGCTCCAGCATGATTCATGTCAAACCGCGTCAAGTCGAAGTCTTCAACCAAACTCTTGAATCTACGTGGTAATTGATCTAGAGTATCTGACTGTTCAGACCTTGGTCAACTTATTATATACATATTTGACACCCTCCTCGATTCATTACAATCCCTCAATCAGTTTAGGCAAGATCACATTGTTGTACTCCCATACCACAGTCGAGAATCCCGCAGAAAAAGCTGCCCCCGTGTACCAAGTAGAGCGTCGGCCCTGGAGGGCTGTCTGCTTCTGGATGAATCCAGCACGGAGCTCATCGTCGGTGACGCGCGGGTGCATCTTGCCGTGGTTCGCAAAAGCAGCAAAACTGAGCGTGCCGTTGGACGCAGGAACGATCCCGGCCCCGATCAAGTTGTCAATGGACTTGGCAATGACGGCCTTGATCGTCTCGGGGGTATCCTTGTCCGTGCCGACGGCCGTGAACTGGAACAGATCCTTGGTGCCGCCGAGGTAGTCGATGCGGCCCACCTGCGAAGGGGTGGGGAAGACGGTGTAGTTGGTCGACCCGGGAGCCGGCGACCTGTTGGAGTAGGCGGTGCTGATCTGCAGCGACGGGTGGCGTAGGACGCCTGCGTAGACGGTGGTGAACTCGATCTTGCTAAAGACTTCTTCCTCCGTCTCGTCCGGTTGGAAGGGCGCCAGGCTCTCGGGGGTCGGCTCGAAGGCGATGAGCAGGCGCTTTGCGTCGATGCAGGTCAGGGTGCCGTCGGTGCCTGCGACCTTCACGGAGATACCCTCGTCAGTGCGTTGGGCCGTAGAGATGACGGTACTGGAGTAGAGAACGTCGTCGCCGAGGAAGTTGGCGACGCTCTCGTACAGCTCGTAGAGGCGGCCCGAGGCGGGGACCGCGGAGGCGGCGGTTCCCAGCAACGCGCGCACCATGGGGACTCCGGAGGCCTGCATGACGAACAAGGTCGGGACGTCCATGGTGTCGCCGAGGCCCTGGGCGGTAGAGTCCCAGATCTGGGGCACAGCGGCGGCGATGTCGTACTTTTCGACAAAGTCGCGGAAGGGCATGACCAGGTCCTCTGGGATGGCGTCCGGGTCGGGGAAATTCTCAAAGCCCGGGAGTGTGATGTTCTCGTACTTCTCGAGGACGTCGAGGTACCTCTGCAGCGCGGGGTACATGGCGTCTGTCGAGGGCGCAGCCCAGCCTGCTACCGGCGAGCCCGTCGTGAAGTCGACGTACTTGTAGTCGAGCGTGGTGAACTGCATCGACCCGCTGGTTGAGACGTTCATGCGCTTGGGGAAGTCGAAAGCGTCCTTGTATTCCATCCACGCCTGCACACCGACGTTGATGGACTTGTTGGAGACTGGGTCATGGTAGAAAGCCGTATGTCCACCCTTGAAGCGAGTTGTCAGTCAGGTTGAGGGTACCGATTTGCTCAAAAAGTTCTATCCGAAGCAGAGAGGGAGAAAAGGAAGGGATGAAACTCACAAGTTGGCTGGCCTTCTCTACAACAACCACACTCTGACCGTGATCCCTCAACCAAACGGCAGCGTGGGAACCAGCGGCACCACCACCAACAACGACAACATCCCGAGAGATGGTGTGGTTGCAACAGCTCAATGCAGCCGAGCCGTGGATCACAGCTGCGGCGATGAGACTCACACTCGTACGCATCTTGCTAGAACGCATGTCGACCAAGAGAACGTGAACGCTTTAGGAAACAAGTACACACGAAGATGTGGTTTCTTAGGACTGCGGCAGTGCTCCTAGTGTGGTGTGGTGACTTGTGACAAGACGCACGTTTACGGCGAGTCTGCAGAATCACGCGCGACTTTAAATCGAGTTGCAGAATACCAAAACGTTCAACTACCGAAGGCCGACGAGTACGTCCGCATAGAATACGTAAACGACTTGCCCAAACAAGCAAGCATATTTCGCTTTGGTGGACTCGATCGTCTTGGCCCTCCGCCGTTCTCGCCGACATGGAGTCTTCACCCCCCGCATTGGACCAACGGCCGCTGCATGCCGGAGATTGCAATGTAACTGATGGATCCTAGATAGGTGAACAAACTCGTGCAACTTTGTTGGACGTCACATCGATGATGGACTGACAAGTTCAATAACGAAGAATACAAATACAGGTATCCTGCGAAGATGGTATGACAATGCTATACCCTGAGGGGCTTTGCACCAGGATGTCAGGATAGAATGCTCCGCTTTGGAGACCGGGGCCCCGAGCCCGGCCCTCCGACCAAGTTGAACCAACAGGCCCGTGTGGAGAATGGCCGGGGTTCGAATGCAGGGGCGCGGCGCAAACGTCACCCACAGTCCCACACGGGTTGATGGCCTCGATCACCCGAGCCAACTGGTCCAGTCATATTCTGCGTAGGTTTTTTTATGCTTCCCGGTCGATACTAACAGATGAAGAACGCGAACGGGTCGTGGCGTGGTCGGCACACTTCCGGTTCACCTGATCTTTGTCCAGATAAGATCATGGAAGGATTAGTTTAAAATTTGAACATTGGCTTGGTTTTCCTTTGCTACCTATTTTATTGTGGGATGCGTGCCCCATGATTCTCAACATTCTGATGTTCCACTCCCGCCGTATCCTCCCACCATATGGGTCCATCTATCCGTACGCCGTGGCCAGATCGGGCTGCGCCGGATCGTCTGTCCAAGTTGAAGACCCTGACGACCGTGCTGTGCCACGAGGGTTTTCGAGTCCTGGACATTGGACAATCGACACTCTCACCGTTTGCCCCTTGCTCTTGGCAAATGCAGCCTATGCGGCAAGTTGGCAAGTTGGCAACACGCTGCTCGGAAACCCCGGTATCTTCAACCCCTCTTCTCCCCTGTGCCACACCAACGCAGACAGGTTCTTCAAGATTGCGCGTTGAAAATTCCGCCCCCGACATGGTTGTGGATCCCTCAAAGGAATCAACTTACAAATCGAGCGATAGTCTCGCAAAATACGACGTCGCGCCAAGCGTGGTGTGCGCAGTACCTGTCCGGTACTACTACACGCCGAGCCTTCACTGACCAACGGCCAACCAAGCTTGAAATATGACAACCTGAAGTCGCAGGATGCAAGTTTCTTATTTCTCCCATTAAGTCTAAGACCAGGAACGTTGAAGAAGGCTGCATGAAGCCGAGATAGGCAACTCATGGGGCCAGGCCGAGACGAAGAATGCCCAAGTTTCCAAACGGGTTTGGACAGAAGGATTGGGGGCCTACGTCTTAGGCCTTTGTCTGGACCATCGAGGTACAGACAGTGGAGGGGAAAGAGGGTTATCCTTTCCATCAGTTGCCATCGCCATCCCCATCGCCATTGCTTTCCTTCTCTGCTCTCTGCGTTTCCAATTATGAAGTAGCGATGGATGATTTTCCTCCCGAGTACGCCAATGCCAGCAACGCAGGACGAATCGTCGGGGTCGTTGGTGTTTTCCACTTCCTCGCTCTGGCATTTGTTTCGCTGCGCATTTATGCTCGGCTGGTGATTCTCAGAGCGTTTGGAGCTGAGGATGCCCTCATAGTTGCTGCCGCCGTACGTTTACGTTCTTCAGACTGAAATTGAGAAAAAGATCACTAATTTTATGAGAATTTAGATCCTCGCTTTAACCTCTTGGGTCTGCCTGGTCCTTCAGATACCGTATGGCCTTGGTCATCATGCCTCGACACTACCGACGGAAGACAGAATCGAGTTCGAACACATATCTTTCTGGAAGACAGTCTTATCAGATGGTGTCGCAATGGGGTTGCTGAGGATTTCTATGGCGATAAGTTTGCTTCGCCTCAAGAGGGATCTGCGGTGGTATACGTGGTCTCTTTACGCTGTGATCGGTACGTGGGATGGCGAACAAGCTTCCATCTGATGTTGTACCATATTACGGGAATCACTAAACCTAGTAGGTTTTGTCGTGGCATACTCGGTTCAAGCCATTGTTTGGCTGTTTGTCTATTGCACGCCATATTCAGGTTGGTGGGAGTTTCAGTGGATGAACCCTTTTGACCCGAGATGTCACGATTTCAACCTGTTCATCAACCTGACATACTGGAATGTCTGTGAGTGAACCCGACCATCGGTTTCTGGCGCGATCTGACAAAGACTCCTATTAGCTTGCAACATATTCACCGATATTTGCTTGGGAGCGCTGCCGGTTCCTATCATCTGGCATCTGAAGATGAAATTCCGCGTCCGACTTTACGTGATAGGCATCCTCAACCTTGGTTACTTGTGAGTCGCATCGAATTCTAGCCACGGATATGATTTTCTGTCGAGGACATATCAACTCACGTTGTTCCACATCTAGTGCAATCATCATGGGCATTCTCAAGGCCGTGTTCATGTTGACCACAGGCGGCGACATCGACGCCATCTTTGACTATTGGGTTCATTTCTGGCAAAAGTGAGTTTGCCTCGCCGCTGTTAAAAGGCAAATATTGCCGTCTGACGCTAATCTTTTCCGCGCGAGCAGTCTCCAGCTCAACATCGGCATCATCGCAGCCTGCGCCTCTTACCTCAAACCCCTCTTCGGCCGCCTCTTGAAGATCAACAGCTCGATCGGCTACTACCCCAGCAACGAACGCTACGGCCGAAGCGGCCAAACCCCTCTCGGCGCCGGGACATCCTCTCGCGGCGGCAACGCGTACGCGAGCGGCAAGAGGCGGACCGGCAGTATCCCACTGGATCGCAGCCTACACGACGAGTTCGAGATGCATACCAAGGACGGCTTCAGCGTGACTGAGCAATACGTGTCCGGCGGCACCTCCGACATTGGTACGAGAGCTGATGCGGTGCGGTCGCCCGTGGCTTTGGACGGCCGTTCCTCGGCTGAGGCTATGTACGCTGGTGCCGTGCCTTCTGATGCCAACAGCGAGGAGATTATACTGCAGAGGGAAAACGGTCGTGGTATTGTCTGCACGAGGGACTTCAGTGTCAAGTATAGTGAAAACGAGAGATTCAGGCCGGTGGGTTCGTCGAAGTCATGCCAGGATTGACTGGGAATCGTTCAATAGCTTCGGTTCACGGTTGCTTCTCAATAATAACATAGGACGGTTGCATGATGCGAGAATAATCAACGTTACTCGCCATTGATTTTCCAAGTGAGTGCTTGAAAATTGATTTACCGCAGAACTAACAGTATCCTAACAACCTGTGGGAATATCATCAGGTAGGTGTAGCTCACTTGTATTTGCTATCATATCAAGCCTCATCCAACTGATTGTGACTCTGATTTTACTCTTTTCTTGCCCTACCAGATTATACACCATGGTGATGACCGATGTTTTCGACGGCAAACACCCATTTCCAGGCCGCACGGCGGCACGCGAGCTGCAACATCGTGCTCCAACATCGCGCTCAAACATGGCACCAGACGGCAAGCAAATGCGCATTTGGGATTTTCGCGAGATGAAACGAAATTGCAACAAAGCCGTCCAGCTTTGAGCGTTCCAGATACTCATGGCCGGCGAGAGAAGAACCCGCCTCAGCCCCCGTCAGCTGTGGACCTGCACCCGAGAGAGTCCACAGTCGAAGTTTTGTGGCAGTGCGATGATCTCGGACTCGGCACCGGACCAGCACCAAGCCATCGGGTCTTGAAAAGCTCAGAATCTCTTAGTGCCGATAAGATTAAGTCACACGTGGAACCAGTAGAAGAACTGTCAAAGCGGATTCCGACGGTGACGGGCTACTGCTTACTTACAACGTTGCAGCAGCATGTCACCGGTTGGAAAGGCTTAAAAAGGCGCGCGCCGGACCCGCGCGCCAGCACGTCTGATGACGCAGATGCATCATGCACGGCGCCGTGAACGGTCCCCCTGTCGTACGTCGACTTGCCAGCTCGCTCGACTCGCAGTACCTATGCATGTCGGTCCAAGTTGATTGGAACACATGAGCAGCTATAGAGGATATGTAACAGCAAATAGTTGGATGCAAAGATTCTCAGGATACCAGACCTATGTCTTGCCTAGGCGTCACTTCCTCGAGGGTAAAGGTCGTTGTCTCAGGGATTCTACAATCTACTGCCTTCAGATGGACAACCCCTCCCCACTGGTACAACTCTGGGCATGCAAGGTGATCTCACCAAAATCCGTTCGATCTGTTATTCATAAGAATTACAGCTTCAAGGGAAGAAGGCCCTGCCTGATCTTTGGTCCGTCCTCGAGGAGAAGGAGACGTCTCGAAGATGGTCGTCGAGCCATCGTTCCCCTCCCCCGCAGAAGGTACCCAGGTACCTGCTTCAAGATTCTGCCAGGCAATATGATTGGCTACGTGGGAGATTTCTTCCCAATCTGGCAGCCCGCAGGCGGGCCCACTCCGGTCTGAGCGCCCGGGCCCGTTCGTCAATCGTCTCGGTGGGAAAGTGGGGTTCTCTTTGCGTGGTCTCGATCCGGGAGGGAGAACTGCCAGTGGTTCGTTCTTCTTGCCTTGTGACAAAAGCAATCTTAGCTTTCCGTACCGGCTGCACGTGGTTCGCCACTTCGCTCCGAACCGCTTAACCTGACTGATTCTTTCCCAATGCTTGTTAGGCAGGCGTGGCAGGCAAGAGATACGGGCAAGAGGAGGCGGGGTGACGGAGGACCTTCCTTCTCCCAACGGCGTCAGAGCTAGCATTGCTGGCTGGCCCTTGGGGCGGCTGACTAGCGACTTCCGTGCTCGGGTGAAGACCATGTGGTCGGTCTGCTTGGTTGGTAGGAGCCATGAGGAAGGAGCCCGACTGCTCTTGTCTGCCATCTCGCCCCGTTCCTTCCCTTCCATCAGCGGTGCTCTGCTCCCGGCATTAGATAATCAGTGGCATTACTTAAACCACCAAGGTACTTCCCACTGGCGGACTTTGACTTCTCTCGTCTCCATCTCCATCATCACCTCACTGCACAAACAAACAAATCGACTTCGGTCCTCATTCAAAGCAAATAAAACCACTTTTAAATCACTTCAAACCACCCCACCAACCAATCATCATGTCTGGCTGCGGATGCGCTTCCACCGGCTCCTGCCACTGCGGCAAGGGCTGCACCTGTGCCGGCTGCCCTGTGAGTCTCACTCCGACACCGATCGCACCATCTGTCACCAAGATGGTATCACTGACACTTTCACCTTAGAACAAATAAGCAGCGTCAAGCTTTTTTCTGATCGCCATGGTTCATCGGTGGATTTACGGGGTTTCGGAGGGGCTGGCCACACATCGTTTCGGACGGTTGCATGCATGCAGACGCGATGGACTTTTTCCTTCACTCCCTCATTCCAACTTTATTGTGAATAGTCGTTAGGTGGAGAGTCGCAATGCAAAGTTGATATTCAAGTGTTTTTCCTCACGCCCTCCGCATGAGGCGATGTTTCGCTGAGTGGAGTTGTGTCACCTTGATCCCATTTTCCATCCTGCCGTCATTTGTACGACGCGAGATGTCTGACGCCAGATCAAGCGCATCAAACCCAGCCATGCTCTTCAGCATCGTCTTTGTCCGACGTGTTCCCACACCTATCATCCCACTCACAGTCCTCCAACAAGACCGACATCTTGTGCCCCGTCTTTCTTCCATCTCTTTCCCCCTTTTCGTACACCAACCAGCCCAAGGCGCCAACAATCCTCGTGACGTAAAACGACGCCGCAAGAATCGACCAGGCATATTCCCATTTCGCGATCCTGCACCACCCCCGGTTCTCCGGCCACGCTTCGTCACAGCTTCGGGTGAGATACCACGGTCTCTCGCAGAAGTGTTTGGAATCGGTCAGATCAGGCCCGTTCTGTGCCGCGGCACTGCAGGCCCACAGGGCGGCGAGGAAGGCGTCGTACGCGAGGTTCGTCCATCGGGCTTCGTATTGTAGGGCGGCCATCGTCAGGCGGGCGAAGAAGGCGGTGGCTCCGAGGACTGCAGTGGCCGTGTTGGAGGTCGTCAATCTGGAGACGGCGAGATGATGTCAGCGTCAAAGCCTCTGCAGGGTGGTGGTGGAGGAAGCACGCGGAACCCCTCTCACCTCTGGCTCCATATCAAGGGAATCTCTGGCGGCTCTTCGTGGTTGGCGTAGAAGTATATCCTCATCCTTGGGTTCGAGCACCACCCTTCTTCGCCGCCATTTCTCCAAAGCCGCGAGCGGAAGCGGTTCGGGTGCGCCATACCAAAGAGTGCGAGAGCTGTGAAGACGACGATGGCCTCGAGGCACAACATGGTTGCCATCATGGTTGGGCGGCAGGGAAACCGGTCTCGTTTTTCAAACATTACTGCTGACATATCAATGGTCGATGTGCCGTGGGTAAAGAGGTATCGGCTTTTCGGACAGCATACTAAAAGGCGCAGACGCAGATGCGAACGCCATGATGTTCTGAGCTGGCATGACTGTGACGAAACAGGCTCTCTTATTTGACAAAGAATGTTCGCTCTGCTGCTGACGAGGACAATGACAAGGGGAATGAATGCCTCAAACTTGCTCGGTATCGAAGGCGGAGTGGTATTTCGTCTTTTACGTCCGAGGACCGTGACCTGATATATGCTACCTGTCGGCGTGGGGAGACTGATTGGTGAGGTGGTGAGGGGTTCGGAAACTTGCTCATTCTTGCGCAGCTAAGCTCACTACGCAGGCCACCGCCTGCTGCGTTTGCTGCGGCATGACAAACGTACGATCTATACCTTTGCGCCGAGACGTTCTCAGCGTTCGATGCTGTAGTATTGATGTTGTCTAGATCTTCATTTGCTTATGGCCTTGGCAAGATCTCCAGGACCGGCAGGTACATGTATAAGGTATTTGCGGCGACGCGGTCCGACCCGCATCGCCTCCTCCCTTCCGGGAGAGGGACGCACAGGAGCCGCCCGATCTACGCCGAGCACCAGAGCTTTGCTTCCCAGACGACCAGCTTTCTTGACTCCCGTCTGCCAGCTCATTACTACGTCCTTTGTTGGTGGAGGGGCAGAATGTCGATGTCCCGACACATGAAGAATCCGTCAAACAATGGCATGACTTTGACAGATTTCACCACACATGAATGAACGGGGACCGCACACATTGATGCTTGGGTGATATTCCTTTCCACAGTATTTGGAGCTCTATTCTTTGAGAGCTGATTGCAAAGTGTGATCGGTAACTCTGAAACCAGCAACTCGATATACAATAACGCCTTCTGCCGGGCTTTTCCCTGAAAACTTGTAATCCATCTTCATCTCAACTCTGCGCTACCTATGCATAGAAGAGTCTCCCGTCTGTGGCTCATCATCTCAACGATACTCCCGCCTCCGTTGTTCTCCTGTTCAGTTCTCGGTCTGTTTATAACAGTGTCTTTGTAATGTTAGCCATTTGCAATCATAAAGACATAGTCTCCTTGAAAGAATCACACAACTTACCAGGTACTTCTCCAAGAACAGCGACATCTGCCCGCTAACCAACTGGCAACCCTTCAACAATGCACATCCAAGCGAGCGACATTGGGGGTATACACGAAGCTTTCAAGGCCCCTCTCACTCATACCAACAAGCAGTAACGACCCCAACCTCCTCCCTCTGCTTGCGAAGAAGCTCATCTCTTTCGCGTCTCGTCGCGTCCACATCTTCCTCCTCGAGGAAATCCATCGCAACGCCCAACTAAGACGCGACAACAGGCCTCGGCACCCCGCCCCCGCCAAACAGCAGCGCGCTCGGCACCTCCTCGTACGCAAAGGAGAGAAGCTCCGCCGTGAAGCGCGAGATGTCGAACTGGTTAAAGGTGTGGTCGCGCACGCCTCGGATCTTGAGGAGGTGGCGGCGCGCGCGGTAGTACGCCATCGTGGCCCAGACGTAGGTCCGCTCGGCGACGCGGCCGGACGCGGCCGTCATCCAGTCGAGGTAGCGCGTCAGGTGCGGGGCGAGAGCGGGAGGCACGCTGAGGACGCGGATGAGGCCTACGACTTGGGTGTGGGAGCGGATGCGGACGACGGAGAGGCGGTCGAGGGTGTAGGTTTGGGGGCAGGTTTTGCGCGGGCGGAGGCGGTAGAGGACGCCGCTTCCCTCGTCGATGTCGCCGCTGCTGTTGACCTTGTTGTTGCCGGTGCCGGTGTCGTCGTGGAGGTTGGCAGGGGAGCTCTCGTCGCTGAGGGAGTCGGAGGTGTGCCAGTAGAGGTCCCAGTGGAACTCTTCGGTGGCGAGGCCCTCGGAGACCATGAGCTCGTAGGTGCAGAACGGAAACTTCGGGTCGCCAGGGATATCGGTCGCGTAAGAGTGCTTCTTCTTGCCGAAATAGATGGGAAATGGGATCGAGATCATGATGTAAAGGGATCCGACTTCGAGTTTGCCCATGTTGATGAGCGGATGGGTGGAAGGGGAGTAGGGCGCCGCTGGAGTATCCATCTTGGATGATGTGTTATCCCTTCGTTTTTTTTTTGGTTGTTTTTTTTCAAAAGTTTTTGATGTGAGGGTGAGATGAAAGTCGGAACAGGTGACGGTGAGGGACGGGATGAGATGAAGTGTGAAGTAGTCAATTAGAGAACTGCACTGAGAAGAATCAACCGAATTTCAGGGTGAAGTAGACGTTCCTTCTCATAAATTCAGACCGAACTTCCTAATGTGCTGAAAACTCTTCCCATAGCTATACTTTCATGTCTTTCATGACCCCCCCATGCTCAAACTCTTTAAGATCTTCCTCATCCTCGGGGATACCCAAGGAAAGCGAATACATACTGCTATTCGCCAGGGTCACATCATCATCCGAACCAATCTCTACACCCAATTCCTCTGGGAGCCTGTACCTCAAAAGAATGCTCTTGATTCCCCTTCGATACTTTGGAAGACTCTTCCCTTGATGCGCCTCAATCGCTCGCTTCGACAGCCACGGGACCAAATCATTGACCTCTCCGTGAACCGCCCTCTTCCGAGACCTCTCAACCTGGACACCGTTCTTCAAGACCGGAACTTTGCTCTTCATATACGCCGCCGCCACCAACCTAACCTCCTCCCGGCTCACAGCCTTACCCCCGCTCCGATACGCCTTCTCCAGGACAAGAATGAGGTCGCACGCGCACTTGAACACCATCCTCACCGCCGCCGGCGCCTCAAGCAGCGGCGCCCCGACGGCCAGGGGGATACCGCCGACGACGGTGAACATCGTCAGGCACACGGCGCCGCCAAAAATGACGACGGACTGGCTCAGGCTCTGCGCCATAAAGGGCGCGAGGTTCTTCCACACCACGCTCGCCAGGATCGTGTCCATCTCGGCGATGCCCGCCTCGGGCAGGCCGAAGCAGCCGTGCGCGATCTCACGGCAGAGGATCCTGGCGATCGTGGGCGTGGTCATTGACGAGATGATCCCCGTGCCGAAACCCGCCGAGGCCGCCGCTACGGCCGTCCGGAGTATTTTGAGTGTCTTTTCCACGGCTTGGTCGATTTTGGCCTCGACGTCTGGGATCTGCGCGGCGCACATTGCCTCGGTGACGACTGTGTCGTTGAAAGAGCCCATTGTCAGGTGGATCAGTGACTTTATGGATTCTTGATCATCTGTGGAAAGGTCGGGGGTTCGTCAGAAATCGCTATAAATCAAAACGCGAGGGATATCGGGTAGAATGGGACATACCGCGGGAGACGAAGGCAAACTTGACGTCCAGCTGTGGCCAGAAAGAACAGGTCTCTTGCTCTTTCTCAAACCTCTCTCGGAACAATGCCTGTCTCTCGGAAAGCATATCTTCCTCGGTCTGTTGCGCGTTGCCAGCTTGATTCCGGTGCAACAAAATATGCTTATCCTTCTTGGTTCCCACAATCACGATCGGAATCGTGGGGGCAATTGCCGTCACTCCTTCCAACACATTCGCCAGCGCTGACTGAACCGGTCGGTCGGTATCGGTATCGATGCAGAGCCTGAAGATTAAAGCGTCAGCACGAGGATGCGAGCACACGGAGCTTTTGAGAGATTCCCACTTACCATATAGCATGAAGGTTATCGCGCACTTTGACGTTGCCAGATCGCGCCTTGAGGAACTTTTTAAATGCAGTAACCTCCTTGCTATTGCCCGCCTGGAAGCCCTCAGAGTCGTGAATGATGATACCTGGATGCTGATCCGACTCGAAGCCTTCCTCAATGTCGTGCTCACCCCTCTGGCCCGTGTTTTCTTGGGTCTAGGAATGCTGTGTGAGTATTGGGAACTGTGTCCCTCGAGAGATTGTTACTACTCACCATTTCGATACCGAAAACACGATTCAAGAGCGTGGACTTTCCAACGCCTGTGTTGCCGCATATCAAGATCCGACAGCTCGTGAAGGTGGGGAGAATCTCTCTAATCCACGGGTCGAGTAAGACTCCCGCCTTGTTAGAGATGCACGTCATGCTAGCCTTCTTTCGGAAGAGTTCCAGTTGATCCTGGATACCATCGAGGGCTTTCTGGATGCCTAGGGTAGTGTAGGTGTCCACAAGGAAGTAGACCGATGGATGGACCACGGTCCCGTTGCGTGCTGTTTGGGGCTATCATCAGCCTCAAGTTCACGTTGTAGGATAACAGATGAACAAATGCTTCCAACTCACAAGAATCTCTGTACCCTTGGAGACTTCCGAATCCATCGTAACCGAAAATCCGCCGCTTCCCCAGCGCCAAACGGCCAAAGGCGCCTCGATTGATGCTGACGAGGTGTGTAGCCTGGTAATTCTGCTCTCCATTCTGCTTCTGGAGCTTTCGCCGCGGGAGCCTCTGCAAATTCCCATGCTGGTGCGAGTCACGGAGGTCGTACATGGAGATTTCGATCCCGCTCGAGTATCTAAATGTCCACGGCCCCGGCTTGACAGTAGTATCGTCATCGACAGCAGCAAGAGGAGGCGGCATTCCGAGAATCTGTTGTTCAAGTGCGGCGAGCGGCGACGATCTGGGGAAGACCAGCTCCAGCGGGTTCTCAATCAGGCCCTTGACGCGATCTGGCGGGTTATGTTCGAGCACCAAACCGAGGTCTCTGCTCTCGATCAACATCCACTGGAGGGGGTAGAGGGAGAGGCCGTCGTGTACGGCCCCGCCGCCAACGTCCGCATGAGCACCGACGAACCAGGCTTCCAAGTGTGAGCCCCGATTGTCTCCCTCGTCCATGTCCTCTTCCTTGGTCTCGATGTGCAGAAGCGGGAACGCCCTGCGCTCCTCGTTGAGAGCGAGCGCGTGTCGGACGTGTTGGACAAAGCTGACGTCCGTTCCGTCGAATTGGTCTCCCACGAGGACCTGCTTGACCGTGTCGAAGAGGCCCAGAAACTTGATCTTGGGAGGCTCCCGCGTATTCTCTAGACTAAGTCACGGAAGGTGGTCAGAAAGGTGTGCGGGTTTCGGCCTGTAGGCCGATGGTTTTTTTGCTTGCTCACCCGAACCTGAATTCCTGCCCGTTCGTCGCTCCATGTCCTTTCTTGTTACGTTTCCGCCCCCCAAGGCGTGTGATGAGATTCCATTTCGACTTATCCTTGTTATCGGGCGCTTCTTTGAGAGTGAATCTGGTGAGAAGCGCGGCCACAACTCGAACCACATCTACGAGATCAAGTTAGCCTCAGCTGGCTCACGCTGGGGGGTGAGAGGGGTGTCATACAAGCCCCACGGCTGAAGCCGAACAGCCAGATCTCGTCGTCTTTGGACTGAATCTCCTTGCAACAATACTGTCTCTCATCAGGATGTCGTCAGGTTTCACGCTTGACAATGTGTAATGACTCACTGTGAAAACGTCTTTGATCTGATCCTCGCAGCCCTCTCCTGTCACGCCGTCGTTCCACTTGTTCAAGGGCCTCTTGTCGACGCCAATGCCTGAAAAGTATTGGACGACCTGATTATGATGAGTATCATGATCGACTCTAGTGGAGATGCCAGAGGCGACTCTACCTGTGTAATCTCATTCCCGCAGTCATCTATGACAGTACCAGGCTTCACTGAGGCGTAGATGCGGAAAATGTTGCTGTTGTTTCCGCTGCCGTGGCCTTTTGAAAGTGATTAACATCAGCCACTGGGCACTAGAGTTGGACGCAATTGATGCTAACCTTCCTGCCCGTCTTCATTGTACCAGGTCCCATCCACACAAACCACAATCCTCTTGAAGCTGGTCGGTTTGGCCATTATTTGGCTAGTCTTTTTGGCAAGGCCTCGGCCTTGTCCACACAAGCTCAGAGTCGACAGACGGACAACGTCTTTCACAGCAGCACCTCCAGTGGAACTCAGATTCGTCCGCACAGCAGCCAACCTCCTTTATCAAGAAGAGACAGCAGCCATCTTAAGCGAAGAGCCAGGTGCATATGCACGCAATTTGTGCTGACACACCTCCCTCTCCTACATATTCTGTCGAGCCCTCAGCGAATCGCTGTTGAGATGTATTTAGACACGGAGCAGGCTGCAGGAGCCTAGAAGCAGGCTGTCTTGGCGGACGCAAACCTCGCTCAGCGGTGTCCAATCATCGAGCTTGGCTTGTCATCAGCTGAAAGTTCGTTAGGATGTGGCAGCCTCCTCTACTGTAGGGTAATCCGAAGACCGGTCACACCCCAAGACGCCTCTTGAGCTCTTGACCGCATCGGGAGAATTGGAAAATGCCGCTGACAAATTCCGTTCGCGCTCGAGATGACGCTGCTGACGAGCGGCGGCGTGTTGGAGGTGGCCATTGACGGGGGTCCGAGGATTGTGCGCACGATCGAATTATGTCGCGACCAACCGGTGTGCGCTTTGTGAACCTGCACGCCGGATACTGGTGACAGCTTGACAAGATGATGGTTGCAAAGGTGAGTGTTAGCCACTGTGTAACACTCTGGTGACACAAGCCATGGGGTCCGCGATGATGGCCAGTCGAATCTGGAATGAGCATGAAATCAACCGATTTTAACCTTCAGGTCAGTGTGTTGTCGACTGTACTGATGATGTAAGTCTCGTGTCGAAGCTTGCTGCCAGAGATGTCTGTCCGGCCGTACTTTTGAACGGTTTGAATTGATGGTCTACTTTTATTCAATGTATCTCAACTCGGGTGGAAATGACCACGTGTGTGGTGTAGTAAAATATGATCTTCAAAATCCTCCTCGTCCGTCCGTCCGTCCGGCCGGCCCAAACACAACACGCATTTACAAGGACCCCTCCTTGAGGAGATACGCCGCACTTCCACTTCCCGGCCGGCTCACAACAACAGCACCCTCCCTCTGCTCCTCAGTAAGCTCGCGCTTGGAGTAATACTCCCTCTCCCACGCCTCCTTGACAGCGGCAACCTTGTCAGCAGGCACCATGTGAACGGTACACCCACCCCAGCCAGCACCGGTAAGTCTGCTGCCGTACGAACCGTTCTCGCGCGCGATACGGCACAGCTCGTCAATCTCGGGGGCGCTGCACTCGTACAGGTCGCGGCACGAGTCCTGCGTCGCGTTGAGCAGGTCGCCGAGGCGCTTGTTGTAGGCCGTGGTATCCGCCGTGTCCTTGGGCGCCTCCTGCTCCAGCACCTTCATGAACTGGAGCACGCGGAGGGCCTCCTCAAAGACGTGCAGGGCGCGCTGGCGGAGCTTGAAGCGCTCGGCGCGGACGGCGAGCTTGGACATGAAGATCTGCTCGAGCTCGGCGACGGAGACGCCCAGAACCTTTGCGATCTCTTCGCGGGTGTAGCCCTTGGGGCTTGCCAGGGCCTTTTTGGTGACGTCGATGAGTACGCGGAGCTGCGCCTCTGCGGCCTCCTCTGCGGACGCGCCGTCGGCGTGCGGGAGCTGGTTGTTGGCAAAGTAGGCCTTGTGGAAGCCGTGAAGGGAGATGCCGAGGGGGGATGCATCTGTGGGGAGCTTTGTGCCGGCAGGGTTGAGGGCGGCGTTCAGGAAGGCGCCTGCCATGCTGCACTCGACGACGCGGAGGTTGTAGTGGATGGGGCCGGTGACTTGCTTGTTGGAGGTGACGAAGGACTGGGCGATGAGGAAGGACAGCTCCGGGTTGGTGGTCGGGAAGAAGACGGGGCGGGCGGTCAGGGAGGGCGCGAAGGAGACGAAGAGGGCGGAGCCACGCTGGGAGAAGACGGAGGCGGACTGGTCCATGCTGTGAGGTTGGTTAAGACGAGATGGTACTAGAAAGGGTGATAAGGGGGAACATGGGGAGAACTCACCCGCCAGAGTTGACGCCGACGGCGCGCTCACTGACGATGGCGAGCTCGGTCAGCTCGGTCTTGTCGACGGTCTGCTCGCCGTTGGCAAGCATGACGGCCAGGGCCGAGGCACTGACAAAAGCGGCACTGGAGCTGAGACCGCCGCCGACGGGGACGTTGCCGTCCATGAGGATCTTCATGCCCTTGGGCCTGAAACCCTTGCCGTGCTTGCGGCGAAGCAGCTCGAGGGCGCCGCGCAGGCCGCTCTTGAAGTAGTTGGACCACTCGTGGACTTTGGCGTCGATGGGGATGTCGGCGCCAATGGGGACCTCAAAGGTGCGGGAGGGGTACTTGTCGGACTGGGCGTTTGCGACGCGAAGGGTGAAAGTGTCGGAGTCGGCGGGGGTTTCGGTGACAGAGAAGGCGAGGATCGCGTCGGCGGTAATGGCCATGGGGAGGACGGAGTAGAGGGAGTAATCGATGTGCTCGCCGATGATGTTCACGCGACCCGGGGAGCGGGCGACGACGGAGGCCGGGTGGCCATACTCGGACTGGAACTGCGAGAGCAGCGAGGACCAGCGCTTGGTCTGGACGGGGAGGGCATCTTCCGTGTAGATATCGGCGAGGGCGCTCGTGGTGGGGACGGGGCCGGCCATGGTGGGCAAGGTGATAGGTGTGTGTTTTTGCGTGGGGTCTATGCGAGGGGTCTTTGGGTATCTTTGATGCTGGGAGGGACTGTACGACAATGAACGGCAAGCAGATCAGACGAGCAGACGATGAGGAAAAGAAGCCAGACCGAGGGAAAGAGAAGCAAGTTGAACAAATTGCCGTGACTTGTGACGTTTTTGGGGGCGGGTTGGTATTTGGATGGTGGGGGTGGGTGGGACGAGGCCGGGTGGTTTGACGATGCGCCGTAATCGCCCCGCGATGGAGCTTTGGTGTTTTTGCGGGTGCTCTCCAGTTTGCTGCGCTGGAAGTGGTGCGGATGTGCTGTGTGTGTGTGCTGCGTCGAGTTGCTACCCCGCAATTGCCCCTCGCTTGGCGATCCCTGTCTGAAGAATGAAGGAAGAGCTCTGTCCAGAATGTCTCACCAGCAACGCGTTGAATGGAGCCGAACCTGGAGTATGGAGGCTTGATATGAGTTTCGGACTCCAGTCGGGAGTGAAGGAGTAGCATCAGCAGCACGAATCCTTCACTTCCAGTAAACACTTCCAGTGTAGAGACTCACTCATGCAACGCACCACCTTCATACAGCTTCAGACGCAGTGTTACTAGGTACTTCTCGGGAAATTGACACCCCACCTCGGTCGATAATTCCACCGTTGCGCAAAGCTTCCATCAACTTTTATTTCGGTTTCTCCCTGACAAGCGCCAGTGTAGCGTGGTCGTCTAGACTGCATGGAGCAGCTCACCTTTCCGAACCATGCCGGACCAAGCTGGGCCAGAAAGTCGTCCGGCCCAGCAACCGAGAGGGACAAGGTGCGCTGATTTCGGCCTCTTGGATCGTCCGGGGTTTCCAGCTTGAACTGGACAACGGCCCCGTTCCATTGCGGGCCGCACCCTCGGAAAATCGGCGGAGAACTCGAAAGCTGCCTCGTTTGCGACACTCAGCTAGCGCTGGCCTGCACATCAAGCTTTTTGGCCTTTTTTTATCTAGTCAGATCAAGTGTGCAAGCGTGCAAAGGTGGGCCAATGCACAACACAAACATTCATATGGAAGACTCGAGAGAACCGGCATAAGAGAGCTCATCTTTGGAACTAGCAAACCACGAGATACCATTACGACGCCATCTGTCCTGGAATGCATGGTCGAGCAACGAGGGAACGACGGCCTACCTTAGCTACAACGGTGGGGTGACTGCACGCCATCACCGGCCTGGCGCGACGCCTGACTAGGTTCCGGGGTCTTTGCTCAATCGGGTGCGCGCGCGGGGATGTCGGGGGCGAGATGCTTTTTTTTTTTTTTCTCTGTCAGGCAGGCGCTCCTGACGTTTTCAGCTACTTACTTTGGGCAGCTATTTTCATGTCGCACATTGGAAGTTGTGCTCAGTTTTGAAAGCATTCTGCAATAGCCAATCATGGATGTTGATAGAGAATATGTTAATTCGAAGTCCAATGCTTCAGAGAGGCTTCCCGTTTACAGATGCTCTTGCTGACAACGCGGTCCTGACCCGACGAAAACGAGGCTCCATGTCGAAGGTCTATATACTACCTTGCGTCGCATCTCAGCATCAGCGGTTCAAGCGCATCCAAGGTTTCGTGGTGTAGTTGGTTATCACGTCAGTCTAACACACTGAAGGTCTCCGGTTCAAGTCCGGGCGAAATCATTTTGGCATTTTTGCTACCTGACATCTCATTTTTTGGTCCTCGAATCCTTTTTCATGTTCCTTGGGGTAGATCCTTCAATATTTTATGATATTCTGTTCACATTCCTATGCGTTAATCTCTGAGTTCAGACCATTACCCTTTAGCCCACATATCCTGTCCTTGGGTCCGCAATTTCAGGTGTGTGTGAGCCTTCATGGAAGAGCAGTCCTTGAGTTAGAAGGTACCATAGCTCATGCTACTAGATTGAAATTACCAGAATCGTAATTTCGATTGCCAGACATTACTTGATCCTTCCCGTAACGATTCCTAGGGCATCAACACAGTTTTGAATATGAATCGTTGTGCTTGATGACACCCAAGCTGCTCGCGTAAGGTATCTTGAGGGCGGGCTGTTGCATAGTCCATCACGGTTTCATGAATTTTCAATGAGTTGAAGATCATGTACTTCAAGAGCTTCAACTACCGCCTGTTTCTTGCAGTATTTCTCTCGCCCCGTCACTCACCGCCGACACAGACTTTACATAGGGCCCTTACACGCGATAGACAAGACTTTTCATTTCTTCTCAGATATTTCATTTGAGCTTAGCCTGAGCATCTGGGAGATGGCAGTTCGACCCGACAGTCCCGAGGACGGCGAGTATCTAGAAGTTCACTTTTTTTCGGTGCAACAAAATCCAGAACACCTAAGCACTTGGGACCGATTTACTACAACATTTCCGAAACGCTCAGAAAATTACAAACTTACCACAGACCATATTATTTTATTCAATTTTACCCAACAAGGTTGTTTGGTAGCTTTCAAAGACCCAGAGGACGTCTCCAGAATGAAGTTGCATAAAAGAATCTCAAACCAATACCGCGAGAAAGAGAAAATAGAAAAGAAAACATCGGAGTATTATCACCAGGAAAAGCTCAAAATTTCTCGAGTTTTACAGAAGTACATCTACCTGAGATGAATATCGACTTTCATTGCATCAACTCAGAGCGGTAGCTAGACCCCAAGAAATGGAACAAATAACGTTTCTGTGGTGAACTGCAGTTGGCGGCCCAAGATTCATCACCTCAGGTCATGAACTATCAAAGCGAGCCGTTGAGAAGCTCCGATTTCTGTCAATATACTTGGTCTTATCGAAGACTTGATATTCTCACTTACAAGTATCGAATTTAGCAGGTCAGAACTTTGTTCCCTATCTCATTTTCAATAAACCTATTATCAAGAAAGCTCGTTGTCAATCTAGCAGGCTCGATAAGAGTAGTATTCGGGTTTCGGTGACCTTTTTTCTTGGAATAATAATCAAGTTTTGTTATCAGATGCAAATTTGTTCTGGTAATGACCCGAAAGAAATCGGTCTCAATGATCTCCAACTAAAGGATTGTTACCAGCTCATCCTGGATGAAATTTCTCTGAAATTGGAATAAAAGAGTCCTTTCTCGCTGATTCGTCCAATGCCAAAACTTACTTTCTCCAAAAACTGGTTTGTGACACTCTCTCATTCTTCGGCAGGACCGCCTTCATCGCCTTGCTGGCCCAGAAGTGGCGGAAACTCGTACGAATGAATTGCACCGCAGCGCGAAGCTCTTGCGCCTCGGCTATGTGTGTAGCCGTAACATCATCCATGTCTGGCAGTACAATCGTGGTTCAGCACCAGGAAGGGCAGCGTCCAATGTTTCTTCCATCTCAAGTACTCCTTCGGCTATGTAGGATCGGCGCGGCAGTGCACACGGACGTGGAAACGTGATTGGGGGAGCCGTGCATGAAGTCGAGATCAGACAAGTTCTTGGGGGACCATCACGAACGCCACGTCTCACAAGATATCCGCATTGCGGGTAGCTTCCCTCTAAAGGTTCGCTGCCGCGGACCACTGATGAGATGAATAAATTGGTTCTAGCGAAATAATTATGATTTATAAAGCAGCTCAGAAATCCTGCTGTTGGTTGATAGGTACACATTTTCACACATTCTATGTGTAGTTCTTTCTTTCTGATCACATTTCGGAGAAATTTCACTCGTGCGGAAGCATTCTTCACCATCCATCATGTCACTCAGTGTAACGACCGCACCCGAAGATGTTGTTGGCCTCCCGCCCGTTCCTCAATTCAACGCCAAAAGTCCTGGCATCCCACGAAACGGTGGCCAAGCCGCATCATCTTCCAACGATGAGCACCTACGCTTCAACCCCGTCATTGTCGTGCTCGTCGGTTACCTCGAACAAGTCTGCCCGGGGGGCCTAGACTCCGCAGTCCAGTCCGCTTGCGAGAAGAGCCCAGGCTTCATGGAAAAGTTGGACATCAAGGACTCCCGCTCATTCCTGCATTTCGCAAACGACCTCCTGAAGTGGGTACCTTGCGAGAGTTTCGGAGGCAAAGACATTTACGACATCCTATGCGTCTTCTACTTTGTCTTGGATCAACCTCCGCTCCGCGAGATGCAGACCTCGATCCGCCCGGATTCCGACGGACTCACCTGGCTATCTTCCTGGATTGTGGTGTTTGCGCAACTCATCGGCCAGTTCTTGGACACGCCTGCTTCAATCACGCCCGAGTCCCTGCAGTCGTTCATAAAGTCACCGCCATACCGCTTCCACGAGGCAGAGGTTCCGCACGGTGGCTTCAGGACGTTCAACGAGTTCTTCACGAGGCGTCTAAAGCCCGGCTTGAGGCGAATTGACTCTCCCGAAGATGACAGAGTCGTGGTGTACCCCGCCGACTGCACGTATGACAACTCGCTGGTCAACCAAAGCGTTGCCAGAATCCAAAACGGGGCCGTCAAGATCAAGAACGTTCATTGGACGATTCAGATGCTGCTACAGGATAGTGAGTATTCTGACGACTTTGAGGGGGGAATTTGGATGCACGCTTTCCTGAACACCAACAACTACCACCGCCAACACGCGCCGGTCGCTGGGACGGTACTGGAAGCCAAGAATATCCAGGGCATGGCGCACCTCGAGGCCGACTCTGTAGGCGGGCATGTCCGCATGATGGGCGGGGCGGACTCCTCGGAGAACCCAGGTTACCAGTTCCTACAGACAAGGGGGTTGGTCATTATAGACAACCCTGTGCTCGGTAAGGTGGCGTTTCTGTCCATAGGAATGGCCATGGTCTCGTCCGTAGACCTCTTTGTCGCCAAGGGCGATGTGTTGAGAAAGGGCGACGAGGTCTCGTGTTTTAGGTTTGGAGGGTCGGATGTCATTTGCATTTTCCAGAAGAAAGCAGGGTTGAAAGTTGAAGATTTCGTCCCGACGACGGGGGAGTTCTCCAGGTACGGGAGTCTCTTAGCCCGAGCGCGGACAAAAGATGGATCCATGTAAGACAGGCCTCGAGAGAAGTTACTCTGGTCGAGATACTTGAATCTTTCCCCCGAGGTATTGCTCTAGGCTGGCACCTAGAAAAGACGTAAGCGAAGCTGCCGTTCCACGCCTGCTGGGATTATGAACTCCCTTTTTCGGGAAAAAAAAAATAAGAAAAGAAAACAGACCATAAATGAGAGGCAAACAATCAAAAAAAGAAGAGTTGCGTCAATCGCTGACGGGAATTGAGCCCGACGTGGCTGGGTAATGTTAGTGATAAATTCCTTGGAGCGTTCATGATGGTAAGGGAATGCTTACGGGTCGAACCCACAACCTTGAGATTAAGAGTCTCACGCTCTACCGATTGAGCTAGCCGGGCAACCGGCGTATATACTGGGATGGTTGGATTCCCCTGGACCTGGATTGCTTCATGTCCTGGGTTGGCAATTTCTGCTTGTGCTCAAGTGTGGAGAGAAAGAATTTGGGAAACCCTCTGTGGGTGCTGTGTGGGAACATTATAACAAAGCGCGCATTGTGAGGGGGTGGGGATGAGCGGGTGTCATTTCAGGGTTGGCTTGTGTTAGAGTTGGCTTAGGCTGGCTTGAAATTGACAAACTGATGCTTCTGTCACCTGAATCCCCTCTCTCCTGTGGGGATGGCCTAGGACAACGTCTTTCATCACTTGGAACGTTATGGCAAGTGATTAACAACGACAGTCATGTGAATCAATGGCCGACCGAGGAACATGGGAGGGAACCAAGTGCACATCATGCTATGCTGAAAGAACGCAGATAGTCTCTATTAGCCACGACGCAGGCGCACAAAGCCATGCGGTAGATGCTCGCTCGGTAAGGGAATCGCCCTCCGAATGCTAGCTGTCTGGGCAACCCCAAAGAAGGGGCTCGATTACTGAGTTTTGAAAAAAAGAAGAGCCCGATCCTTCACTGACTCTCTCCTCCTCCCGTCAAACAACTGAGATAAAAGCCGGGTGATCTCTCAGGTCCCTATCCTAATCCTCGCTAGAATCGCCTGTGCCTTTATTGGCCCTGTTGATACAACCGTTCTGCATGGCGCGGAACAGGCTACGACGGCGAAGTGTATCGGCCGACGACAACGCAAGACTCTCAGATGAGGAACCTGACTTGGATTTCCCACTAGACGGACGGTCCTAGTGCCCTCTAGCCAGGAATGCCGGTGCACCGCTGCCGATGATGGGGCTTCCGATCTCTCCCGGTGCACCTACAGGCCTGTGGGGAGGATACGCCATGTCGTTGAACTCAGGCACCCATCGGACTGAGTGCTGCCCCGGGCCGTTTGCGTCCCGTTGGATCTCAAAGGTGCCGCCGCCGTTTTGCAGATTGCCCTCTGTTTCGGCGAGAGCCAACAGGTCTTCTTCTGGGATGGGCTCCGTCCTATTGAGCTGGTCCACCTCTGCCTTGACCGCTGCTAGATCAACAAATGACTCTGAGCTCTCGGGGTTGCGGGCTTGCAGTTCCTTGCAGGCACGACACAGCATTAGACGGATGGTCACCGAGCGAGGATTTCCAGCCGTGCGGATCTGGCCAAGAGATGGCATAGGCGGCATCATGATAGGACTTCCCCAGGTCGAGTTTCCCACGCCAGGGGCCACACTATATGACATCGGTGAAGGTCCCCACAAACTGTTATTGATGCTGGGGAATCCACCGTCGAATGGGAGAGTTGGGAACGCTGGTCGAGGCACCTGGTTACGGTGCCTAGCCGCGTTAATCGCCGCGCTCATCGGATCTACCGCATCGTCCAATAGCACGCTGCTACCAAGGTGCTGCTGGTTGGTGAAGTCGTCTGACAGATCATTTCGGTGTCCCTGTACCACGCTCCCTGGTCGTCCGATGGGTGCTGGCCTGCCGATGGGCTGGGTTGGAACCGGCGACGAAGCGGAGTCGAAACTGCCAGAAGGTTGCCTTGAATGAGATCCCGGCCCCGGTGCCATATTCTGCATATGATCGCCCATGGGCTGTGGGAAGCCAGGAGGTGGGCCATGCATGAAGCCGCGCCCAGCTGGCCCATTAAGACCTGGCGGGCCGGGCATCATACCTGGGGGGAGGGGTCTGCCGAACCCAGCAATACCGGGGGGACCAAAGACACCTGGGTCGGGCATGCGATTTCCTAGGCCGGGCGGCGGGTTGAAGCCGGGTGGAGGCATACCCATGGGCATACCAAAGGGTCCCTGCTGTATCGGACCTTTGATATTCGACGGTGATACGGAGTTTGGATGCGGAAGCGAACTTGCGGTTGCTACGCTGGCCTTCCTCGAGCCGATCAGCCCTGGACTGGTGTGGCCGGGCGTCGCAGGGTGTGGCGATGGGTTTTGGCTGGCGGTAGAGCCTGACTGCGAAGCTTGGGATCCAGGCAAGCTGGTTTCCAGAGGCTGTGAGGCATGCTTCGGGCGGATCGGTGTCGGGGCCTTGGGAAGAGCCGGCGTCGCAACGGGTATCTTGGGGGATGCATAGGATGCTGGGTTGGACGGGTGCGTCGGAATCGGTACTGGGTGTTGCGATGGTCGCCGGCCTGAGTTGGGGATGGGAATAGGGACAGCGGCGACCGTGGCGGCTTTTTGGGCTGCCTTTTCCTCCTGCTTGAGGCGATCCTTGCTCTCCTTGTCAGCTTTGGCCTTGCTCTCCTTGTCGCGCTTGGCCTGTTCTTGCTTCTCTTTGCGCTCCCGCAGCTCCTTATCCTTCTGCTCTCGAGTTTCCTTCTCGCGTAGTCGCGCCTCCTCCTTGAGCCTTTGTGTCTTCTCGCGGCTTTCCCGAGCTTTGCGTTCTTGCTCTGCACGCTTTTCCTGCTGCTCCTGGAGTCGCCGTTGCCGTTCGGTCTCTTTGCGAAGGCGGTCTTCGTCCTCGAGTCGCTTCTGCTCTTCCTTCTTTCGACGTTTCTCCTCTGCTCTTGATCTTTGCTCTTCCAACTTCTGCCGCTGCTCCTCGAGTCGAGCAGCCTCCTCTGCGGCCTTTTCTGCTTCCTTTCGCGCCTTCTCCTCGGCCTGTTGCTGCTTCTTGAGCGCGGCCTTGTCCTTGCGCTTCTGGTTCTCCTTGGCCTTCTTGGCTTTTCGCTGAGCATCCTGCCGGTTTTCCTCCTCGAGTTCCTCGATGAGCTGTTGCTGGCGTTGCTTGGCGACCATATCTCGATAGGCTGTCAGGACCCGTTGCTCAAACATTCGAGCGGCGAATATCTGGAACATGCGACGACCCTCTTCCATGCGCTGCTCCTCGGTCATCGTGTCCTGATGATGGCAACAGTAATGCTCAGTACTCGAGTGTTTATGGTCATGTGTGTATTGAGAGGAGCTCACTTCTTCATCCTCGTATTCCTCTTCTTGACTGTCATCATAGTCCTCATCCTCCTCCTCGTCTTCGTCGTCATAGTCGTCTTCGGGAGGAGGATGGTTATGATTCGAGTAAGAGCCGTTGGCGGGATGAGCGTAGCCGCGAGAAAAGTGCTCCTTGGCGTCCTCTTCTCGGGCCATGCGGCGCTCAGCGAGCTGCTCCATCATTTCGATGAAACGCTTGCCGTCGTTTTTGAGGAGGTCATCCGCAACGGTGAGTATGCCGCCTAAGTCCATGTTACCATATCTGCAGAGTAGGGAGTCCAGAAGCTGCATACCCTTGACTTGCAGGCTGTTCCCAAACGTCAAGAAGTCGGCAACGTCTCGATCGTGAGGGTGAGTATCTTCGGGGGGTTCGTCTTCGTCGCTGTACTCGTCGTCTTCCTCGTCTTCCTCCTCCTCCTCCTCAAGGTCTTCGTCCTCGTCGCTGTACTCCTCCTCCGGCTCCTCCTCGTCGTCATCGTCGCCGACGTGTTCCACTATGCGGCCGCGTGACGGTGGTTGGCCGGTGTAGGATGACGGAATTCGTGAAGGTCGCAGGGGAAATTCGCGGTGAGGAGGCAGAATATGCGGTCCTTCTCCGTTGTTCGCAAAGGTCTCGAGCTCCTCGTAGTAAGCGTCGTACAGGCCCTCCAGCTCTTCCTCGATAGCGGTGCGCTTCCGACCACACACGGTACAGCTGCATGTATGCTTTTGCTGCTCCTTCATCTTTTTGAGGACGGCATCTTTCTCGACCTTGACCAGCGACTTGCGCTCATCCTCGCCGAGACCCAGCCAAAACTCCTTGATGCGTTCCCGTTCCTCCTGCGAGCTGGTGTTCCAGATCTTATCCTTGGAAATACCAGGTCCACGGGGCGTCAATGGCAAGTGGGAGTGCGGGACGTTGTCGAACTGATTGTTGACCAGCTGCGCGTTCTTTGCGTTCTTCTTCTTCTTTTTCTTGGATTTTTTAGATTTAGTCGCGGAGAAGCCGTTGGCATGAGGTTGGTCGTCGGCGGAGTGATGGTCTTCGGGCTCGTCGTCGCTGGAGTCCTGATCCTCGTCATCTTGGGCAGTTTGAGGTTTGGACGCGGATGCGCCAGGAGCGGGACTCGGGCGTCCATTCGGTGGTTGGACGGCGGCTTGCTCGGCGGCAGCTTTGGCGGCAGCTTTTGCCCGGCGCTTCTGCTTCTTGCGATTCACCGTGGGCGCGGACGGGTCAGCACCGTTGTTATCGGTGGTCTGGACGCTGGGGGCCTTTGCCGACGAGGTTGGAGTGGAGGGCAGCGAGGGTTCGGCGGAGGAGGGGCCTTTCGGGACAGTGATGATCTTGGAGCCATCCTTGTTTGTGTATCTCGCGGTGGACTTTAGATTGGGCGACGCTGGCGTCTGAGCTGCCGGTTGGCGATGGTTGGCCGGCATGTCGAGTCTCTACTACGAAGCAACCGAGGTCGATATCATAGAGAGTGATGGAAGGAGGGTTTGCGGTGGGGAGAGTAAGCGCTGGATTCAGGTTCGGCGAGAGGGAGAGTGAGGGCAAGCTCGATTTCGGCGGTCGGTCGGGCTCGAGAATGAAGCGATACTTTGTAAAGCTACGTCGAGATATGCGTAAGTAAAAATGGAAACAAGCTGCCCCTCTTCGCAATGACGCCGGAGGTGTTGTGGGAGAGTGCGTGGTTGAAGTTGGGTGGGCGTTTGTGGGTAGCGGCTCGCAAAAGTGGTTGGCGGGTTGTAGCGCGCTGGGCGGGCTTTGGGCGGGCTGAGGGTGCTGGTGATGAGGCAGGACTCACAGGTGGAGGCGAATATTATTCGAGATGGGGCGCCGGGGCAGCCACACTTTGCTCTGGCCAAGGGAACAAACAGAACGCCGTGGAGGTGCAGCACAGGCGGCCGAAATAATAAAAGGTGTGATGATGCTGTTGTTTTCGTGCCTTCTTTCTTCGTTCGACGCTTCTTTTTGTCCTTTAATTCATCACCATGCAGGCTGATAGTTGGCCAGCTTGAAAGGCAGACGAATCGCAGTGCAGTCGCACGGCTGGTTGGTGGTGGTGGTGGTGGTGTTGGTGGTGGGCTTGATTGGGACTGATGGGTGTGCGACAGGAAGAGAGCGGGCCGACGATGAGTACACCTCAAGTTGGTAGGTCGGTACCTGGGTAGGGGAGTTCCAAGATTAGGTGAGGTACCTTGGAGAGTCCGACTTGTCACTTGCAATTGGCAAGAGCGTCGTGAATATTGGATGGAAGGACGTACAGCCGAACGGGGCTGGTTAATTCAATTGTTCAGTCTATTTTCATCTCACCAACAAGTGATGAGGGAAATAGACAGAGCAGGAGCACCGGCGGTAATACCGTACCAAGTAAAAGATTGATGTACCTGGTATGTCCAGCGGATGTGTGTCGTCGTTTGTTCCGCTATGGGCGGAGGGAGGGATTGAAGGGAGAGTCTATGTCATGCGCAAGTCACTCTTGGGCGGCTTTGCATGGGAGGGGTACATCCGAGGGAGGGGGAGTTGATGGCGACCCAAGGTAGGGGCACGTCCAATCGCCTGTCGCCTGCACCTCACCTCATGTCAGGAAGCCCGGGTCAGTTTGGTGACCAGATCCCACCCATCAGATTTCGAGACTGAGAGGTTTGTGCCGCCTTCCACGTGACTCCATACCCGGTGGGGTCAGTCACCTGTGGGAATCCAACCACGAAGCCGGTTGGGCTGACAAAGCTAGCAGCTGCAACCTCTATGGCCTATGCTTATGATCTAAGTTGCCTCTCTGCCTGAGGCGCTAATACCTAAGGCACAGATCAGGCTTTGATGGATTCCCATGTTGAAATCCAAAACCCGACCTCGAGGCTGACCTAAGGCAAGTCTGTGCCTGGACTGCGAACCCGGAAAGTTATTCCATCTCAGATCCTGGCCAGGTCCAGTCAGTGCCTTGGCAACTGGGCATTTCGGTTTACGGCCTGATGTCATCTAAACACCTCTGTTTAGCTGTACGGATAGCTCCCTGTTCCTTCTTGTCCCACGCACCGACCGCATCCATGATATTTGGCCACCACCATTCTTCTTTTAGGTGGGCAACGGCTTGCTCAGCTCGCCAAAGGGCGGATCGTGCGTGTCACCAATACCTCACTCATCCCAATAGACGAATTTCAACAGACTACTCTCCTTCCGAGTCTGCAATCATCACATCCATCAAGTTGTCTAGGTCATTGCCTTATCGCTCGCGTCTACTTGCAATCAGCAGTTTTTCCGCCTTCAGCAAACTTTGGCAGCTCCCAAGCTGCCCCGCCGTCAAAGACCCAAGTTAGCCTTCCGTTTGAAAATATCCGTCACAGCTCCGAGGGATAAGCTGCTGGCAACGCACCTGCTGTTCCACCTGAGCTCACTTGCACAACGTCTGATGCCCCTCTCATCCGCACGATTGGCTTTCGTGCCCAAAGGAGCATGGAACTTTCGGCATGCCAAGAAGAGGGGATATGCAAACCAATTCAACTCTCTTCGGAGCAACTCTGCCACGAACAAAGGATTAGTGGTTGGTGGTGGGCTCTGTCAACAAACACCCGTTCTGCTCAAACAATAACTATTGCGGATGCTCAATCGTTCCCGAGACTGCCGGCAGTAGGTTAGGAGAGATACCTCAAGCGATAGCGGCGCTCGGAGGGTGTGGAGGAGGGACATCCCACCCGTTCCGAACCATCCCGCATTTTCAGCCTCTTTACCCCCGGAACCGCGCGGCCATCTACTGCTGCGGGGACGACCAGTGGAGAATTTCGTCCCGGTGGCCTAGCGTTCCAAGGGGGGTCACGGTCGGGTGCCAGCGATTGCTAAGGACTGCCGTCGTCTGTGTTCAGCGGACTGATTCCCAGCAATGGCGGCAACGCGTTCATCAAATCAGACATATTCTAGACGATGCATACTGGCGAAGGTGTACGGATACAACCTTGGGAAAAAGTTGGACATTGTGAATTTCCAGCTCGCCCATGAGGTTCGGCAACGTGCACGCATCAGACCGGTGTGACCGGCAGATCCTGGACGGGAGCGCATCCTAATTTTGCGGGCAGCGATGCAACGCCGCCTCCTGGACAAAATGCGAACCAGGAACGTCTGCAAAGCAAGGAGGCCGCATGGTGTATCCGAACGCTGTGCGACTAGCAGCCTCGGGCTCGTCGACGACCGGACCACAGTCCTCACAAGCGCTCATTTATGGATTGTACGTGGTTGCGGGTGACCACCCCGACGAGAACACCAGGAACGTCAAAAATCGACACAGCCTCAATCAACCATGTTAAGGCGGGCCGGGCGGGCTACTTGAGGCGGGCTCCACGGCCGAGGTTGGGCCCACAATGATGTTTGTTATGTGTATTAACGAGACCGAGATGATGGAAAGGGGCGTTCTATCTACGTTCTCTCCAATACCGATGACAAACCGAGCTTGTTTTGCCGGAGGTGGACACAACCTCGTCGGTACCTTGAAGCAGTCGAAGATTTCCATCTGCTTGAATGTTGCCAAGCAGTGATCGCGCAGCAGCTCTGGTTGACCAGACCATGAGGCCTTCGTTCCATTGATGGTGCTATAGCAAAGGTACGACTTTTCCGACTAGCAGCTGCGGATGACTTCAAAGGCTGCCTCGCTAGGCAAAATAATAGGTTGTATAGGTTGTGGTCTGCTCCGTTAGGCTAAAACCCCTGATCCTTAACAGCCATATGCCTCGCTTGGATGATCATGACACCAATCACCTCGCGCCAGCAACTTGGAGGCCAAAGCCATTCGGATCGCTTCCCAGCCATGCTGAGATCACCCATCGCCAAGCGGTAAGTGGCCCCCTTGTTTTACGACTCTCTTCATGTGGAATGTCGGGCGGTTGCAGATTGGCGGATGTCTAGAGTCGGGTACCATAAGACGGCATGGCTTGGCGGCACAGCCTATGGCTATAAGTTGCACAGAGACACAGATCGGGGGTGGGGGGTCACATCTTAGAGGGTGTGTGGGATGGCCGCCGCACAACAAAGCAAGACCAGAAACACATCAACGCATTTTTTTGTGTTTTTTTTGGTGCTACTGGCCAGCTGCTCATTGTGGCTTCCCCCTAAGCCTTCTCGCCGGCACTTCCAGGGACTAAGTTCATGCAGATGGGCGCAGGCGCCTTAATAAGTTCAGGGCTGGCGGATGACGGTTGGGAGTTGCGGGATGGGATGGAATGGGAACTATGGGCGGTTTATTTTGGGGGCGGAGGGGATTGCCTGGGGGGAATGGAGCTTGAGACATACGGCTGCGGTGCCATCGGTGCCGTTACGGCGTCCAAACTGCAAAAGGCATAACTTCGGTTTTCTCTCTCCGTCCTTCTCTCTTTTTCTAGTTCTCAAACGTGAAGGTGCGTAAGACATGATGTAAGTAGGCTGGTGATGACAGCCGGCCCAAGCAAGGTTGAACGATGACAGATAGCCCGGGGGTTAAGTAAACGGGAAACCTGGAACCTGGGCACGTGCTGGGGAGCTGTTTGGAAACGCCGAGAGCTCAGTGACGGCGATCGACATCCGAAGAAACCTTAGCGACCATTTGTGTTTTTCCTCTGTATTTCTTCCCTTTCAAGCAGCAGTCGTCCAGGGACCAGGACAAGGGACGGGGGGGGAAGGGAAACAGATCGAGAGTATCCGTACCTACCCTGTACCTTAATTTAGAAAATGGGTGCTGCGCGAATGGAGGGCCTCCGGGGGTCGGGTACGTTAGCTCAACCGTCAGTGGTAAAACGTCTGTCCAGAGGCGCCTTTGGGAACGGAGCCTGTCTTGGGTCGTCATCGGTTTGTCGTTTGGGACTGTCGATTATTGTGTTTCTCTCTACGTCAAGCAAGATACTGATGACACCCTCACAAAAAAAAAATGAAGCTTTTGTATAGCTTCAATCTCGATTTGCCGGTAAGGTACGTTACCGCGTATTCGTACGGAGTACGGATACCAACGGTCGAAATGCGATTCTGGAATGCATTCACCATCCAGCACAGCCCTCCAGGACCCGCTCCGTCCCCCCGAGGCCCATCGAGTTCAACGGGCAGCTCAGGGTAGTGTAGTATACGTAAGTGCTAATAAACTACCCAGTAGAGAAAGTTTCGCCGTCTGTCATCGCTCCGCATCAAGGACATGGGATCACAGACTGGTTCGTGCGAGAGTCATTGATTCGTTACCCGGAGGTTTGGACCTTTTGCTTCCCCCCTCCTAGCCGCGTCAACAAAAAAGCGTTTTGCAACCTCCAGGACTGGCTGGGGATGCCGGCGGCAAAAGGAAGAAGAGATGGATGGTGGGTGCTAGGACCGGACTTGATGGATGGGTTGGACCTGGGCTAGGCCTGGGCCGGACGGGCCTCAACTCCAAAAACGGTACGATCCGTGTCATCGTCCCTTCTCTTGTGGTGTTTGTCCCTGGGTATCCTGTACTAAAGGAGGTGTTTGCTGTGCCACAACACGCACCACTTGGCGTACCGCACTTTTTGTAATTAGGTCATGGACAGAGAGTTGAGTTGAGGTAACCCGCGTTGCCTGACAGAGCACCATTCTCAGGGTAGCTTCCATACCTAGTGGACTGTCCGCCTCTTGTGTTTCTTCCTGTCTGCAAGGTACGCAGCAGACACGCAAAAGTACAGACGATTCTTTTTGCTGTATCTGTATCTGTATCTCGCCAAGATACTTTACCAGACTGTTGCTCTTGCAAAAGTCCCCTTCGTTTTGTTGTTTTATTCTCCACGTTACTCTCTGGACAATTCCGCATCTGTCTGTTACGCCCCCTGACTATTTTTACAAAATAAATACACCCTCCTCTACACGTGCAAGCTGCCAAGATACAGCAACCAGCCAGAAACCAAACAAGCTTGGTACGGTGCTCCATCGGCCGTCAGTCGACTGCAACGGTGGGATACCGCCTTCACCTCGCGCTCGCCCGTCTGTGTGCTCCGTCTTCCGTACCCCGGGCCACATTTCCTTCAAAAGTTCCCCCCTTGACTTGTCAGTCTCCCGCTCTACTACCCACCTTGGCTCCGGCTCCAGCAGCAGCAGCTCTTCCTCCATATTCCTAGTATCTGTATCCGTACTCTGTACCTACGGACGTACATACTCAGGTCGAGTCCAGCTTTGACTTGCGCTATCCAATTCCAGAGGCGCTGCTCCAGTTTCCCTGCCCATTTCTTCAACGCGCGATTACCCCCCCGTGGAATTTCTTCAGCTCGTATTCCCTTCCAGCTGCAACGCCCGGCCTCACTCGATCCAATCTGCTTCCGCCCTCCCGTTGTCCCTCTGGGCTGCCCCCCGGAACGAAAGAGAAGGAAGTGGACGGAGGAAGAGACTTGGGGGGAAAAAAACACGCGCACACACACACACACACACACACACACAGAGGCGCCGCTCCGCCTTCGCCTCTTACTTTGCCGTCGCTCAGATATTTACCCATCTGTCTTTCCTTCCTCTACCATCAGCCTGCACTGACCTCTGGCCCGTTTCTTCCCAGCTGCATCTTTGCAAACCAATTGCATCAAGCTGTCTGGGCTGTCGTCGTCCACGACAACGACCACCACCACAACCTCCTTCTCCTCCTGTCCTCTTCGTCTACTTCTCTCCTCCCGACATATCCGCCATTGCTCACTCCGCATATCCTCTCTCACCCATTCCCACCCAATCCAGAAAGGAGAAGACTGGATCATCCCACGCACCCACCTCCTCAAAACACAAACATTGTTTACTGGCACGTCCGCCTGTCGCTTTTCCGCCCCCAGCGCTGCTACCGCTCCCCCGATACGACCCTGCGACGGACCATACACGAACCCACCGATCGCCATTATCGACAACCTCGTCGACCACCTCGCTGGCAGCCTCGACGACATTTTTTTGGGCCTTTCCTCCACCTACCCGACGTCTCAGTCACCGACGTTGGTAATCGATCCAGACGACCCCGATCTACCTGTCAATTGACCTCGGGTCGCCCATCCTTTTCCCCACGACCCTCCCACCCGATTCACAACCGCAGCCATGGCGGCAGCAAATCCAACCAACGTCATTCGGAGGTACGTTGCCCGTTTAGTTCCCGTCGACCTGGTTGTCCGCCTGCCTTCGCCACGCGATACACTGCCTTGTTGCCATTTCGCAAAGCTCCCAACATCTATGCCCGCTGCTGCCGTGCCAAGCAGCCTGATCTGCGCGCTCCGTCCGTCTGTCCTTTGCTTGCTGACATTTTACCTATAGGAAACTCGTCATAGTAGGGGACGGTGCTTGCGGAAAGACTAGTTTGCTTAGCGTCTTCACACTTGGATATTTCCCGACCGTATGTCCAGTCTAATCCCCCCCCTCGGTGGCCTGATTTCGAGTTTCAGGATTTTGCTAATAATTGGTGTCTGCAGCATTACGTGAGTACCACTGGTGACTCCTCGCCCGACGCCAGATTCCTAACAAGACCTGACCCCTAGATTCCTACTGTATTCGAAAACTACGTTACGGACTGCAGAGTTGATGGCAAGTCTGTGCAGCTTGCGCTATGGGATACTGCCGGACAGGAGGATTATGAGCGGCTGCGTCCCCTGGCGTACTCCAAAGCCCACGTCATCCTCGTCGGCTTCTCCATCGACACGCCCGATTCACTCGACAACGTGAAGCACAAGGTGGGTTCGAAATAGGCCTCGTCCCTCGACACCGCTATGGTCCGGCAGCTGACAATGGGCTACAGTGGGTAGAGGAGGTTACTCGACTCTGCGAAGGCGTCCCCATCATCCTCGTTGGATTGAAGAAGGATCTCCGCGAGGATCCCGTAGCGATCGAGGAGATGCGAAAGAAGTCGATGCGCTTCGTCACACACCAGGAGGGCGATGCAGCTGCCAAGGAAATCGGAGCTCGGAAATACCTCGAATGCTCCAGTCTGAGCGGCGAAGGTGTCGATGATGTCTTTGAGGCTGCGACTCGCGCCGCCTTGCTGACCTTTGAGAGGGGCGAGGTCGATCTCCTGCTCATTGTTATAAGGCTGGAGCTTGGCCATGTACTCGATGCGGGACTTGATCGCGGAGTAGTCGTAGGCAGCAGAGTTCTCGGTCTTGGAGCGCCACCCCAGCAGCATGGGATCGG